AGCAGAGGTGTGCTGGAGCCTGCTGGGATCAAAACTAATATTGAAAAGTGAGTTTTCTTATAAAAAATGACTCCTCACTGACTCTTTCTATGTCCATCCCCCAGCCGTTGGTCCTTTTGTAATTACCGGGTATAAACTAACGTACGATTCTTCGCTATTTCTAGGCTCATTGAACGGGAATACATAGAACGGGAAGAAGGAAACAAATACCGATACCTAGCTTGAAATTGGAATGCTCGTTTTTTTTTTTTTTTTTTTTTTTTTTTTGCTTCTAATTCTGTCTTGGGGGATATCTATGCAGGAGGTTCATTGCTGGAAAACGAATCAACTAAATCTTCATCCATGTCTGTGCCAGACCTTCTCTCCTATTTTATCGAGCTTGTCATTTGAAACCCCCCCTTTTTTTTATTTTCCGCGCCTGGTATCGTTTCTTTTTGAATCACGTTGACATACATTTTGAAAGGAAGAAGCAAGAAGGCGAACGACAATCTCGCGCTACTAATGATGATAATGATGATGAACCCACCTTCCCACTACTTTTTTAGTATTTCTTTTTTGTCGTTCTTTGATATTGCTTCTTTCGCTTGCGCATAACAGGATGGGAGCATAATGGAATGAGGGCGCTTGTGAGAAAATAGTTTCGGAAGAGCGGCAGTTACGGGATTTGGGATGCATGAAAGTTCTGGATGTGTTCCTCGTTTGTTTGTTTGAAGCATCCCCTTTTGCCTCTTTTGTTTGTCTCTTTCGTTTTCCTCTCATTCAGATTCCCACGCATTTTATTCCCACCATTTCTGGGATAGAAAATTTTTCTCCAAATCGATTGAACGATGTCCAGATTTATACACACCACCACTTGCATAACCACACCACCGCTAGTAAAAATCGAGTTTAGCTCAATAATCGACTTTCCATCAATTAATACGTAAAAAAACTAGAAAGCTTATGTTCACAAAGAAATCACTGCTTGCCCATCTGCCATCACTGCGGTGGCAGAGGGGTCTACAGTAGAGGGTAGCAGTACTGCACCTCCTCATTCCTTCTTCTCAGGGGCTGTAGGATGTGATCAGCTTATGAGCCGAGAGTCTACTACTGTACATGTAAGGCTCCTTCACACACAAACGCTACCGGCTCAAATTGCTGGGGAATAAACAATACTCCACATATCTATCCACTTTATGTCATAAGTCACAGGAGGAGAGGTCGAAAACGGAGTTGTGGAGTAGTCGAGTGCCCTCTATAGATACCTGAGAGAAGCGGGAGTGAACAATAGTATTGAGAGGTGTTCTTTACGCTGCCAAACCAGAAGCAACATAGTTGACTACTCGTGGACAAGTTTATTGTGATCAGATGAATGTTTTCGGCGCTGTCCAGATTTACTAGGGGGTTGGATCTATATATAGCGGTTCTCGAAGAGTTCCATGCGCCGGAAATGCCTAAAATGGCAATCCGATAGGCGATGTTCTACGGATGGGGCTCTGTGACGCGTTCGTCACGTCAAAACATCAGGAATTCCAAGTTCATACAAAAAACTCCATGTGCTTTGGCCTTCATGTGGCTTTCCCTAGCTTTTCCCTGTGCAGTGTGACGCGTCTGGCTGTTTTCGGCTCTCCCCTCTCCCCTCTCTCCCTCGTATTGTCTACGCTTCTATCCCTTTTGTCACACTTAAAACCGAATATAATATATATATTGCTCGTCGGAGTCTATGTATATGGTGATACAGTAACTAGCACAGCTCTCAAGAGCCCTCGGCCGAGAATTCCATCGTATCGGGAGACCGACATCGGTTCATTATTGTACTGAATCTCTCGATCAATTGTAATAATACGACAACAATGTCAAGAATGCTCGACTGGACCGGACTTGATTCCATTCTCCCCCCAGTGGCAACCCGCAAATTCATCCCACTTGCCTTCCAGTGTTGACTAAGCAGGCCGTACCCCCACCAAACGCGGGCTCCAGCTGAAGCGGCGTATCTGACAGTACAGCAATTAATTACACCGTAGCTCAAAAATACCGGCAATGAAAGGTGCTGCCGTGCCAAGACTCCGCGTCTCTGCTGCGTTACCGGCGCAAAACGGCTTTCTGCGCGCGAAACGGCCGAGGATATTTATATTGCTCAGGCCGCCAGTGACATCGGGGCTATCACAAGCGCATATAAGTGCCCAATATCAAGACTTTCGAGACCAGGTATGGAACAATAATAATGCAGGGGTTTCTCGGGACCGTTCTTGGCTGTATCGTACATACCATACAACTTAGCAACCCTGCTCTGATAAAACACTGAGGAAGCTATAGGTAGTGTGGGGGGAGGATTGGGCATCCGCATCCCAGCGTATGTATGTTATGCGCGGGAAGTATTACACCAAGTATTCTTGGGTGACTGTGGGGGTATGATTCGAGGGCTGATATTGCATGGTGTCTGCTGGGTTCGATATAAGAATAACAATACAAGAAGATCCCCGTCCTCTTCCCCTCCTCCAGCCCCTCTCCTCCTCCTCCTCCTCCTCTTCGTCTTGCTCTTCCTTTCAACTCGCGCACTCTTTTATACCCTCTTCCATTCTCTATATTTCTCTAATAATTGTTTGTGCCTGGTTTTGCTCTTACTTGTGCTGTAATTCAAATACCCTTGCGGCTTACTGTTGCTCCTTGCCTCCGCGAATCTGGTCAGGTCAAGGACATCAAAAAATTACTTGTCCCCCCTCCATATAGAGAGCAGACCAAGACCCCAATTCTACCTTCAAAATGCAGAGTATGTTGCTTTCCTCCTATAGATTGACAGACGGACATATCACTGCACTATATCTATGGCCACAATGCTGACCTTTTACTCCTCCATGAAGCCAAACACTTCTTCGCCGATCCCACCCAGGTTGTCAACTCCGCCCTCGCATCCCTCACCCTCACAAACCCCTCCCTCGCATTCGACCGTCCCAACAAGATTGTATATCGTCGCCCTACCTCAGATTCCTCCGCAAACCCAAAAGTCTCCATTGTCTCCGGCGGTGGTTCCGGCCATGAACCCGCTTTTGCTGGCTACGTGGGCAAGGGCCTCCTAACCGCCTCCGTGGCTGGTACTATATTCGCCTCCCCTTCCGCTGAGCAGGTCAGGACTGCGGTTATGGAGCGCATTGAAACCTCCAAAGGTGTCTTTATTATCTGTATGAACTATACCGGTGACGTCATGAATTTTGGGATGGCGGTGGAGAAGGCGAAAGCGGCGGGGATCAAGACAGAGTTCTTTGCAGTTGGTGACGATGTCGGTGTTGGAAGAGCAAAGGGTGGTAAGGTTGGCAGGAGAGGTATTGGAGGCGGTATTCTGGTATTGAAGATTGTAGGCGCGCTTGCGGAGTCAGGGTAAGTTATGGACGCTGTCCAAGTATCACCTTTTCGAGTTATCAAATGAGTTACGTTGTTAACATTTAATATTTATAGCGGGTCTCTGGATGATGTATATCGAATCGCACAGCTTACTGCGGAGAACACTGTCACTCTTGGAGCTTCGCTCGAACATGTCCATGTTCCTGGACGAGAAATTCCAGATCCCAATTCCGACGAAATGATACCCAAAGATGAAATTGAAGTGGGAATGGGAATCCACAATGAGCCAGGCTCCCATCGAATCAAAGCTAACGGAGAAGAACTAATCAAGGGAATGCTTGTCCAGCTGCTGGATCAGAATGATCAGGATCGTGCGTTCTTAAAATACTCCGCTTCAGACAAATTTGTCCTCCTCGTGAACAACCTTGGAGCCGTGAGCACACTGGAGTTATCCGCGGTAACTGCTGAGGTTACAGCCCAGCTGGAGCGGGATTACCAAATCAGACCTGTCCGCACAATCCAGGGAACCTTCTTGACCAGTCTAAATGGAATGGGATTCAGCATCTCCCTTCTTAGACTAGCTGACACGGGTCTTGGGCCCGGGAAATCGCTTCTAGATCTTCTAGATGCCCCCTCTGAAGCCGTTGGTTGGTCAGCTCCCGTGGCAACTTCGACTTGGGAAAATCAATCAGATGCTACATACGACACCAAGAAAGCAGTTGTCGCTGAAGAAACCCCCTCCAACCTCAAACGTACGCCTTTCACACCACCCCCCCCCCTTTTTTTTTTCTAAACCCCCTTGCCCCATCCACTAACCCCTACTGACACAATCGAGCCCTCCAGTCGATCCCTCCGTCCTCAAAAAAGCCCTAGCAGGCGGGCTTAACCGCGTAATCGACGCCGAACCTCTTGTAACCAAATACGACACCATCGTCGGCGACGGTGACTGCGGCGTCGGCCTCAAGCGCGGCGCGGAAGCCATCCTCTCCTTCCTCAACGACCCCTCCCCCACCACCCCGCTAACAGACGACCTCGTCACCTCTATCAACAAAATCATCCCCATCGTCGAAAACGTCATGGACGGCACCAGCGGCGCTATCTACGCCATCTTCCTCAACGCCCTCGCCCACAGCATCCGCGAACAAGCTCCAGCATCCCCAACCCCCGTCACTGCCAGGGAATGGTCCACCGCGCTTCACCACTCCCTGCGCGCGCTGGGGAGATACACCCCCGCGCAAGTCGGTGATAGGACGTTGATTGACGCTCTTGCGCCGTTCGTTACGACGCTGGCGGAGTCGGGCGATCTGGGTGCGGCTGCAAAGGCTGCGGAAGATGGCGCGGAGGCCACGAAGCATATGAAGGCTAGTTTGGGCCGGTCTGTATATGTGGGTAGTGAGGAGGAGTGGATTGGGAAGGTGCCGGATCCGGGAGCGTTTGGGCTCGCGCAGTTTTTTGGGGGGCTTACGGATGCTGTGTAGATTTAAGCGCTTATTTAACTAATAGCTAAATAGCTAACTAGGTTGTTTTAAATGCACAACATGAGTTTTAATGGAGGTTTTTTTTTTTTTCCCTTCTACTTTCTCTTAAAGAAAATGCAAATACAAATTTAATCTATTTATGTTGGAACAAAACAACGGATCGATCCTTAAGGTGGGGATAACACATCTTAAGATCATATGTCACGCACCCGGACCCCTATTTCATTCGTGGGACTCATTTGATATATACTTCGTTGTCTTTCGACCATGATAACTGCAAAATCGTGTATCCGATATTTAATCGAAACCATATAGATATAACAACATAATTCCAATCATCGCTCATCAACAATTACAATACCCACTTACCCCTTAATCAAAAGAACATCCAACCCCAAAGCCCACAACAACCTCCCAACCTCCCCCAAACCCGAAACCCGTGCAGCCCTAGACTTCGCACCGCCCACACTCCCCCTCACAAACCCCAACGTGGCATTCCACTCTGGCACCGACCTCCCAAAAGCAACCGATCCGACCTCTCTTCATCAATCGACCCTTATTACCTAGGATGAAAAGCCCGGACATGACCACCTGCGCCACGCGCGCGTTGAAAGAGCCCGAGACCCGGGGTACGAGGACGGGGTCACCAGCCCAGTCTCCTTGTATTCTCTTGATGGGGCTGAGGAGGGAGCCGCCGTGGAGGAGAATAGTCGGTATCGGAGATGCCGGTGCAGATGCGCTGTAGGCGGGTTCATCATTGTTGTTATTGTTGTTGCTGGGCATGTTGGTCATATCGTAGATCCATATGGGCCCATGGTTGCCGAGCTGTTTGAATAGATGGTTGGTAAAAAATCATTTCAGTATCTAACCGATGCACTGGTTTGTTGCTTGAAAAAACAAACGACGTACGCCATCCCGGTATAAGGATGGATCTCCTGGTAGTTGGAGTAACTGGCATGCCTCAATGGAGAAGCTGTGAAGAGATCCAGGGAGTGATTTACTTCCGCTGCAATCCAATATAGAGAGCAGCTTCAATAAATATGTGCTGGAAATCAATAAATCCAGACATAGATCCCAAAGCGGGATATCTAGTTCACTTGTAGAAAAGGGCTCCGGATAACAAAATATGTGATTGAACCTGAAGCGGCTTCCATTCAAGAGAACACAGCAACATACCATACAAAAAGAATGCGTAAGGGAACTTGCTTCAGGCACCATATGATCCTTCAGAGAGCCTTCTAGAGGCACTTTGCTGATTGATCGTTTTCAACTGTTCTGCTATGCGTTCACTGTTCCGTGCAATACTAGGCCATCACCAATCCGTTTACTGAACTGCCCTGCGGGTTTAATGTCGTTCAGCGAAACATCCGCTGATCTCTATTTTATACACTGATTTGGGTCATAGCTCATGTATTTTGGCCCGCTTATCCGCAGTAAGACAAAGTGATTTTCACGTCACCAGCTTCAATACCAAATCAGAGCCAAGCTCTGCATTCCAGTCCAACAGTGAACGGAGTTCCCCATCACCATAAAGCAGAGTTCGGGCTTTGCAAGCAGCGTAATGAACAACCAAGTCGCGGTGAGGAGATCCACCGCCTGGCTCATCCCGACTGGTGTGCTCATATGTAAATTCTATGAGCTCAAGTATCTGCGAAGTTGTATTTTTGTCGAGGGAGAAAACACAGAGGTCTCGGTGTAGAGACTTCAGGCACTTCGCCCTCAAGGTGTCGACAAGATATTTCGTCGCAAAAACGTATAACTTGGCATGGAACAGAACGTTAGGCTCGGTTTGAGATAGATGCTGGCTCTCCTGCGAAATCCCGAGCAGTAAAGTTCTGCCAGAGGTGGTTAAAGGGACAATTGTGGCAGGTTACCTCTTCCTGCCAAGGAGGGTCATTCCACTTGCATTTCTTCCCTTTCTTCCTGGAGTTCAGCCGATAAGAAGACTCCATAATGTGCACCTCAAATTCATTAGCCGGGGAAGGCTCAACAGTTTTGTGACCATATTCTGAATTCTCTGAAGACGTCAGGTTTGGCGTTGTGTAGGTACTGGTGTACAAGAACTCGCAAAACGTGAGAAAGGTGTCTTCCTCCACGTCCTCCAGGACCGCAAGCCGCGAATTCGATTCTTGCATCTAGCCATTATTGATCAATGCATAGAGAGGCTCTGAAATGTTTCGCACAGCACCTGCGTGGATCGTCAGGCTGGAACGGTCCTTGCCAATGAGAAATGTGAAGGCAGGGGTGCTGAAGATGCTATGACTGTTAGCATAAAAACTTGTGAGGCAGCTGAATGTTCAAGTACGATTCGTACCTTTTGTAATCAGCCATTTTCACACCAGATCAAGGATTAGGCTTCCTTCCTCCAAGATATATTGAGAGATTAGAACACTGGCGGGCGCGGTAGTGAAATAAGTGTCATCCAGCAATCCCATAGAGCTCGCGATGATGGGGTGAGCCAGCTAGTCCAATGAAATCGCGACACAATTTATATCTGCAGTGACATGTCATCATGAGAAGGAGCAAAAGGAACAAAGCCATCTGCTATCTTTCATGGCTCTGATAGGATGGATATGTACTCTATTCCATCCTCTAGCCAGCTAGCATGAGCACCCCCTGACCTCCCGCAATTGTGCATGGTTGGACATATTATAGTTCTAAGGCTGGTAGTGAATGAGGCCCAATATCAAAATAATGTAGCACCTAAAGATATGTTAGAAATTGCGAAGGGTTATACTTTCACGGGTATCAGCATGTGGCACTTGGGATGTAGAGGCCAGTTATGATGCACTGGTGACAGTTCTATTTGTTTCATCTTTTTAATAGTATCAGTCGCAGTCACGAATGAACTTTACCAGAAGCTTCCAGAAGACTTGGGAGATACGCGCAACAAAGAGTTGTTTGATTGTAGAAAGAATGGTGGTGCACGCAGGCCTCCACATGAGCCTTGTCGCTGCCTGAGATGTTGGCGGGGTTGGATGCTTTCCCAGGCTTCCCTCCAGACTCAATGTCTGGTTAAGTAAGTGGCAAACGTACTATGCCCCGGAAGTGGTTTTGAAAGAGAGACTTCAGAGATTAAGAGCGAGGGAGAGCAAACGGGCATTGCTATTGTATGCTTCTTTGCTTCTCACGGGTCGTTATATTTTTATTATTTATCCCATTTCCTTATTGCGCCTTGTAGATGTTAAACACTGTGAACACAGAAGAAAAGCAGACGTGCGGGAAAGGCTGTTTGTAGAGTGTAAACCCCCTAAAAAAAATTCTCCGGACGCCAGAAACATGAAGGTTAAGTTTTGAAATTTGTGTCGATCGGATTCGTTACACGGCTTATTTTTATCCTTCCTTCGGTTGCTTCAGTCTGTAAGACGCCAGGGTACAGCCTTGTCCTGCAGAAAATAGATAAAAGGGAAGCTCCAAAGATTCATGAGGACTTGCCAACCCAAGCACATGGCATGGATATTGAGGCCTGCAATTGGGTATAATACAGAATGCATAAGTATCTTCTATCACGGCGGCCTGGTTGATGCCATCTTCCTCTCGTGGCTTGTAACCGCCGGGAAGCCGCAAGCGTTTGGTCGCATGCACATTATTCAACTCAACAGAACTAGGATGACAGAGTCCCCTCGTAGGAACCTATAATAGAAATGTCAAGGTTAGCAGGGCCGACCTAGGTAACACCTTGGAAGCCATTGACAAGTATAGGAACCATGTAATTCACACAGTTGCCAGTAGCTAGGAGGCATGTATTGGTTTGGACATACATCTTGCTAACAAAGCGATCCTTGTTGACGCCCTTGCCCTTTCCACCTTTGGGTTTCTCTGTCCACATCTCCTTTACATTCTCCAGGACCATGTTGCAGTGTCTATCGAATGCCTTGACTCTGGCTAATAACTTGCGGTTATTGCGACATGAGATCAAGACTTGGGCATGAGAGCGCGTTGCGGTTTGCAGAATGGACAAAGGACCAGAAGTGAGTTCATGTTCTTCCAATATCGAAACCTCGTATTCCCTATAGAGATAGGAACCGAATAGCAGGGTTAGCTTTTAGACGCGATAATGCTAAGGGTTGGTAGCAATTGAACAAAGCGATGAGGATGGATGCCAAGGATGGATAGGTGATGTTGGACAGGTGGGCGCGGGGAAAAGGGTGAGGAATGTCACAGGGAAGGTAGCGATGGCGTGGCGGTAAAGGTATATCCAAGGCGACGCCATTTATTACATACGTGAGTTCGCTGCGAGGCTTGTTAAGCAGGTCTCTGTGGGAATAGCAAGTGGTATCACGTTAGCCCATATATCTATCAAAAGGAAGAGACGAGAAGCTAGTATAGTATGCATCAAAAGGTGACGTATGACTCATGCGGGGGACAGCGGAAGAAGCTGCTGCTTACTGGATCTTCGTGTCCGACATGGTGAGAGCTGGGTATAAAAGGGAGCTGGAGGGAACGTCTGCGGCGTTAAGAATTGAACCTCGAGATATCGCAGCTTCTGGTGGTTTGATGTTGGACGCTGCCTGATCGAGCCTAGTGTCGGATATTTGTTTATGCGACCGCGTCCATCACGTGATTCAGACGCGTTCGAACCTTGCTTCGCCAAGATTTAGTGGAATATTCTTGGCATGCTTAACTAGCTCAACGCTTAGTCACCAAATCCCGCCCTGTCCTAACCGCGTCAAATTGCCTATTTCGTGCTGCTTCACGTCGTCCCGTTTACTTCTTGTCTTCTTTTCTTCCTCCGTGTCTCCCGTCCTCTTGTAATTGTTGCCTTGTTCAGCAATTCGGGGTGGCGAGGATCTTCTTTTTATTCTTTTTTTTCCCTCTTCAATTGCTATTCCATTTTCTTACCTCTCTATCATCTATTCTACGCCGTTCTAGTTCGTGTTGTCACACTATCCCGCACTTCCAACGCGGCTCTGCTACGCCCAACGAAATTCACAATTCACCTTAATCTTTTCATAGCAACAAATCTCTCCTCTCTCTGTTCATTGCATGGTTTAGGCTGCCTCTGTTGTCATCGATACCACAATCATATACTCATAATTAACCCGCGTCGACCGCTTGCCGCTATCAACTTTCCCAAGCCCGACTTGACGTGACGGAAGCTTCAATTTTGGTGTCCACTAGGCGGTGAACCGCGGATTCCCCCTCCCTCTCACCCCAGGAAAAGGGAACTATAAGAAGCTATAGCATCCCTCTATTTGTGTTTATACTGTGGATATCTGCAATTTGAAGCTACTAGTCCCAGCTTACAACCGCTTGAAATGGCGTCCGAGGATGGCATCTCGGTCCGCCAGCTGAGACGTATGTTTACCATAGCTATTATGTTCTCCACCAAAAAATTTCATGTCTAACAAAAAATCCGTTATAGTCAAGGTCCTTTACACATTCGATAGCGAGAACAAAACAAATTGTTTGGCTCGATGGCCCCACCTCATGGACATCCAAACAGCCTATATCGATGAAGAGACCCAGGTTGGGGTTATCGAGCTGAAGACCTGCATACAGGCCATTGTTTCCGCTAGGTATGGAATAGCACCGCACTTCTCCAGGCCAAGGGTTAACATAAATTGATACATTTTTCAACAGCCCCGAGTTGGTTGCCAAAGTTGGTCGAGATTATACAATCTACGCCTACGACTATTCTGAGTACGAGACGCCATTGGTTGGACAAGGAATGCTATCATGGATTTTGGCTTCTGCGTCACCGACTCCCGATGCCCCGGCACATCAGTCGAAAACAATGGTTACTGGTCGTGTTTGCAAGAATTCCTTTGGCCTTTTCTCGAAGGGGGGACAGGAGACGTTAGAAGTTAAATTGCGTCTCGTGCCGGTCCCAACAATTTACCAGAACGAATACCTCAGCAGCATGCATAAGTACCGAGAGTCGAGTCACGCAATGCCACAAGAGTTTGATGCTCAATCATGGACCAACTTTGTTCAGGCCAATCCTGGCCTCCTGGCAGCAGGCGGCTCCGGTTCTGCTCCCCCTCCTGAGCTCGCCCCTTCTCCAGTGGACCGATCCGGAATTGAGCGACTGCATCAGATGCTGAGCGAAGGCTCAACCCCAAGAGAGTTTTCGAATATCACAACCGCAGAGCCCTATCATGCCGATTCGCCTGCCCATTCAACACACGCTGCACCAAGTCGAACTTCCACTCCTGGGCTCACAAGGCCGTGCAGCCAACATCAAAAAAGGCCCTCTGGGGATGCATTTCGACCATCTTCCCGGGCGTCTGGCTACGACACGGACTCTCGCCGACAGCCAACTCCTTACATGGGTCGGCGAGATTCAACTTTCTCCGGATATGGAAGCAATGACGAAGTAACTGAAGCACCGGCGCCGAAACGAGCCAAGCTATTGAGGGCGGATTCACAGGACAAAGCTTACATGAACATAGAAAGGCAGCCTGGTTCCCTCCGCGTCGCAGCAAGTACTGCTGCATCTGTACGCATCCACCGCCCCATGCCCATGAACGCAGCGGCTGCCCGAGCTCAGACATCCAACGACGACCCTGTCCGCCCACCTACGCCTATTCCTAGAGGCACCACCGGTGCCGCCCGTCCCATCCGTCCATCACTCAGCAATCTTCGCCAGGAGTCGTCCAGCGCCAGCCAAGTCCCGTATACCTCACCATACGCGCACCCTCCCGAGACCGCTGTTACCTCACCCGAAGATGTTCGATATGGAAGTGCCATCGATACACCTTTCAATATGCCATCATCACCCCCAGTAATGGAAAATATGTATCCCCAGGCGTCTAGCCCCCTTCTTCCGCCTCTCCCTGACCATGACTCGGGTTTTATGAGCGGCAATTTAGACTCAATCCTCGACGATAATTGCATAGGGAACACGCTTGACGATCTTGAGACCTCCGCAAGCCAAGTGAGGCAGGCACCGGTCAACCCCGGTAAAGAAAAGCCCGCTTCGCCATCTCAAAGCGTCCCCCAGTTGCATACAAATCATAACCACTGTTTTCCGATGAGCGATAGTGTAGTAGATACGACCGCCAATGAACCACCACCAACCCTACCACCACCCCCACCAAGAAGACTAACCGGGTCCCGTCCTTCCTCGCGAGCTAGCATTAGGCAGAATGCGAAACCTCTTGCTCCTGCTCCTATCTCCCAGAGCGAAGCAGAAAGATTAAACCGCCAGACAATTCCCGCTAGCGACCCTGTGCGCCCTGCACTGACCTCACAGCAACAAACTCAGGCGTGGAATGGTCCATTGAGCGACTTTCCGACCTCTACCACTCCCGCTCCAATGCCTTCGGACTATGGCAAAGTACGAAGTGGAGCAGGGGCCAGGAGAACCAAGCAGGTCCAGGCACGTCTGGAGCAATGCATTCGTCAAGGCACTGTTCCACCTTATTGTGAAAATTGTGGGGCAATTGAGACACCTACCTGGAGACGAGCCTGGTCAAAGGTTATCCAGGGCAGCGCGCAAGATGCAGATTCCTGTGCAGATGATCCTGCCATGCTCTTCTGGCGCCCAGAGGAATTTGGCCCGGACGGAAAAACTGTCATAGCTTTCAAGCAATTCAAAAAGTCATTGGCAGATCACGATAAAGATTTTGTTCAACTCTTACTGTGCAATCGTAAGTCTAAACGTCCCTTTGATTGTCTTTCAAAACTTGACTAACATTACTGTAGCATGCGGCTTATGGCTCCATAAATTCAAGACTATGCGACCAGAGAATAAATGGAACAAACAACCCCCAAAAGACAAAGGAAAACGACCAATAAGAAGAACCAAACCCCTAGCCGGTACTTCGACGAGATCATCCCGTAGTAAAGCCCTAGCTTCAAAGCGGATGGGATCGTCTCCTGGACCCATGGAGGCCTCCTCACCAACCGGAGAAGATGCAACCACTCCTGGCGACACTGGGAACGATACGACTGCAGCCAATGATGAGGATGCACCACCCCCTTCTCGATCCGTCAGCCGACGAGCCAATAGCGAGGAGCCGCCAAAGTCTGCTGATAAGCGCGGAAATCGATGGCGGGAAGAAGATGCAGTGAAGGCATTGCATCGTGCAATCCAATCTAGCCCTGCTCGGAACATGGAAAGCCGAACTCTGCCCTTTATAGAGGCGAATCTCACGCCAAAACCAATTCGCAGGTCTCTATTCCCTGCATCGAAGGATGATAATACCATGAAGACACTAAGTGATGCTTCGATCAATGTGGTACGGAGAAGTCCGCGGGTAGCGTCCAAGCAATTGAAACTGACACCTACCAGAGAAGGCGCTACTGCACGATTGGACGATGGCCTTGATAACCTTTTTGTCTGCAGTGACGCTGAAAATGATCCCTTACCATTTCCGGGTAGCCCTACGCCGCGACAAAAAAATAGGCGCGTTATGTTAACCCCGACTAAGCAAAATAACCCAGCTTCGGATTCGGGAAATTCAATGGACGGTTCAAAGAAGCAGGGTACCAATTCCTCGCCATCGAGATTGACTACTGAAGAACTTGAACGTGCAAGTCGAGAGGTATCAGGGCAAACACCCCGCGCTTATCGGATTAGCAATCTTCTCAAAGATGGCACTACACAAAGTTCACTCCAGAATAGCCCGCGGTTACGGAGTTTTGAATCCCTTGGGGGATTTGTTTTGGATATCTTCGATTCAGACGAAGACTCGATCGCACAAGCTGACTCATTTTACCCATTCATTCCACCGCATTACGAAACCGAAAATAACTGGGCTGACTGGGTTGCTGGAACCAGCATTTCCCCAAGGGCTGCACAATCTACGGATGCCGCTGTGGGTCAGGCACACGGCAACGATGCAACCCTGCCAAGCCAGCGGTTGGGTGAGGGCCATACATCCACCTTTAAAGAATCCGATTTATTACACCTTGACCTCGACGATCCGGTTTTGACTAGCCTCCTGCTTAGCGACTCAAATTTAAATCTCCATGAAAACCTGGGTGACCAACCTACCACTAACGATATCTCGAATATTTTTGATATGACAATAGCAAACTCGGACCTTCTAAGTACACAGCCCCAAATGAGTGGCTGTGTGGAGGACCTTGATGCCACTCTCGCGTCTGCTAGTACGCAAGAAGTCAATGAAAAAGCCAATGAAAAAGCCAATGTTAATGTCGATTCTGCAGCGAACGCCCAGGAAGCTAGTTAGATGGATGCATCTGATCGATTGTTTGTTTTCTACCTTCATCTATGCAGGTTGACATCACCGCTATTGCGAATTCATTTTTTAATTTTTTTCCCCCTTTTTAGCACGTGTCCTGTTGATTCAGATACCCCCTTGATTAGCATTTTTGGTTTTGTTTGTTTCCGAATTCCTTCGCTCTTTGTTCCCCGTTTGAATTTCCAGACTCTTTTTACGAAACTGGTTACGATTGATTTGTCTCGCCTTATGATTGTGGGTGCAATTAAGTGTTTAACGAATCTGTTTCGCCTACGCAGTGATTGATGTGTTTTGTTTTGTGCTCTGCATAATATATTTATGTTGGACAAACTTGAATGGAAAGGAGTGCGTGGCAGATTAACTGACTCCTCTTCACAATTATGAATTGGATTGTGATTTTTGTGCTTGAATATTTTTTTTTTCGCCCAAGCGTGAGCTGTAAGCCCGAAATCCATGAAAAATTTCTCATGTATATTCATTTCGGCTCCTTTTTTGCTGCCGAAGTCTCCAACTAAAGTAAATCGATTGGGCAAAATTTATACCTGAACGCCGGTCGTAAGATGGTAAACGATGATAAAATAGACATGAACCAGCCAGGGGAAACCCTACACAGAGACGGATCTGGTTTTAGCTCGCCCCTTGTTAAAAGAAAAACGAGCAAAAAAAGGCATCGACTGCGGCGCCACAGGCTCTCTCGAAACCCTCCTTATATGTATCCGTAGAGGGTAGAAATGACAGCAAATCTCTCTTTCCATCAATTAATAAACGCCCAACTGGAAAATTCTCCATTTTCCGAGCTGAATTGAAACGAATAATAACCATTCACTTCCACTCTCATGCCCGCTTCTCCCTGAACACGTCGCTTTACAGGGAAGCTGGAAATTGATGGGTTTCGGGATGCGAGTAAGCGTATGGATATCAAAATAAGGACGTTGTTTCGATAGGACATGACAACCACTTCATATTCCGATCCTTTTAGTAGAAGATGTCCTTTACTCGATGCGTTACGTCGACAACTTGTTCGTAGATTTTGTAGTCTATATTTTGAGAAAAACGGTACAATTAGCCATTATGTTTGCTTCTGTCTCGTTTTCTTCCCCCCTCCCCGACGTATAAAATAAAATAAAATAAAAAACCTACCAATATCCTTTGGATCACCACAATCCACTGCATTTAAAACCCGAATAGCCAGGCCCTATATGAAATCCACCAATTAGCAAAAAAAAAATTAACTTTCATCCCCACTCCACTTCAGTAAACCAAAACCAGATATCCAACGGAGGATGTATGCATAGAGCACAGTTGTTAATAGCTCACCGCTTCAGTCTGCGTAACTTTCCCGATAACGTCCACCATCCTGCCCAGTTGCAAATGCGCCTCGCGGTTCAAAATTAACGTGGCATTCCCATTGTTACCGCAGGTGATTGTCGCATGTTCACCGCGCAACTCTGTTACAGTTCCTAAGATGCGGATTGTGGTCGGCCCTGAGTGGTTTGGGCCTGGGAGGAAGGCGTGCAGGTGGTCTGGGAGGAGGCGCGGGGTTGAGAGGGACATGGTTTGGTTTTTGACCTTTCGAGGCTGTTTTCCGGGGACGCTGGGTTAAGGCTTTGTATTAGCTAGCTGGTGGGAAATTGACTGATAAAGGCAGGGGATTTTGTTTTTATTTTGCGTGAGATTGCTTCAATAATAATTAATTACTGTCGAGCCTGAGACTCGCTGGATGCGGTTGGAAATTATTTGGAATTTGGAATTTGGAATTGAGCTCGCCGCGTCGCGGGGTAAAGTACGCGAAAACACGTGATGCTCAGCGCACTTTCGGCATATTTTCGGCTTCTTCGTCCAATAGTTGGAAAATGTGGGATTTTCTCAGTTCAATAAACAGCCCCCGTAGCCCAATGGTAGGGCGTCAGACTTCTATCAATGTCCAGGAAGCTTCGGGAGAGTTTATCTGAAGGTTGCGGGTTCGAGCCCCGCCGGGGGTGTTTTCACGTTTGTTTTTTTGCGTATGCTACAAGAGAAAATGTCCTGTGATATAAGCTTCATTATTATTAGTTAACTTATTATTATATTTGGCCCCAACAGACGGATCCATACCGCTACATAGAAAGAACATTGCCCAATAGAAATTGTTCAGCTTCGTCCCTGCGTCTCCCGTATCCCCCACATCGAATCGATACCCGCCCTATGCGAATATAGCTCCACTGCGCGCCGTCCTCGGACCCCAACCAGGGTGAGGGCCAGTAGAAGAGGAATCTGTGGCCCTGAATCTTCGAAACCCAATCTCCTCCGATGCGGCTGCTCGATGCACGCATTGCTCAAGGGACAGCCAGTTTCTCAGTGTCCAGCACGGGATGTATTGCTCGAGGCAACATCACCATAAGCTTGCTATGAGAATTCTCCGCCGGCTATTCGTTCAACAGGTCAACTCAAGCAAGAGGATCGAAGAAAATGACCCGCCCACCGGCCCGCAGGGCCAAGAGTTCGTCTTCGTAAAAGGTTGTTGTAGTTTAATTGCGGGATGACAGTTGGCGCGGAGTGGCAAGCTTCGTTTCTGAGAGCTGGTGCTGCTGGCAGTCAATGCTGGCGGTCATTAAAGAGGTAGAGCGGCGGTTAGATGGATGGACAGGATAGGAATACCAGAATAAACCATCCTCCATTTTCCGCTTTCCCGCCTCAAGCAAAAATATAAATCTCAATTCAAGCTCCTTTCTCCTGGGTATGGAGAGGAGCGGGAGTCTCCCGAAGAGCATCAGCGTCCTGCCTTTTGGTGCAAAGCATCGTCGACAGGATCGCGATCTTCGCTTTTCCAGGCCAAAGGGTTGGCCGTGTACGCAGCGTAGTCATAGTTGCGCCCACTCTATGCAGTGATGCAGTGATTTGATCTTCTAGTTCCTTCATAGCCCGTCGGGATATTGGGGTAGAGGACTGAAATCGCTGGCGGTGTTCAGAGGCCGAACTCGTATCCGCGCGAAGATCCCCGCCGTAAGGTGAACGCTTTACGCTTTCTGCGCATATAATAACACTGGCTCTCCTTCCTCGCGCAGACATTGTGTCTCTTTTTTGGGTTTTCCATTTCCCTTTTTTTTTTTTTTTTTTTTTTTTTTTTTTTTTTTTTTGAAATTTTTACGATTTTTTTTTTTTTTTTTTCGTGTTTATCTCAACGATACGGAGTTTTCGGCGCGCAGAACAGGAAGCTGAATCGTAGCCTAGTCGCAATCAATAGCTCAACGTTCATTCGCCAACAAGCGCGAGTGCTAAAAGTGTGAATTCAAAAAGCCTAGCATGTACCTACATGTTCATAAGGAATATTTCTTCTCCTGTGGAATACACATCAGGTAGGCAGCGTGAATTCGCCTTCAGGCTAGATGTTGAGTTGGCATGAGATTGTTGTGTCTGGCTTCTGGCTTTTTGTGAAAGGGGACCTAATTCGACAGTACATCTGATAACTAGTACCCCGGAGAAGGGGATTGAAGAACGGAAATCTAGGGAAGTACATTCTATTGATGATGACCTCATTTCTGACGAACTTGAAGTGGGAATGGAAATTCCTAGAGTACAGGAATGAAATACTATATGCAATAGTATACGAACGGTACGAAAGAGAAAAAGGGAGGATTATTGGAAAAGGTGGAATAGGGGAAATAGGCGAATAAGAGAAGAAACATGTCAGTGTGTGGAATGTGCAAGAAACATCTGAAGTCGAAATATCTCCAACCCAAAGGCTCGCCTCGCAATCTACCTTGAGAAAACCTGGCGCATGCCCATCCCATCGGTGCTTCAACTGCCCCTTTAGACCCGAACCTTCAGCTTATCCCAACTTGTCTTCCCGGGCCACCCATCAGCATCCCTGCCCCGATATCCTAGCTTATTCTGCCACTTCTTGTACGATGCGCGATCCGCATCAGTCCACTGAGGCCCTGGGCCTTCCTTGTACGCGCTGCATCCCACTGCAACCAGTCGCTTACCCATCGCCGTGATGATTTCACTATTTGGCTTCCGGTGGAACCAATCAGAGCCGGGGAACTTGACTGCCGTCGTACCTGGCTCCCTGGGTGTCTTGGGCTTCGACTTCGGCTTACTTGCACCCTTCGAAGGATTAAGCTTGCCATTCTTGACGAGTTTGTAAAGTGGGCCACCCGGACATGAGGTCGCGTATCCATCACGATGGCCTTTAACTTCCTTCCCGCAACCTTTCTTGCGCAAGTACTTAACAGCATCCTTGATACCCTTGATCATTTGCTTCGAGGGTTTAGTGTCACCCTTGGAACCAACTAATCCGAGAACTGATTGATGGTTTTTGTTGAGCCTTCCGCTGCCATTGGCACCAGTGCGCCATTTGGCGCCGCGAGCCTCGAAGACATAGCCGTGCTGGCAGACAGCAAGAGTGTATGCAATGTCACTATAACCCTCTGTTGGGTGGTTGAGGTGTTGGCGTTGGATGCTTCTCAACTTTCCTGCGCATTTGGAGTGACCGCCTTTGGCCATATACCCGCCGGTGTAATGGATCTTGACACCTTTGTTCCTAGTGGCTGGTGTCATCGAGGACTTCGCGGGCCTGGCTCCCCATTGTTTTCGGGTGACGAATTTGATGGCTTCGGCTGGCTGGATGAATGACTGGTGGTAACAGACAATCAGGGCGAGGACGGCGAAACGAATCAGCATTAATAGCTTTCGATTGGAAGATCGTTGGCCTAAAAGAGCTTCCCAGAGCCCTGGCCTCGTGGCCGGGAGGGCGCTATCGTGCCCCATTTTGGTGGGGTGTTCAATTGAAGTGGAAGATGGAAGAAAAAGAAAATCAATCGGAGAACCGAGAAAAAGAGGGTGGAAATTGGAAAAGAAAAAGGAAACGCAAAATGGAGCGTCTATGTCTGATTCCCGATGTTTTGATCTTTTGTTGATGCTGAGCAAGGAAATAAGGCATCTCTAAGGCGGCTTCAGCGATGCTTTTATGTTCAGCACCTTCCCTTCGGCTAGCCAATAAAGAACGCTAACAGAAGTCCTAATTTTTAGGGAAGAAATGGAACGCTTCAGGCTCATCGCCCCTCATCTTTGAAGACTTGCTTCAACATCTTCTCGTATAACAATTTGCTATCGAAACACTCTAGGCTCTCAGCCCTCGGAGACCGAAGGGGGCTGGGTTGGAAAGACCCTGTTCGGATAATACAAGGGTTCTGCGTTGAATCTGCTTTTGCAACAGGGCTCTGATGATACGAGAAGCTGCATATTCACAGCGTCCTTTTCTTGCCGGATGGAAGCTCAAAGTAATGTTCTCAATAGAGATGCAACGACTGACACAGCTGTGAAATACGGAAGCGAAGCAGCTTGGACTCAATAGCAATGCTGATCCGTTTCAGCGAGGTGAATAAACATAGTTTATCTTCAGTTTTCTCATCGCCTCTCGAGCGCAAAACAGGTACATGCCGCGTAGAGTCATGGCATCTACAAGTCATTGGACGGCAATGCCGTATGTTCTATCACCATATCAGCGGAAGAATGATACGAAGCCAAAATGAAGGATGGGTTAGCTGTGTCGTTTCACAAGATCAATCGCGGCAAGACGCACGGATCAGGAAGGCGTTTTGGTTTAGTTCGCTCCAAGAATTGGACGGCCATCAGTGAGCCAATCTCCCAAAGTGCAGCAGACGGCTAAATACGAACATTAAATTTAAAATTTCCAAACTTGCCTGAACAATAGGGAATTTGATCGCATGTGTCAGGGGACATTTGAACAACTCTCAAATTGTTCATACCGACTGCTGGCAACCTGGAGTATTGCACGTGCTGCAACTCCCAATTTTCCCTGGGATTTCGAAGCACCCAGCCTGCCAATCAAACCGGGGTGTGCAGGGCACGGCGTTGGCATGGGAGCGGCTCCACATAACCTTCTCGCGGACCAAGCAGCGACGACATCATTGCACCAGGACCATGAAGAACCACCGAACAAGTTCTTCTGCGGGCGCCCGTAGCTGTAGCCTATTGGCTGGTGCGTTTCTTGGCCAGGATGTTCCCTGGTTCCTAGGCCATGTCACCCCAAAATCCTCGCTGCAATCATAGCCTGTCCCATTGGTGCTTGCAGTGGAAGTGCAGGGACAGGATCTTGTACAGTAGTACCTCTCATGTTCGTGGGGTTTGATACATCTCGTATTTCCCGGAGACCTGGGGCCCTGGACCTGAACAATACAGAATGGCCAAGATGAGAAGCATGGAATTCCACTCCTAGCAAAGTAGCAATCCGAATTCAGCAAGTCCTCAGTTGGTCCGGACGTAGGGAGCATGTGATAGCTGTTCCAAGGTGTTAACGTTAACGTTATTTCACTAACTACTCCGTATGGGGAACGAGATGGAATAATAATATGGGGTTAGTCGCGTTTCCTCGTTGCATTGATAGACCTAATTCGGACGTGCTCCGGCCAGATCCAGAAGCGCTTTCAGTGTTGATAGCATTTCCCATTACTGATTCATTGTCCACGATTTAGAAGACAATGTGCTGCAAAAAATTCTTAAATACCTCCTATACCGCATAATCGATCTCTTCACCGCGAATCAATCGTTGAAATGCATGTTTCTTCCCATGTTTGCTGCTGAATAGAAAAATGTGAACTAAGCATGGATGGCGTCCCCACTCTTTACTGAGATGGCAGGCTTGTGATCTTCCTTTTACTTTTTTGTTTTCTCTTTGGTCATAAGCAATTTTGTCGGTCGTGCCATTATTGCTCGTATGCCCAAAAGGCCCCAGGCTTGGCCGCCCGTATTCGAACGTGCAAACGGCGCGGTGACATCGCGAGGACAGGTGCTGCGCTTCTTGGAATGAGGCAGCGCCTATTGGCATTATTAATAATAACGCCGAAATCCATGGATCCTTCACTTTCACAAGCTGTCCGCCTCTTTCGTAAGGGCCGCTAAGTCGCCTCTTTCGTAAGGGCCGCTAAGTGTCGCAAAGCCCCCTTCTTGGAGTCAACCCTGGGCTTTGAGGAGACATCGACCCGTTGAACAAGTTGAGCCTTCTCGACGGAGAGCACCGCGAATCGGCGGTATGAGATTCCCCTAGGGTCAAGGTTGGGGAGGCAGGATTGATCTTCAGGGCACACTGGATCGTATTGTAAGTTCACATGTGATGATGTTGAGATACGAAGCTGCAGGGGAGCAGGCAATGCGGCATTCGTGATCCATTATTAGTTGAGTTTCAAGTATCTTTGACAGACCGGAAGTGCTGGTACGCCCATAATGTTGCGGATTTACACCAAATAGTTAAGATATAGCTTAAATAAACAAGGAGCTGAGGACGTGTGATTCTCAGTTACCCAGTCTGTGCCACTTTATGTTGTTGCACAGAGTGCTCCGTTTTCACCAGGTGCGTAGGCATCGAAGAAAAAGTGTCCCTACTTTCAATCAAGATAGGCAAGATTTATAGCTGTTCGTCACGCACTCCTGGAAATAAATATTGGATTTCATCGATTTAGAACGAAGCATTAGTGCTGGGAACGGCTTTTAGAGGCACTTTCTGGTGCATCTGGGCTGCAGAATCGAATGCGAACTGAACCAGGTAGGTAGGAAGAAAGGCATGGGCCTCTCGCCTTGACGAAGTTCGAGCACATTGAACTAACAGCTTAGTTAGAATGAAGCAATCGTTGAACCGCAATCTCATCGAAGCCGCGTATAAAACACATTGACCTACAAGGTCCTCTACCCATTTCAAACATATCATCAATCTCGCCGCTTTCACAACGTGAACCGCATCGAGATTCCTGGACCGTCAGTTACCAGGCAAGATGGAAGTCAAGACTTCTCAGGAACCTCTCAAACCGACCAGCCAACCCACAGAATTTCCGCTGTACCAGCCATTCACTATGTTTGAGGATCCCCCTTCCGTCGAATCGCTCTCTCTCTTCCAGGTGTGACTTGAATATTTTTTCTCTTTCAAATCAATACTTCTATCTTGCGGATTCCTCAAACGGGGTTGTGGGGGTTGATAATATAATACCCCCTTCATCTAGCACCAGATAACGAGCAACAATCTCACCCGATCAATGCGGGTTCCCATGGGGACAATCGCAGGCAAAGGCAAGGGGTTGGTCCCCTTCCACCTCAGAGGTGGATAGGCGCCCACACGATCAGAAGAGGAAGCGATAGGATCTAAATGCCTCCCTGGTGGATGTGGTCGGGGGATAGTTGATATTTATATATTGACTGGGAAATCCTCAGGACTTTCTGTCCCAACCGCAGGCTCGAAACGGCAAATCTTTTTGCTTGACAGTGTGTCTTTGGCGTGTTGTCATCTGGCTCAACTTGCAGCTGGGGAAAGTCCCATTCATTTCCAAAGGGAACGAAGCGCAATTCAAAATGCTGGCCCTGCTTAGTTGAGCAAGTAACAAGGGGATCCATGTGTGCTGTTGATGATGAAGGGGATATATCTAATCGTAGAACAGACGTGGATGTAGCGCTCTCTCCAACGTTGCTTGCCGCCAGATATGGATGAGATGGTAAAACTTCTCAGAACAGAGCAAGTTAGCAAATGTTTTTTTTTTTTTTTTTTTTTTTTTTTCTTTTTGATACAGGAACCTCCAGAATTCTCAAACGCAGCGTACTGATACTTAGCATCTCCATGACAACGACGGCGTCCCCTCCCCTTTATCTCATCATACATGCCTACATACCCTCTAACCTCCTCCAAACCCAGTGGACTAATATTGCCGAAATCGCATACTCAATATGGGCCATGCCCATATGTGCTGCGCTTCTTTTCCCTCCCCCCGCGGGGAAAAAATCAGCAATATCCCGTTCGTCAACCAAGCATTCAAGTCATGTGCACCTGAGGTACGTGTACTGTATGTACATGTACATGTACATACATACAAAGTTCCGCCCGTGTCTGTCAGGCCCTAGAAGAGCCCTCTTTATATCCGTCTTTTTGTTCCCTCTTTTCTTTCTTTCTTTCTTTCTTTCTTTCTTTTCCCCGACCTCAATCAATCCAAAGTCAATCGAATCGAATTCGATGTACTATGTCGGTGAGATCTGACGGAGAAATAACCAAGCCTGACTTCCTATAAACCAGACCAGACATGCGATTTTTCAATTCCCAAGGCGGAACTTCTATTGTACGTGCCCGCGGCAGGAATAAATTATTATTTATCCTCAACATAATGTACAGGTACAGGTACATACGTACATATACATATACCTGTACCTAGCGGAAAAGGGGGCGGCACACTTCAAATATGTACTGACTGGCCCTTTAGATACTTCGGTAAGTAGTTAGGCAAACTAGGTACATGTACATGTACATGTATGTACATTGTACAAACTATACTTGTCGGTCCACCTGTCAGACCTATTCATAACTAACTAGTTAGTTACATTAGTTACAGAGATTGATTAATCTTATATCATTGTAGTGGTTCTATTCAGTATAGAATTTATATAAAGTGATTTCATATATCACTTAATTAAAAGAATTTCTTTCTATTTAGTGATGTGATTGAATACAGCGTAGAGATTCTAGAGAATCATACATTTATTTTTATACATAATTATCCAATATTCTCTAAACTAGCAGTGAGATATAAGTATCACAGCAGTCAAGAGAGGTGTTGAATCTCCTGAGACAATTCACAAAGAGTTCAACTGCAACCATAACCTCTCATGTGGCCTAGAGTGTGTATTACATAGCAGCTAGATTCTTAATATCAACCAACTACTCATTATATTGCTAACACAACCAGTTTTAGCAGCCAGGGAACCTGCCCTGACTGCTAAGCAGGCGGATAGGGAATGCAAGGAATGCAACAAAGAGGAAAGGGGCATAAAAAGAGATATCCTCCGCCACGGCAGTTGACTCTTGTTTGTCCTTCCTTCTCTTTTCGTATTTTCATTTTAGCCTACTCATGTCTGGCCAGGCGGCTGGTGTATATATGTATGTGTGGATGTCATGTTGTGTGCGTTGTGTGTATGTGTCGATCAATAACTACAAGGCGCCTCCGTAAGAAATGATTAAGATGTCAAAGGGGAAAAAGGGGAAAAACCGTTTGCCTCCACACCACAGTGGAAAAAGGAGAAGGATTAAAAAAAAAAAAAAAAAAATAAAAAATAAAAAATAAAAAAATACACTATCATTAAATTTGTTGATAGTGCCCCTTCTTCCACCGCGTCTGCATCGTGATCATATCATTTTGTTCCGAGGTGAATCTGCTTTCCTGGAGAGCATTTTCCCTGCGGCCTGCTCTCCGTTGCTTGACGCAGCAAAATATGAGGACGAGAAAAGCGACGAGGGCAACTCCGCCGGCGGAGGCGTAAACGGCTATCTTTGCACCGCTGGGGAGCTCACGCCATTTCTGCCCGAGGGATTTTGGGGGAGGCTTGTGGGCTTCTTCGGCGAGGTAGGAAGTGCCACTGTGTGATGTTAGTTAGATATTAGTTCTCCGTTTTTTTTCAGGGATGTAGTTTTAAACGTACTTGTGAATTTTGATACTTTCCCAGGAGCCCGATCTATCAGTGTATTCATACTCCTTGCCGGTTGAGTAGTCATCGACCCTGAGTTTTTTCACGGTCATGAAAAATGGAACTTTGCTGTAATCGACCTCCCCACCAGCCCATTCGATGGTTCCCTTTTCGTTCTGCTTGTCGCCAGCGGGCCAGATACCCAGTCGCACAGTCATGGGTGTTTGCGGGTAATTCTTCCCACCCAGCGCCTCGTCGTAGGTAACGGTACGGAGCAATTCACCGTCGATCCACCATTGCAGTCGCTCCACAGTCCAGTCGATCGTATAATTATGAAACTTCTCCATAGGCGCATCCATCTCATGAATACCACCACGACCACCTAGAGTCCTATTTCCCTTTCCGAAGTAGTTTGTTTGGACATGCGTAGTATCGCCGCCCAACCACTCCCAGTCGATTTCATCGAGGTCCTCTGACTGGAGCACGATGCTGCTGACCACGCCGGTGCCATAGGCGGCTTTCATGATGACCTCTAGCCGGCCAAAGAAGATGTAGAAGTGGGATTGGATGGTTGGGGATTGGAGTCTTTCTTTGATTGCGAAGCTGGTGCCGAGGTCCTCGATGTAGTCGAGTTTACCGTTAGTGATGTTCCAAATGACTTCATTAAGGGTGTTTGTAAAGTTGGCTTGATAGGTGGTTCCCAGGGCTGGGTTCCGGGGACAGTCGTCCCTCTCGAGGGGATTGCAGGCTGTCCATGTTTGGGCTGTGACGGAGGAGAAGAGCAGAGAAGCGAACAAAGTCGCTATAAGCAGGAGGGAGGGCATTGTCAGTGGAGCAAAAGTGGCATGAAACAGTAAGTAAGTGATCGTCTGTAGCAAAATCAAGTCCTAATGAGTGAATGGATCAATGAATGAATGAATGAATGAATGAATGAATTGATGAGCGATTTTATTTCAACAAGTTGCCTGGTATCTCGTCCATGAAAGAGTGAAGTGAACAACCACACAGCCAGAGAGAATGCGACTAAAATGAACGACAGACCCCACCACCACCGGGGAGAGGGTGGAATTGAGGCAAAGGCGCGATGCGAGGAGCAACGCAGGGAGAGAGCGTGTGTGCGGTTGCGTTGCGTGTATGTGTGGGTTGGTGAGTGGTTGTTGTGAGGAGGAGCAGAAAGAGGAGAAAGGGGAGATACAACCGAGTCCTCTTTTAGTTCTCTTAGCGCGCTGAAGAAAAGCCAACTGGGCCAAACCCGTCTCAAAACGGACGGAGACGGCGCCTGATTGGCTGCGCAGGTCAACCGCCAGGGGCAGATCTGTGACAAGTGGCTCAGTTCCGGCTGCAGAGTGGTCTGTCCGGGGCAGGAACCTCGGGACTGAAACAACGCTAGGCTGGAACAGATTTAGCGTTGTCACTAGCGCGGGCCATATAATCTGGTGACAGGCTAGAAGCGGGAAGAGGCGCGCGGGATTAACCTAATCTAGGACTAGCTAGCCCGATAATATAACACGCTAGGCCTGCCCTGGACTAGAGGACAATGCATCATGCTGATGTCAGCAAGGATTGAGAAACGCCGGATAGCTTGTAAACTAGCACAGCCACACAGTCAGGTGGCTTGTAGTCAGGGCAGTTTGACAGGCAGGGTTGTCCTTCAATATCATTGGCTCTTTGTTTGCGTGAAACAGCGGGCTACATCGCTGGAAGGTTATAAAGATGAAGCTAGCTGACAACAATAATATTAAAATGTCAGAACTGGGCAGATGGTTTCGAAAAAGCAGAGAACATCTGTCAGAGAATCAAAAAATTTACTTGCCAAGGTTTATGAAGCTAGTCAAACCTGAGGCGCGTGCTGGTTCGGGTCCTTGGGTTACACAAACTTTTAATTCAAGATAATGAATAATGTTCGCTATTCAGATATTTTGCAACTTCAGAAGCTCTAAAGAAAATTCTCGAGAAGGGAGTCCAATCTGGAACCAAAGCAAATAAGAAAATTTTTCAAAAAAAATGACGAAAATAAAATCTCCCCGACAGGGAATCGAACCCTGGTCTCCCGCGCTCGTCAGTCCACAAACTGAATGACAAGCGGAAATCATCACCACTAGACCATCGAGGATATTTGGATGGTTAGCCGGGGCTATGACCGACTGATCCAAATCCCTCCGGCCCGGCATTTCAATCTTGCGGGTCAGGGTAAACCACCACCCCCACATGATAGTCGCCATGAAATATGATATTTATTGTTGTGACTGGGCTAACATCATGCCATTAGACAATATTTAATATTAGTAGAAAGCCTTGATCCCGGGTGCCTCTTTTTATCAGTTGCAGAAGGCTGGAATCTGCCACTTCACCAGCTGCATAATCACGGATCTACATACATATATCCACTGCTGATATCGGCTGACAGTGACAGCTATATATATGTTGTCCTGCATTTACGTTCAGTAGTACCACATATAGACATTTCCACAGGGAAATACTATCACCAAGTTGGATTTGGATGGAAATCGTAGTTCGCGAGCCATTTAATTTGTGTTTCATAGTGTTCAGGGGGGGGAGGGTATATGTGCAAATATTTCCATTTCTCGATTGAAGAAGGAAGGCGTGCGAAAGGTAAAAAACAAAAAAGTTAAAAAAGGATTGCCATGTCATGTCCCTATATAATACAGATCCAAACAATTTCCCCGTGAAAGATGACACGAAGATGCTAAATTACAATAGGAACCAAACTCCGTTAAAATGCATATACCGTGAATCACAACCTGCAAGCTTGATTTCCTGTACGGGGAATACATAAAAAAGGCATTGTATGTTTCAGGCAACAGAATCCACCCGACGCCGTTTATCTCGGTCCTGGTAAGGCGACGGACTTCGCTTTCTTCTGTACCTGTCGTCGTCACGGTAGCGGTCCCTGCGTCGTGGAGATCTGGGCGGGGACCTGGATCGTGAGGGGGAACGCCGCCGTGATCGCACTCTTGACCTCGATCTTGACCTTGATCTTGATTCAGACCGTTGCCGTGGCGGTGACCGTGACCGTGACCGTTGCCGGTGTCGTGGTCGATCTCTAATGGCGCTGGAATTAGCACCCGTAGGACCGGATGGCTTATCCCTATCCCCATCGCGCTGGTCGGGCAGGAATCTATCATCGGTGATCCCAAACCGTGCGGCGTTGTTCGATGCTACTGAGCGGTTGTATCCATCCACTCCCCAGCGCCCTGTGTCTTCTGTTCTCAAATCTCGATACTTCGTCCTGCCCTTTCGACCAATCTTGGTTACATCTCTGACTTGTAGGTATTGCGGCAACGCTTCACGATTCTTAACCTCATCCATAAATCGGCTTCCCATGAGATCGCGACGATCCAGCCCTGTAGCCTCCAGGTCTTCCTGAAAGAATGCCCCCTTGTGAAAATATCGTTGCATAAATCCAGCTTTCCCCCTTCCGGCTTCGCGCTCTTCCTTTTGTTGCGACAGGAACTCGCGGTCCTCACGCTCTCGTTCTTCAGCGGTGAGGTTTCGACGACGCTCGATCTCCTCGCGCTCCTTCTCTACCTGCTCGATGACTTCACGCTCACGCTTGACACGCTTCAACTCTCGCAGTTTCCACGCGGCAAGCTCAGCAGCCGGGTCTAGCCCATCAGTATCGTCTATTTGCTCTTCGTTCTCGCCTTCAACGTTCTCATCGTCGTCCCACGATTTCTTCCCCGCCGCGCGCTCTGCAGCCTCTTTCTCCAGTTGGTCCCGAATCAAAAGGTCGGCTTTCTCCTGTCTTCGAGCGCTTTCCGCTTCGTTTTCTGCAGTCGGATCTGCAGTGGAGGAACCCGGAGCTGGAGTTGACGATTCCTTCCGCTGACTCTTTTTGATAAAGGTAGGCCGAAGTAATACCCGCCTAGGGGCTTCGTCTTCCGAGCTTGATTCCTCTTCTTCCTCCTCCTCTTCACTCTCCTCTTCACTTTCCTCCTCCTCACTCCCACTAGCTTGATCCCCTTCTGCACGCGCCCCACGACCGGCCACCTTCACATCTTCCCCATCTTCCTCCTCATCGGTGACGAAGCCTGCCTCATCCTCGCTTTCCTCTTCTAGCTTCACGCCTTGAACTCCGCTGGTGATTTTCGACGTGGCGCCTGCCGGGAAGGATGTCGCCTTCGGCGGAGGCGCTCTCCGCTGTTCCCTTCGTAGCCTCTCCCGCTCTCGTCGCCGCTCTACTTCCTCATTGATTTCCTCTTCTTCATCCTCTTCTTCTTCTGAAGACGGCTCTTCGGCAATTGGTTTTCCCGGTCGATAGCGTTGTGGTCTCTGCGGATTCGCGGTCATGCGACCCCGAGACGACGGGAACGGAGGCGGCATGGTGGGTCGTGCGTGAACGGATGACTTACGTAGAGTAGTCTTAGGTGGGAGCCATTATCAAGATGGTACAGTACAGTGAACAGAAACTATGCCGCACGAGTCGAGGGATGCAGGTGAAAGCGATGATGTCGTTGGTACCTATTCCGGAAAAATATATTTTCCGGAATCCCTATACAAAAATTACATTACACTCCCCAAACTTACGCGCAAGATTCTCGTAGTTAGATTCCCCACATATAGCTACGGAGTATTTAAATATAGAGTAATCAATGCCATGTTGATAATACGAATAAATCCTGCTATGTCAAATCTCCGGTTGTTCTTTTAAACTGGATGGAATGTTAAGGGGTGGAGCATGAAAAGAATAATCGAACTTTGATAGATAATAACCACCATTCTAACTCATCACACATTCGGTGTGCCATACTTACTGAAAGCCTCGTCACTGCACAATATCATCCAAAATAAGGTGCGGTTCTGGGGTAGATCTACCTGCCCTTTGTACCACAATTGCCCATCGTCTGGACCTGCTACCAACCGGGGCTTGTTAAGTTGCAAGGTCAATGTACATAACTTGGTAACACCAGTTTTCATTGTCAGTGGCGCTTCAGACGCCAGCTCCAAGTCTCATAGCTTCGTCTAGCATGTAACCATTCATGCATAAGGATGCGCTCTCTGGAGACCGTTAAATCATCCTCGCAAAAGACGACAGTGGCGCAAAGATTGAGGAGCGCGTATGAACGGATCGCAAACCGAGTTAGCTGCCTTTGGGAATTTCTCGTATCTGCGTCATGATGCGGATTAGAGTCGTATCCGAGAGAGACTGAGCGTACTCGTCAAGTTTTTTGTAGGTAGTTTAGTAGCTTACTGAGCCTAGATAGCCGCGGGCAAATCCACTGCATAAGGCGTAAATAGGATAAAAGCGCGGATAACGAAAAAGTATGTGGTATCTCCACTATTTTCATTAGCTGCATAGACGATATAAATACCCTCTCGAGCGACGCCAATCCATATAGTAGTGGCTTAACAAGGAAGTAGCGCACCCACAAACGCCACGAACTCGTAGAAAAGGGCACGGACAAACGACAGTAAGATCGACAGAGAAAAGTAGCAACCGGGCGGGGAAGAGAGAATAAACTCCTGGCCAAAGCAGTGGAACATGCCAAACAAACTCCAGTACATGTACATGTACGACGAACCCCTCCCTCAAACTCGTAAATCATTCTCCATCCGGTAAAAAGGAAAAAAAGAAAAAAAAATTTACTTCACGCCCGCTCTTTCTAACATCTTCTCCCTCTCCATGACACTCTCTCCAAACCGTACCAGAAACACTGTCCGGCTCGGCCACATCTCATTCCCCTGATTATGAGCTGACACCTTTGCCTCAAAACCACACCCATCGCAGACCCCTTCAATTATCCCGGCCACATACGCTGCACAATTCAGCATATTCATCTCACGAGGCACAGATATATATGTGTTGACTAGCGGGTCGTTGTCAGTGATCATATATTCATTTGGTGTGGCTGGAGACACAGAGTGCTCTAGAGCATCTGCTGGGCGGGAGAAGAGGAGACGCCAGAGAGGGCCATGTATTAGATGGAGAAGGGGGAGGATGCGAAGGGGTCTGGTAGGCTGGGTGCCTGATGAGGACGTGAGACCGCCGGATGAGGAGCTGGAAAGGGAGCGGTAGAGGAGAAGATCAAGGAGACGGAGACCTAGCGGGTAGCCTTGCTCGTTGAGGCTGGAGGATTGCAATGTATGGGTGGTTAGTCGGGGTTCTACTAGGGATATTGGAGGATGGTCCTGTTAATGGGCACGAGGGGTATATATACACCTACCGCCTCTCCAGGTCCTGTATTCCCGTCACACGACGCTGAGCATATATGACCATCTCTGAAAAAAGGTAAGCGAAGCTTGCTTTGCTGAGCTCCGAATTGCGGGTTCGGTTAAGATTCCGGTCGTAAATAGTTTTCTTGTTCGAAGGGACGCGCAGCCCCGTAGGCTGGGGTGTGCTTCTCGACCGGAGCTTTTCCTGTGACTCCCCGACATTGTTGGCCGTGCTTGTGGAGGAGGTATGTGTGTGTTTGGTGGGAGATGCCATGTTATCGGAGGACGAAGGGGAGTAGGGAGAGTAGTCCCGTGCGGACGACAGTGGTGTCCTGGAAAATGGCTATATCACGGCTATTGGGATGTTGCGACTGAGACCATAGCAATACGATTGTTTAACGTGATTGCAGGAAAAATAAATTTCTTGTTCGTAAGGCCTTCCCTTGCTTTTGTCTGTTGAGCTCTGGTTAAATGTTATCGATCTCTGGCCGCCCAATGAAGCTCAACGACAAGATGTACCATTATACGGTGGGCCGTTAGGACACATGCGCAGTCCGCCTTCCCTACAAATAAATTACTTCGTATATTCATTCTCTTTTTAATTATTTGTGTGCTGCAACTATACCACATAGAATCCAGATCCCCAACAATATTAGTTAATTGTTGCCCCCTTCCATACCCAGCTAAGGGTTTATATTGTCTATACCTCGCTAATATTGTGTACGCCGATAGAAAGTACTATTGTGGTTAAGGGTTTCTTCGTAAATGTACAGTTAGAGAACCTGGAGGTGCTTCTATGCCTAGGTCTGTAAAATTTTCACAACTTTCCTTTGTCACCATCGCAGCCCTTAGTTAGATCATAACCTTTTTGCTTTTGCCGCGAATTCCAATTCAGCGTCCTTGAGATGCTCTGTATCCAGTCATGACTGCGGGCTGCGGACGGAGTAACGCAGGCAAAGGGGTATCTTGAAGCCGAAATTGTGACGTAGTCCCCGGGACATAATTCCATTCTGTTATGAAGTTAGCCATCTTGAGAGACCTTTTGCTTCGCTGGATTCTGTTCATTGAAACAACTTTATCCTGGGGGCAAATCTCACCGTTCGCGCCCATCGAAGCCAGCCCACGAGCTAGCTCTTGCGTTGTAGGGCACTCCCACTCTGAGGACGATGGTATCGGGTAATATAATGGGCCGGAAATTTAGAGTATGCGCACATATGGCGGTAAGAAGGATAACGGGGTTTTCAGGATGCGACAGTGAGCCACCAGCAGCAAGGTTGTATGCTGTTGAACCCGTCGGGGTCGCAACGCATACACCGTCCGCTTGTACGGAAGTAAAATGTTCATCATCACCAAATATTTCGATTGATGACATTGCTAAATAAATGGTTATTAAATGGCTCCAGGAGAGAGAAATGAAAGTTTTAGGGGGAGGTAGAGAGAAGAGAAATCATAGAGTGCATGCGTACTGGGATTTGGTCCTCGATCAATGACAACATCGTTCAATATTTGGAACATTGTGTCGGGGCGATGTGTTGTATCATCATCCGATTCTTCTCCAATTAACTCTTCCACTAAATCCCTCTGTCCTTCCTGATTGGGTCGCGGCCTGCTCCGCATGATAGTGCATTCGAACCTCGACCTGAGGCTTACTGTGACACCATCGCGAAAGGCCGTCTCAAGCGTCGATTGATAGTGTTCAAAGTCAAAGTTGGTGAGAAACCCTAGCGAGCCAAGCGCAAAGGACAGGACCGGGGGAACCACCTGCTGGAAGAGCCAGCTTCCATATAAAACCGTGCCATCACCTCCTAACGTGACTATAAAATCAAACGTTTGTGGCTTCTTCTTCACAAGATCTAGATCCCAAAATTTTAATCTTCCTTTCGCAGATGGCTCCTCCTCATACAGCCCCGCAGCGTCAAATTCTTTCTCATCTTCTAGTCTCTTCTCGACATAAATTGTGTATGGCTGGTCCCGGTCCTTTGATAAAAGCCACCGGGCGACTCTTCTCGTCAGAAGCACAAGGCATTGCTCTTGTGGTTTCGTAAGGATGAACACAGTCTTGACATCTAGCTTCATTTTAACGCTCCCAAGCTTTTTAGATAGTGCCCGAACATTCCACGCCATGTCTGAAAGTTGCCTTTTGGTCAAGAGGCGGGATTGTGTTATGCGAGGAGGTAGGGAATCATCCAACTGTGAAGAAGGCAATTTTGACGAGTCTTTCGTTTCGTTGGTTTCGCTAACTCGACCGAGTCGGCGCGCCTGTGGTTGGCTGAGCAGGGCGTGGACGAAACACGCAGAATCGCTCCGCTGGTCTGCATGGCGACGTGAAAGCCTGGGAGTATCGGCAGAGACTATGGAGGATTTACGAACATGTCCAGCATCTTGGTCGAAGACAACCTTCAAATCAAGCAGGGGTTAGTATACGTACGGGACGACCCCCTGCGATGCAGGCGGGCGTTCAGAGCTTTGGCGGCAGAAGTTGCAACTATTTACCTCAAGCCGGGTGTGCAATTCCGGTTCACTGTTGGAGTCGCCCGAATTCTCCATGGCAAATGCGTTAGATGTATGGTTTAGGTGGAGTGAAGATGAGCAAGTTATAGCGAGGTCTGTCTGCAACCTGGGGAAGAAGACCACTTACATCATCGGTAGCCCTCACGTCGACTGGGACGCCACTTGCCATGATGAATAGATTCGCAAGTGGGCTACTTATCATAGGACCAAATCGATTATGCTTTGATGGTTGTGTGGAGCCATTTAGTTCGCGGTGACGAGCAGCTTCAATAAATATTAAAAGTTCTTGAATCTTGAGTCGGTAGTTATTATAGCCTCATCGCCACAAGCGAGGACAAAATATTGCCCTGGCAAACCTTGACCTCCGCCCTTCGGCGGAAGAGTTTTAAACTTACCGCTTGTTACCAGAAGCAGTCAATTATGTTCAGTTCAACCAATTGTTTAAGAAGTTGACAATGATTCCAGCTCATGACTGGTTGTTTGTTAGATCGCTGACCGACAGTCTCCTCTGTTTGGCTGCTAAATATCTAGCGCTTCTGATGGTAGCTATTTTACGAAACACCGAGGCACGGAGTTTATTTATCTGAACCGCTCCATTGTATCTCGCGAACGATGTGTACGGCCATTTGCTGGCGCGCGAGGCTGTCTGAGAGAGTGTCCTGCGGGGGAACTCCAGCTCATCTCTCCCGCTTCAACATTATGGCCGTGCTGTTGATGGCGAGCCCGATGTTTCACATATAATTGAAAAGTCGACCAGCAATGGCCTCACAAACTATTGAAAGACTCCCTCCTGAGCTGTTGATACACTGCTGTCCGTATCTCAAAGGATCTATCGTGGACATCCAGAACCTCCGCCTCACGTCGAAGTGTCTGTCTCTGTAACGCCAGTTCGCTTTTCCTTTTTGATACATTGACTGTCAGGATCACCACGAAATCCTTATTGGCGCTGGAAGCAGTCTCAAATCACACTATTTTCCACAAGTCCATCACCACCATGGAGTTATCTCTATGTTTCTACGGAGACATCCAGGACGAACCAACGAAGGACGGCCTTAAATCTGAGTGCGACCGCCGCTTCCGGTCAATTGGGCTGACAATTACAAGAATCTTTAACTCAACACGAAGAACTGCGGAGGAGCTAGAACTATTCAACAGAATTCAAGCTCGACTCTCTGACATGAGGTTCGCTTTGGACTCTCTATACCCGGGGGCAATAGAAGATCGTCCTCCCTCCTTAAGCTCCGCACATATCCGGATGATGGCAAATACTTTTGACGTATATAACACTCGTTTTGTGGATCAACAAGCTGTTATTAAACGTGGTAGTCATCTAAAGCGGATAGGCGCTGCTCTGTCCAAGTTCCGCCGTCCACTCTCTTTTGAAATTTTTGGGAACATCGAAGTACTAAATGAGATCGACTGCAGAAGTTGTTCGATGGCAACGATCATGGAGTGGCTAAATTCGGATGAAATATGTTCGGATATCGTTTTAGACGTTCTGGAATCTCGAGGTCAGTCCTTGGCGTTCAGCAAAGAACCGCGCGGACATTCAAAGGGATTTTCGTTTAGCTTTCCAAGCACGAAATATTTCCATCCCGCCTCACTGTCAAGTTGGACGCTCCTAAACGTCTACACTTCTTTCAACCGAGTCAAGTTCAACACGATGCCACTAGGAGCATCGTACAGAGGGCGGAACACTTGTCCTTTGCAGTACGTTGGTGGTCGAAGCAGAACCTTGAATTCGGCGTCGTTATACCTGCTGAGCAGCATTACGAGGAGATGCAACACCTTGCTAGTTTAACGACGGCCTTTCTCAATACGGAGAGTGTACGTTCCGTGAATCTGGATATCTATATTATTCCCTCCATAGCGATCCGCCGTATATTAGCCTGGACGAGTTGCTTCCTGATTGCGAGTGGCCACAGCTGCAGGCACTTTCGCTCACTGGTGTGTCACTGGTGTGCCGTTCCATGAGCGAGAACTCTGGAAGATAGTAGACCCCATTCGAAGCTCTTTAAAGATACTAGACATGGACGGGCTGCAAATTCTCAACGGAAGCTGGAGAAATGCATTTCGAATTCTGCGTGGACTGGATAACCTGGAAGAAGTATCGTGCAGGTGGCCTAGTGGCGGAGAGTATGGAACTGGCTCCTACGAGGATGGTTTGGTATTTCGCTTCTCTGAAAACGCGGTTTGCCAATATCTTCTCAAAGTAAAAGACGCTGAGAACCCTTTTGGGTAGGGTCTGCTTTGTCGTGCTGTGGTCAAACCAGGTTAAACAAATTACCCTAGATAAGAAGAGAAAAGAGGGGAAAAAAGGGGGAAAAGGGGACAAGAAAAGAAAATATAGAAAATAAATAATCGATCCTCAGCAGGTTACTTAATAGCATGGGAGTTTTGACGCGAAATCACGCAGACACACATATCATTCAACAAAACCGATGTTCACGGGGAGTTCCCATCTGGGTGGCAGAATCCGGATCTCGTTGACGCTCCCAGAAGATACAGAGTGGCCAGTAGGCCACCTGTTGACCGACAATCTAGACGAGCATTCTTCCGAGACTGTTTGCCTCCTGGGCAGACGGGGTCAGTTCAAATGGATGGGCAGTTATTTTTAACTCCAAGCCCAATCACCAGCCCCTCCTGCGAACGAAAGTGTATATAATCAATGCAACACTTTCACCATCCCGTCTCTGCGCAGAACAGGAAAACTTGGTGGCTCTTTTTGTCGTTTGTGCTCTGCATTCTCTGGGAGTTTCTCGGACTTTGTCAGGGCAATTTTACAGGGAACCAAATGTCGAGTTGTACAGGAGAAGCTAGAAACCAAGCAATGATAGAGTCACACAACCGGGCTTCCTCGCATGACACTTTGCCTCACTTTGTTCTGAGCCGCTTGGACACCCCTGGATGCCGAAATTCGTCCTATACTGAATATACTAGCTTGGCAAAAATGCATCTGATTCTGGGAGAGGATGGTTTTAAGAACAGGTTCATGGAGAGTTACTGAGGATAGAATGAGATGTTATATTCCATCTTACATTGGCCAAAAGGTTAGCGAGGTGTAGAGAGCTGGGATGACAGCTTCTTTTCATTTTTCGAATGCGCATGATGGTTTGGGAGTATCGAACTAGGGTAGAGGTATGTACATGTACATTCTTCTGTTTCACTACACTAACTGTTCTGTACATACTTGGACACTGATGACCACCTCAGCAATAGATTGCCAAAAATGATATCTCACTTCAAAGATAGCAGTGATTGTTCACACTTTCGCACAGCCTATAAGGGGCAAGCAAGCAACATCACACCAACAAGTTGCCTGCTCTTATACAGTCCCTCAACTAAGTAGCCTTGCGTTTTCTTAGGGTGATCAGGGATCTGCCGCAGGGTTCAACTAAAGTCACTTTCCGGACTCCCGGAGGTCGCTGATCCACTCGAACGAAGTCATATTCAAGGAGAAGATGCGAAAAGGCAAGCTTTTGAAGGCTAGCAGCGAACCATCGCCCAGGACAGGCAGGATGTCCGAGACCGAAGTTGAGGAACTCTGGGGAGCTTGTCGTTATCTTGGGCTTTGCTGGATCCCGGAGGGAGCGCTTGGGGTCAAAGCCGCTAGGGTAGTTGTCTTTATCCCTCTGGATAGCTTTGAGCGGAGCCGCAAGGGTGGTGCCTTGAGGGACATGCAAACCGTTGGAAAAGGTGAAGCCCTCCTTGCTCATAATTGTTCGCTCGAGGCCAACCTCGCCGATGGGATTTGCGCGAAGACTCTTTCTGATGAAAGAATCCATGACGTCCAGCCTCTTGATATAGTCATAAGACCATGGGTCGCCTTTTGCGAGTTCCCTGTTGATTTCTTCGCAGAGGTCTGCGACAGTCTCCTCAAAAACCCCTTTAGGAAGAGAGATCAGATCATAGATACAATTGGTCGTTATGAGGGTGTTAGAGTATGACTGCAGGAAGTTGAAGGCCAAGAGCCGACTAACAATCTGCATCGGGTCATACTCTATATATGAGTGTTTTTCCCTGCGAGCTGCTACAATGGCTTGGCTCAGGAGGTCATTCTTCAACGGTGAATTAGTTGACCCTTTTCGAGAGAGGCAAAATAATTCATCTGAACAATCTTACCGGCAGGTCGGCCTCGATACCCTTCCCCTCAGCGGTTTCAAGGATCCGCATGCGTTCTTTGATAATGGGCACCGCATGTTTAGCCACAATTTTACGGTCTCGCGAAAGTGAGCGGCGGACTAGCGGAGCTAGCAGACTAAAAAGCAAGTCAGTCAATTTCGTTAGATCGCTATGGAAAGGAGACGGCGCATACGGCCTTAGGAAACGCGGGATAAAACGTATGTACACCGCCCGCGAGAACATATTGACTGCGTAATGAACGGTGGCATCTAGGTATCCTGATTACGACATAGGGGGTAACCAGATATGATTCTGTTGCTCGTACGGGAGAGAAATTTGGTCGCGGTGTCCCACATGTTAATTTTCATCTCACCGTTCTCGTCAAGTTGCGGAAGCAGGACATCATTTAGGGCGCCGACCAGCTCAGTGCTCATCATCTCTATCTTATTACCAAGCTTCTGATAGAGCTCCCTATATACAATAGGCTTTTGGAGGTTGTTATCAAGGATGTTGGCCCCGAACAAACTGTATTTTGGATGCATTACGTCCCGCACGTATTTATTGAACGAGACGATGGCCTCCGGTTGACGCGCATACTCGGCAATAAACTGCCGCGGAAGCAGCATCATAAAACCCGTGTTGGAATGAGGGAAAGGAGTCAGGAATATCTCGCTGCCTGTGTTCCTGACCTGCCCAAGCTCGAAAATGAGCAAAACGATTTATGCCAGTTCGGCGAGAACGACCAGTTCCTGACCTTTTGATACGCCACCTTGAAGAGTGACCCAGCATCGAAAACACAGTCATAGGCCACAGAGAAAAAGTTTCCCAGCCCACGTTCCCCCGTGACCCAGGTGAATCCATCATATTTTGGCGAGAAGGACGCTAACAAGGCTGGTTCCAGAAGGTGCACAAGGCACGCTGCGAAAGTTATCAAGAAGGTGCCGGCCACAGCCTGAAGTAGGAATACGTGCCATGGCTGGGAAAGCCAGCCTGCAATTCCATTTTTTCCGGTTCGATAGTGATAGGGTATTGTGAGAGAAGCAGAATATTCAGCTGGCAGATAAAGGAAGAGAAAACGAAGGCTTCGCCCGGAGGGAAACCGCATCTACTCTCAGAGCTGAAGTTGAAGGGGTCAGACGTTCTCGGGCATATGTAGTTATCGACATGCTGCTTAGCTGCATGCCGGCTACAAAATCCTCACCATCAGAATACTATCCCGCTTCGAAGGAGGGAACGCCATCCCGTTCGAGGAGTTTTCAACCGACTCCGCACCTGAAGCAATGCAACGGGCCCCAACTACCTGATCTCAATGCGCAGGTATATCCCGGAGCAATAATTTAGCGCCACACTCTTATAAATTTATCCTAGGTAGGCGAACACGGCCGCAAACTATGGACCACCACGCTAATTTAGTGCGTGGAGCACCCTGAATACCTCGACGACAAACAAGACTCTCTCATGCTAACTTAGCATCGTAGCACAGTGTTGGTGAGTTCGTGGCGAAATACGGTATCAATTTCCTATAAAAATGCCGGCGATCCTGAGAACGCAAATGCAATTCGGCCTAGGAGGGGAGAATGTGGGTTGGGCTTCTAACAGGGCGGGGATGTCTGTCAAAGCCAGGAAATAAATGCAGAGTGAAGTTTAGGGTGACGTCCAACTGGTTTGGATGCAAGGGGAGTATCTAACCTAAAGATATTTCTGACGTCCGCCAGTCACGAGCGCTAATTATTGCCTACAGTAGGTATTGCTACAGCCTCTGGCAACGTGTGGATTACTCCCAAGACCTCATCCTTTCCTCCCTAGGCGTATCTGCCCTTTCCTATGTATCTACAAGCCCATGGTCAACTAACTAGTAGGGTTTTGTTAGGGCCTTTCATTTATCCTATTGCAATGGGCATCGATAGTGGATAGTGGGACTTTCTTATTTCTCAAAGGGTTTGCACTTCGGCAGGATGGGTCTCGAAAGAAGTGAAAGCACCCTTCATCCACAGGAAGATGGAAGCACTTGTAACTTCCAGAATTGTTATAACTCTTTTCTGCTGTGCTATGTGATATAATGATTCCAAATTCGAGATCGGAAGCCTTGTACAGGCTGCGCTTGATGCCGGCACTGATGGGTTTGGGACATTTGGCACCAGCGATAGGAGCTATCCACACAGCTTGGGGACATCAGTTTCACGGAGCACTACTGTGGTTCATTGGTACAGCATCAGCCCTCGTCGACTGTACGTTCACCAAAAACAAAGGACCCCTCGGGTCCTTGGGTATGAAAATACTGACAATCACTTCCGCTGCTCCAGCGCAGGATGCGTATAAAGACCTACCTCCTTCTTCCAGGCCCCGTGGATATGGAGGCTGTGGATTTATTTCTTATGGGCTATTGTCATTACTTGTACATTTCTCTCTGGCGTGGAGACTTCAATACGGATATATCAATTCTCACTCATCGGTCTTCTCTGGGGCACGCCGTGCATACCGCACTTTTCGGCATCCTCCGGTGTGAGCCTGTCCAAACCCAAGACAGTGGTAAGTCATTATCCCCCATTTCATAGAAGATTTAGCAGCTTACGAAGGCGTAGTTGCGTGAGTGGAAGTCGCTCATTGTGGCCATTTGTATGGGCTGCGTCACATCAGGGTCAAGCATGTTCCATGTTTGCCAGAAGGATGTTCAGTGCAATGATCAGTGTTTCCAAACGCGCAGTCTGTCCTGTACCAGTTCTTCCGTGAGACTACTTGTGATATACGGGATATTGCTGAGGACACGGAGGATGGCATGAAGACACTACCTGTCAGACTCGGCGAGGGGATCACGATGCTCCTGATGAGTGTTGTTGGGATGTTCTTTGATGTACTGCTTACGGGAGGAGTTGGTCCAAGTTTCCAGGTGGCCCCATCCTTAGCTTTCCAGTCAGTTGTTCGGGTTGGCTGCACGATGTGTGTTTACTCTCAGATACTACGATATCCTCGAGAAAACTACTGGGCATGGGGTCTTATGTCAATGTTGGGTTTGGTACCAGTGCTGCCTGCACAGTTGTGTTTGTTGAACTCCAGATAGCTGGATATAGTATAAGAACTAAGATACATTTTAAATATTTTTGCCTCCCCCGGTGCTTTATATAGTTTATGCCTCTGGATCAGGACTATACGTCCCAGTGAGGATGACGGGTTCCAACGGCCTCAAGCAAGGCCCCTTTTAATAAGCCATCTTCACGCACCGGTAAAAGTAAAGGTACAAGCGGGCGGGCCTGTTTGAAGTTCTCACTGGCCCACCTCAAATGCGCTGCAAAAGTTCCAGGGGAAATATCTGCGTCCTTGTTTCTTTCCTCGTCCCAGATTCTAGCCAGATACTCCCTCTGTTCTGTGACAATCCCATGTGATAGTTTCATCGTCGACGACGTATCAAGAATGGCTTGCACAAACTGGCTGGCTTCCTTGTAAGCCTCACCACGCTCCGATCCCTCTTGTCTGCGGCTGAGCATGTCAAACTGCTTCCGCCCGTCCCAATGCGTGAGGTGCTGTACCCAGTATACCTCACTAACGCATTCAAAGAGCAACACCTTCCGTGAAAACCAGGCTGGACCATCCCACGCTATAGTCGGATCCTCGAGGTGGCGGATACGCTCGAGGCAAAACATTTGGATCAAATAGTCGACGTAGTGACCATACTGAAACGCAGGTGCTCTACCGGTTGATGATGGCACCTCATACCGTGGTAGGTGATGAAGCAACTCGTGGGCATACATCCCCTGAGTTCTATCTCTACTTTCCCACAGCTTAAGAAAAGTATCATGCCAGTGCTTAATGCTTAATAGCAATGCAGCCTTTTCTCCCTGCAATAAGCCCATTCCAGAACATGGACATCTCGTCGTTTATGGTCATTCTGAACCCAGCGAGCTCGAAAGGATTCGCAGGATCTTCCAGCTTCTCCCAGAAGAGGTCATCCAGGCTACGGAAGAGCATGAAGCCAACATCGACCCAGATGCCACCGTGCAAGTACAGGAGCGGGAGGCGGACTAAGTCAGCTGCATGAGGTGCAGCATGCGTGCCCGCCATGCGACGCTTGAGGAAGGCCTCTGGAAAGAACTCAGAGGTGTCGGGGATATAGTTAACATAGTGGGTTGGCGAGCCGTCGACCATGTCAAGGACGCGGACAGTCCAAGACTTCCCATGCCGCCGCACCCAGCTGATAATATTGCGCTGGCACCATGGCTTGCAGGCTGCAATTGCCGCGGTCCCAGAATGCCCCAAATGTTTCTCTCTGAATCGGGGTTGACAGGAGTGAAAGTCTGGAGTTCGGCCAATATATCCTCGTCTGAGCGTGAATCCAACAGCGTTGATCCTGAGACTGAACCCATTTTTCGATTGCTAGTGGCGCCTTCTGCAGTGTCAAGGTATTGGGCGGTTTTCCTACGCTCCCGCAGACTGCTATTTCATGTCATGAGCGGTTTCCGACTTGTCTCCTGCGCATGTGGATATGGCAATGGATGTAACATCTACCCCGCAAGGCAGAGTTCTAATTCTTGCCTAGCGGACAAGAAAGGGTGATTTATATACACTTCCTGCATCCTGAATATGCATGCGAGTCAAAAGTTTTCCCCCGAGAGTGGTCAATTTGGAATAGGAGTTGGTCTATTTAGCGCATGGCCCCCAACCGAATACATCAAGGATGCTCAATATCTCTGCTTCTTCTTCTCCCTATGTCTCCACACGCTGGTGTCCATGATCCATGAGTTAATCGAGGGTATGGCGGGAATATAGTTACATAGCCCTCGCTAGGATTTGAAGTATCGCCGCATCGCTTCCTGCTTATCCCTTATTTTTGCTTTGGATACCTTTCTAGATACTCCTAACACCCCCACCGGTGTTTTTTTTTTCTTTTTTTTTTTCTCTTTTTCTCTTCTATTCTATTTCTTTTTAGCGGAGGAGAGGAGGTTAGGAAGCTGCAATCCTTCCTACCATAAGTTTCTCCACTCAGAACGCATCTCAGTTCCCCAGCTGAGAAAATATTGCAATAAAGGGTATCCCAGCCGATGGACACCTGAGCTCTCCTGCTACACCATTGTATAGTAGGACAATGAGCACAGCGAGGAAGAAGTCCGCTTCACCCTACGAGGAAATGTTCGAGGACCACTGTTACCACATTACACCGAGAATTATCCCCAATGCTGGGGCAAAATGTCTGCTTATCCTACCTCGATATCGAAACAAAATTACCCCCCGTCTAAGATCCTAGGCCTTTGAGCCTGAGCCAGAGGATTTTTCCCTCGACAGTGTGTCAGAACTTAGCTTCCCCATTGCTTGTTGATCTGGAACCTAGGCATATCCATGTACGGAGTACTCTTGGTTCAAAAGATGGTGCACAGATGTTCTACCTAGCCTCCAAGCGCACCGGCTAATTTAACTCTTGGTTTCAGATCAGATGGAGATATTACAGCAAGTGTCATATTGGCTTCTTGGCTTAGAAAGATGGATAGGTAAGAGACTACGATTACGGCCGAACGGCTATCAGGCCGTTTGGAAGTCCGTTCGGACCTCTAGCGGAGTTGACCTGCTCAAATAAAGTCGATGTGGAAGACCGAGGGTTGGAGGTGCTTACAGCATAGGGCTAGAGACGAGCAACGTTGGGCTAATTGTCCGCAACGTGTTGGTGGGAATGTCCGGTTCAAGTGGCCCGCATGGGGAGGCAGAATGTTTATTGCAATCGATAGAATCCAATTGCGACAAGTGAGGCCTTTGAATGGAGTCCCAAGGAGACAAGGGCGCATATGGTGACAGCTCGTCGTGTCCCTGGCCCGATTAATGGGGTCCGCAGACCTGGATACGTAGGGTCTGCACCCTTTTTCCTTGCTGCTATGGCAAGTAATCTCTCGGAGTAACTGTAAACCTTTAGAAACCTACATATTGTTGACATATGGAATGGTTCGGCCCCTTAAATACCAGTTAGCCTAGTGGTGATCGAGAGCTCTTTTGCCCTAGTGGCCTAAACATATACATTTCATAGACACATTATATATTTTGAAGTCCCTTGCTCATCACGCACGCAAAACGGAGTCTATATACACGATTCCTTCTCCTGAGGTTATCCTGGCTCCGGTGTTATAGACATTCTGTTTAGGTGTGACTACTACCCGTCCCTCTACTAGTGGCAATCAAGTCGTTGTTGGTGAGAACTTGCACTCAATCATCTCTTTCGGTCGTGCTTCTGTCCCGGTGTGTAGTATAGCGGATGCATTATGTGAGTCGAACAAATGGAGCTAAGTAAGTCGTGAGATATACCCTCTTCTTCTTAGAGAAATTGAATGACATGTATGTGTGGGCTGTGGGCGACTTGATGTCGTCGGAAACAATATCATCCCAACTGGAAACGCTTTTAGTCCAGAAATGGGGGAAAAAAGTTACGTTATGGCGAATGTGAAAAATTGGATGAAGAAGGACTTACAAAGCCTGTCTGACCATTGATCTGTACATTTCCAGAACGCCCCAGCTCCAATCTCTTGTCTCAAAAACCTTTTCCATGGTTTCTGAGATGGCTCAATCTCCCAAGAAGTATTGGAATAAAGCAACGTAGACTTTTACCTCTGGGATTTCCTGACCAGGCTGCAGCTCCCAGCTACAGCACACGCCTCGATGCCCGTCATTTGGATCAAGCACTGGCTTGGGAAATGAAGTGTCTGCGTGTCCCTCGGGCTCGTTAATTAGCAAGTGCCACAGTTCACGTAGGACTGATAAGCCTTCAAGCGTGGCCTTGTCGGTACGCCTTCCGCCAAAAGTAACATGTTCGTAAACTGCATCGAAGGAGCTATCGCGAGGATTCGAGTAGACCTTTACCCTCGCGCGGATACCAGGGTCCGTGCAATCAATACCGACGACTTGAACCAGAGGAGGGTGTTGGCAAATTGACTGGTACTTCTCGATGAAATTGAGAGCCGGTACGAATGATTCTCCAAAGGGATCAAGCCGCTTGAGAAGATTAACGGTGGCTTCATCAGAATCCAGGCCGGTGGCCATGTGCTTCATCATGGGGGAGAAATAAGCTTTCATCGATATATTTCTACCATCGAGATCAAAAGCGAGGAAGCATCGCGGTATTCGCGCGGTATCCGGTGGCATCTTGCCCTTAATAACCACCCTCTCCTCTTCTGATGGGAAATACTCTGCCGAGAACTGTTTAAACCAACGCATGTCTGCCTTCACGGCCTCGGCGATTCTGGGGATTGGCGTGTCGGCGAGACTCCCCCTTTCTGGCATCACAGGCTCAAAAGTAAATCGTGCACATGCCTTCCCAGAATTGTTGAAGTTGATACTGGCTTCAAATAGCGCGCCATTGGGGGTAAGGAGCGATCTGGGATATGTTTTATCTGGGGGAGGACCCATGTGCGGAATAATATAGTTCTCTAGGAACGCTAAATGAGATTTTTGCTGCTCTTCGGTATAAGATCCAACATTACGCAGCAGTGAGGACAACACGGGCACGCAATGTTTAGACCAGAACGTAAACCCTCCGTCATTGCAGTTAGGTACAAAGCTCCAGTCAAAGCTATAGATGTTGTTAATATGAATTTGCACACTTATACCTCCTCTGTTATTACGTACGTCTTCGCCAGTGCCTCACGCGGCGTGGTAACAGTATGGGCGTCATCCATGGAAGAATGAAGGGGATTTGAAACAGCCTCAGAGATTGATGCCATTTGTTCAAGTGGTACTCTATTCCATGCCCTGGACACGGCTTTTTCTGCGGAGTGAACAAAATCCCACGAGATGGCAGGCGATTAGAGGCGTGAACGCAGATGAGACGAGTGAAGATGTTTAGTTGGGCGATAGCAGACAATGCGCAGGGTTGTAGTAATGAGGTGTGGAATTTATACCCACTTCGCTCATTTTTTCCCACTCCATACATCGCTCCCCTGCTGCACCTAGTCATGATGTAGTAATTGTAACAAAATTATATGGGAGATCAACAATAATGAAGTGAGTGCAGCAGACTCACTGCCCAGTTCTTTTTTCAGTCAGACAGCTACAACACAGTTCATTGAAGCTCTACTTCATCTGATGAAAACTGTCTGTTACAAGATGCAGCTTTGAATTGCGCAAGAAAATTGTTCTTGCGTCATGATCAAGGGCTTTGCAGAGTGGTTATGCATTGCTGTTGTCGGTTGAATCCCTGGACATTTTCGACAAGGTTTCATGGATGAGAGCCAGAATATATGTCAATGTCAGTGCATTCTGTGTCCATTCTGCAGGACGGCAGGAAGCAGTAAATATTCTTTTGTGGTGTCTTTGGCTGAATTTGCGCAGGAAGGCAACTTGCCAAGTCAGGAACTGGAGATCCTTCCAAGTGCGAAAAGTCTTCAATAATAATGAGCAGTAAATTACACCGCCAAACCAAAAAAAGACACATGCATGCCTCGTACGACTGGTCGTCTTTTCACCAAAAGCCTCGTCAACAGGCCATGGTAGCTGATGGTAGCTGAGCGGCGGAATAAGCCTGTAAGTAAGAGCCAGATAAATCTGTGGGGGTTGGATCAACCTCTCGTCATCATTCCGCCAATTTAAACTAGCTCGCTCGAGACAAAGAATCCTTGCCCCTCCCTAGAAAGTTGGTGAGGGGGATTATTTAGACAACCACTTTATTTTGAAGCAGCGGCTGCTGGTGAAACCATGTCCGTGGAAACCCTGGCCATGTTGCGACGATTGATTCCCAAGATTGACACTCACTCGTCGGCTGGTACTGCGTAGTTCGGCCGCCAAAGACTGCTGCTGCTTTTCAAGCGTGACAGCTGGCATAAAGAGATATTGTTTATCCCAGCTTGGCTAAGATGTGCACACCTTCTTTAGTTGGTTCTTGGCCCTCGGGTGTTTTTATTTGCGCGTGGTGTGTGTGGGTGTTGTGAGGGATAAGAATTGTTAAAAAACGGTCCAATTTATTCCATGTTAAGACGGATTTTCCGTCGCGCAGTTTTTCCTTTTTTGCATAATTTTCGTTTCCGTGAAAGGCAGATCGTCCGGTCTTGCCATGAAGTTACATGTGCTAGGCTGAAATATCACAAGGCCGCGCTGAATCGAACAAAAAGAAAAACAATATGTTGGCCAAAATGGAATGAATGATGGATGGGATGGTGGTGTTGCGCCTGATATTGGAACGAGGATGGCTCGATGGCTCTTTGCATCACGACAAATTCGCACAATCATCACAACCAGGAAATCGCCGCAGTGGCGTCGGAGACATTAACTACCTACTAATGTTGCCTATTTTGGGTGGTTCAAACGAATAATAAGTCAGATTTGATGTTGAAAACCTTGCCACCTGGAATTATTTTGTAGCCGCCCCATCACATCACAGAGATTTCCAGCGTTTGGGCTGTGCCATAGGATAGGTCAACAGAAGCATCGAAGCCAAAAGTTAAGGCTCGGGCTTTCCGCACGGACATGTCATCACTTTTCCTTGCTGCTTCCAAGCGAACCTTCGAAAATACTACTGATGACGATGCTCCGTAATTATATTATTATGAATGTTTGGAGCATGCGGTGGGCCGGTGGCTCGGTCGCCGCTGGCTGGAGACAGACTAGCCCTAGCCCATGCGCCCCCATGGTCCTATTCAAGATGCAAAACTAGGGTTGGACCGGGATAAAATACCGGTTAACAGAGTCGTGATGGTTGCGATCAAGTAAGGAGTACGCTGCGTAACATACATACATCCGTACGAAAGTACTCTCCTCTTTGAGGTAACAGTTAACTAACTCGTAAGCTGATCATTATTTGCGGATTTTCCGTGTCTCACCATTCTGGCGAGCACATTCGGTGATAGGGCAAAGAACAATTTTCAGATTCCATTGGCGCGAACTCTGCCCAGCAGGGTGGGAATCATTCCCCTGCACAGATTATTTTCTTTCTTTTTTGTTTTTTTTTTTTTTCTTTTTCTTTTTCTTTTATAATTTTACCTTTCTTTTTTCCTTCGTCGAACCCTCAGCTTGTGAACATTCATACCAGCACGCACTATTGTCGTGAACCAATAATAATGAATTCGATGCTGACAACTACGCTGCGTAGACAGGACTGTTACCGGCGGGCTTCTCTAGAGGGTTTTGCCTCGGTGGGGCCACCTGAAAATTTCATTGGCTCGGCTTTACAAATCGCTGTCCAGAGGAGGAATAACGGGAGTAAGGACTGTTCGCTTTGTTATGGGCCGAATGATCAGGAGAGCTTAGCGTTTAGCGCGTTAATTAATCTGCCTTTTTATCTCAAGGGCTCCAGAATCTCCTTTGGTTGCCGGAACGAGACATGCACTCTGATAATCATCCCGTTTCTTCATCGACTGTCTTCCTTGAATTTAGATAATGTCTTCGGGTTCTGCGTTTTTTTGCCAATGTCAAAGGGCGCTGAGGTGAGCCTCTGGGGACTGGAAGTTTAGGATATCATGGAGGGAACCATGAGCAATAGTTATTATTATGTTGTTAGTTTAGGCAGAGGGAAATCGAATGCCGAAGTTGCCCATGGATGCTGATCAGCTGGTGCGAACTCATATGAGAACTTGTAAGATGCCGTTCTTGAGCGGTGGGAATACTGTACATGCTGGGATCCCGATGAGCCAACACTCTGTTGACCCCATGTCTGAGACTAGACTGCAACCTGAATGTTTATTATTCCATCAATAATACAGGGCTCACGGCAATCAGCTTTGCACATCCGAACCCAGTCTCTGCTTCAGCCTCAAATCCTGCTGTACTGCGTATATGGCACAACAACGGCTTTGGTGGAGCCTTTATCAATGCCGGCCTCGTCCTAGACTTCGCGACCAATATTCGTAGAAGTCAATCATTAATGCAGGACCGGTCTCTGTTTGATACGCCTCCGCTGCCAATAGTAAATATCACAGCTTCCAAGCAACAGGGAGTTTGTCTGATTCATGGTTGGGGTCTGGCTGCATAAATTTACCGACACCTCCCAAAGTTTGACTCTTTGCTTGCATGATTTATTGTATCTATCCAATTTCTCCGTGTTGAGATTGCTAGCCATCACTATCAGAAAACAACCCACCCGCATTGTGGCGTCTTGATATGATATGCCTATCAAGCTCCGCTAACTACGGAGTAATGTAATGGTGCATAGCATAGTGGAGAAGTTGTCTTTTAGCATTTGGTTGGGATCACTGGGGCCATGGTGATGAATATTAAATGATACTTGAATCGTCGTCACTAATGTGTGGAGGAGGGATGGATGGATTGTTCGATACGAATACGCTTTACGGATGATAACCATGATTCCACGAACAAACTGATGCCTCTACTTCAACCATTCCATTCCCTTATCATTTTGATTATTTTTGCTAAATGGGTCCACACGGGAAGCCAAGGGCTACTTGAAACAACATATCCGTCTCCCAATCGACGCAACTTCTGAGAATTGCGGCCAACACTAAACCTATCGCGGCGAGGTGTATGCAAGTGATATGTATGTATTATTGTGCATAAACCACAGGCTAGATTTTTGAAGATTCTGCTGATGAATCATAATAACAGACACACTCTCCTCCATCTTTCAATCCTCAGAATCACACTGGTTGCGTATCATGTCAAATCGCATGTAAGTGCAGGCTTTCTTCATAATTCTATTGCTATTCAAGGAGAGAACATCACAGCTGTTCCTTTCATTGGCTTCTTTGTGTCAGGTGTAACTACAAAATAAATAATCTTCGAAATCATGAACCTGATTCCCCAAAGAGCCAAAATGCTGAGCGGTGAGCCATGATAAACATGAGCTCAGAAGGCAGCCCCTTTATGCCTTGGATATCAGTCGAAAATGAAGCTAAAGGTGAGGATCATACAGCGTACTTCGCCCGTGCCAGGTGCTTGGGCGGATTTCTCACAGCGGACTGGACTGGACTGGACTGCTCTTGGGAGCTGAGAGCCCCTCCTGCAAAGTTGTTTTTGAATAATAAATAGGTGGAAAAAATAGAATAATATTCAGACAAAACGGCTGACTTGTGATAAGAAAATGTGCATAAAAGTGCTGTACATAGTTACATCACCGGGATCTCTCATTTAACACCCAACCACCCCTACCACTCAGGGCTAACTATGAAGCCTTCCGTTGGTAAGATTGAGAACATTGGAATATGTTCTAGGTCTCGAAGCGAAGAATGAGCAAATCGATCACCAACGGCTGGGTGCTGGTACCGTGGTACCGCTCTCCTTGGACATGGGACGAATTATTGCCCCCGCAGAAGCAGGAACAAAAACGTACGCAGTATTTTATTCCTAACTTATCCTTGAAGGCGAGCACCGACTTCGCCGAGCGACGCCCACGCACGCCTAACGACGCCTAACTCTGGCCCTCTGGGCACAGTTTGTAAAGAAGAATGCCTAGCCTAGCGTGGTTCCCTAGTTGGGGGCTAGAACCCCCCTAAATATCGGCTGCAGCTTGCAGCTGGCTATTCTTCCCAGCAACCTTTAGCTAAATCCATAGTTAAAAAAAGGACTCCAGCCCCCCTCAATATCCAAAATTTGACAGTGGCAGGGTGGGTAATTTGCCCCGGCCCCATCCTTTCTTTGCGGTGGTGGGGTGGTCTCCTATCACCGGCATCATGCATTCTTCGATTACGAAGCGGTTACAGCGCGCGCTACGGATTTCCTTGGCTTGAATGTTTTGCTTTCCATCGCACATTAGTTTCAGCTTCGTCCTCACGTAACTTGCTTGACCAGGGCAACAAAAGTTTAGATCCCAGCTTTTTTTTCCCACGCATATACATCGTTTTTCTTCTTGCGGCCCCGGACACCTGACCCACAAGAAGAATGCTAGTTTGCCAACAACTTTCTTGTCCTCATATGGAGAGATGGATTTCAATGCGGATGGAGAAAGTCGGAACTTGCTCAGGATGGACAAACCTAACTTTGCTTAGTTCAGGCATTTTTTATTATTCTCTGTAACACAGGTGCTGTGAACCGACCTGAAGCCGAACCATCAGACTGGCTTCCGCTCTTTGAGAGACGGTTTTGTCTTTGAATGAGAGCTAAATAATAAGTTGGGAAGTGTTGCGAGGTTTGCATAATTAACTTACCCAGGTACGACGAAACGAAGAAGCAACTTTTGTTTTCCTGACCGCCCTCACGCACCACCCACCCCTTGATACAGAAGTAACAGAACAGGGTTTGATAAATGATTGTCGTAGACGGAGACATCCTACACGGACTGCCCCTCTTTTTCTCTTATAACAGTGATCTCAAGGCCTTGCGATGTGTCCACGCTTATCGTTGAGCTAAAAGCCCGATTAGTCGGCGAGAAAAAACCTTCTCCGTTAAGAGAGTTTGAGTTTGCACCTGTTAGGTTTAACTATCTGTGCGCAAAACCACGCTGCAGAGCAAAAGTTTCTCAGGTATCCACTACTACCTAGGTAGCTCGATTTCTCTGGCGGACACTGGCATGTGTGGTTTGCTTTTGGAATTTTTTTTCTTTTTTCCCCCCATTTTTGCCGCTTTCGCTGAGGTGGCATCTTTTTTGTGACTCAAGACAGCTTACTCCGTAGTTAACGGGTGGACGGGCCACGGCCCCGTCGGGGCAGTTTGTAATAAGATCCAACATTTTGAATCCAGAAGAAAAATTGTGGCACAGGTCTGGTAAGACGCTCCTCAGCACCGAGAAACCAAGGGAGAGGTGCACCGTAAGATGATGGGCTTGAATGACACTGTGAGCACAAATAAAAACACAACAAGCCATCAATCATCCTTTTGGGCGGGCGATATTCCCTATTCCTGGTCCAGTCTAACTCCAGCCAAGCAGCCGTGGCCCGTGGAGTCAGTCCGTCAGCCAGCGTTCGTGGGAATAAACTAACCGCATTTCTCCAGTGGAGTCCCCCGTATTACCTGCGGATGTTATGGAAACCCAGAACCCAGACATATTTTTTGTTCCTCTGCCATGGCTTGCTCCACCCTTGAATTCCGAGGCCAGGAGCGAAATATAGAAAGGCGCTGTGCAAGAGGCTAAAAATCCCCATGCAACTCTGGCATCATGTATGTATGATGTCTGCAAACACGGAACATTTCTGGGCGCGTCACGACTCACAACCCCCTGTTCTGGGACCAGGACCCGTCCCATCGGCTTAGGTTCATTATTCATCTTTGTGGCTCTGGGAAAAAAGGCGGCAACCAAGTTACGACACGGACAAGGAAGACGTGGGTGGAATGGCTTGCGGCGCCCCAGACCCATCTCGCTAAGAAAGAATCCATTTGAGTAGTTGATATTCAGGGTACCCCAAACACGAAACTTTTGCTGTTGCTAAATAATACCACCTTTCTCTTTTTTTGTTTTTCCATCTCCTGAACCTTCTTTTGTGTGGACTTTGACTATCTTGGGTCCTCGGACAAGAAGAAGTGCAACCAGCCAACAGCTCGGCTGTTTTAGACCCATACTCTTTCATGTCATGTCATTTTCCCCTGCTTCCAAGTGCCTTGCCCTACCAAACTGCATGGCGGGTTCCTACTACGCAATAATAACAATTAATGGACTCCGGCCGCCCAGATCTCTTGTATCAGAAATGGGTCATTTACTTATTCCCTTATTATTAGACATGAGAATCCTATCCATAGCCTTGCGCAACTAGTGGTTTTCGACTCACCCCGTCGACTAGTACATGTATATATATATATATACGCATACATACATATATATAACTATATATGTGCACTGATGGAACCAAGAACGCGGCTTACATACAGTACATGCTTGCATACTTACTACATCGCAGCCTTTTTATATTCACAAGCTTTCGCATATTTTCTTGCATCCTTTCTTTCAGGTCACAAAACCAAAGTTCTAATGAATCATACTCTTTGATCATGGCTGACAACTGTTGGTATCGGCCTTCTTTCGTTGGCTCGGCCAGCAATATTCCATTCTCTACTCCCCCCGAGGGCGGCCATACGTCACAACAACGACGAATCCACCATCGCATACTTAAAACCACAAGTGCTGATAACAGTCCTAGCCGGATTGCAAAACGAGACATGATGGTGAACCATTGCCATGGACAGCGTCGCGCCATTCGAAATAGTATGCGCGAACAGTCATTCCATTTCGCTCTCCAGGGGACCGTTCCAGATGCGAGACCAGCCAGATCTCTCTCGTCTCCCCGGCATTCAACCACTACATATTCCAACAATACTCGATCATCACGCACGCTCCAGGCTGGAACATATCAACCTAATGAAATGCTTACACCGCCAACCTATATGAATAACAATGGATTCTACATTCAACAATACGTCCCCAATCTCTATGCCAATCAAACAGGCACTCCAATGGAATTCCCGCAATACCAGCTTGATGTTTCTAATCGCAACTCTCTCTACGTCATGGAATCACTCTCTTCGGACCCACCTACAACAAACTATTTGCTCTCTTCAATTGGCTACGGTATGCCTTGCGCAAATGATACTGAGAGTAGCTCAACAGTGCCAACTACACTTTCAGCACCGAACGTCCTTCCTACTCAGCACAATGACAGTGAACCAAAAACCCCGCTCCTCATTCCCGATAGGGAAGAACCCGGCGAAGAACTGGTCGGTGTGGGGCTCTACGACGAACCTGAAGGGCTACCGGTCTGGGACTACTCAATGAACGGCTATTTGAGACTGAGCAGTAACACAGATTCTCCAATATTCTTAAAGCGGTCTGGGGGTAAAGGGCTGAAATTGGAGGAAACGTTTGACCCCTCCACCATCAAAATTTCTGACGATGATGATAGCGATGACGAGGAGGGGGGACAAAATAAAACTGATACCGAGAAGGAAAAGGATCAAGGCAATTACCACGACGACTGTAGCCAAAGGAAGCAAAACCAGAGGCCGGATGAGATACAAACGCCAGAGGATCCTAATCCTCGGATCGAGCGAATGATGCAAGCATCCCACAGCCCCTTCGAGAATCCTTCTCACTTTCAGCAAAATGAGCCATGGCTTTTATCTTCTCAACAGCATGATCCCGATAGTAGTCCTGTGTATCATCTGGATATGGCTGGCAGGTCGTTTTTCTTTGAGGACGAGCAGGACTCGAATCTCGTACCTAGGAAATCGAACCAGGAAGTCATGGGTTTCCCCCCCAATATGTTTGTACCATCTTATAGTGGTTCTATGTATGGTTGGATTTAATGGAGGGGAGATTGACCATTGTATCTCCTCAATTTTTTATTTTTTTTTCCAAGCGTGGAGTTTGTTTGGGATCGTATTGCATAGCATGGTACGGTATCATAGAACATTGCATTCTGGTTAATTAATTTGTGGCCATTTGAAGGGGAGGCGTGCAACATGAACATCTCAAGAGCTCATTCAGTGTTTGGTTATATAATATAGACAATACTAGTTAACTAACTTAGTTACCTTTCAACACAATTATCTATGATTTGAATTCTGCTTTTCAATGTTGTACCCAGCAACGCAATCATTGGCTGTGCTCCCAAATAAGCATTTAGGCTCAAGACTAGTCCAAACTTTAATTTCGCCTCATTCGCAAACCCTTTAGCATCACGAAGATTTCAACAGGCACTGAAATATACATCGTTACTGCAACAGATATCACCCAACTATTGCTGGTCTGGCTGCCGACTGGCGGAGTAAAGAGGCATTTAAAATCTACTTTCGATTTCCTTTCAGTAGATTTAGCTTACGTGGCTATTTTCTATTTGTTCCTCTGTGATTTCGCACCAGTTACCCATTTTTCATCGGATGGGAATTTAAGCTGGTTGATCTGTTTTAAGACCATACATATTCTTCCCTTGACATCTTAAGCCCCTGAGCATATCCAGGTTGTACGGACAGCTTGTTGCGACACAGCCGCCTATCCTACCTCGTACCAGAATATTATGCAAGGAGCCTAACCCGATTGTTGTTGCACAAAGTTACGTTTATTATTTTTTAAGCCCTTCTATTCCTCCCTACATACCCACGGGATTGCTTTATATTGTCTATTTTTGTCACCTAGTCTGCAACCAAACGATATCATAAATCAACATGCCACGGCTTCAGTTTACTCCATGGAAGGAACCGTCTGAACTACTATCTGTCCGCAGCCAATTTTACCCCTCTATGACCACAACAGGGGAGCCTGCAGATATGCGTGCGAGAGCATGCTCGACGGTATGCCTATATCCTCAAATGCAGTTTTATGTGCTCTTTTTCTCTCGTTTTGCCTCCATGTTAACCTTTGTCACCTTTTCATTCCCCAATAACAGGTGTGGGTTTGGAAATTGCGTGGGAACCTACCGCATACGGTGGAGGCGACTGCGCTATTAACGGATGCTATACTACATGATGATGCGAGAAAAAATTCCATCTTTTCTATTCGAGCAACTTACTCGGCAGCCTTTTGCAGGTGGGTTGGTTACCTTCTTGCTCATGATTCATTCAAGACACTATTTTAGCCCCCAGCCCCAACAAAAATTATCATATCCCTTTCTTGTTGATTGGCTGTTGCCCCACCCCCCCCCCCCCCCGCAAGTTCATGGGTTACTTACTATGTGCAACGCAGATTTGTTACAGGACTAGTCGACTCCAAGTTGTACGGGAGGAGGCAGACTATGTTCCAAAGAGCAATGGAACTCGGTCTACCAGCTTCATTTGTGGAACTACGACACGAGGCGACGCATAGGGAGTTACCCGCTCTTGTCGTGCTTCGGGATGCAGCTCGTCGGTCCCTGGAATGGCTCTGGGAATTTTACTGGGACGGGCTAGGGGATATCGAGACTGCTGATGCGGGCATGGATGTTCTAGAGCAGAATAGAGAATCTCAATTGACGAAAAATGAAATTCAGCAGATGCTGAAAAATGTGGTGCTTGGTGAGAGCAACCTGGGTGAAAATTCTGCGACACGGAGGAGTTCCCGAAAATTGAAGTCGTTTCCTGGCTTAGAAAATGTCGCTCTGATTCTCAAACATCAGCAAGGAGAGCAGACTGTCACGCAAGTGCTTTTGGAGGAGGGTATTTTGATTCCAGCTAGCAGAACGTCAGTATCTGAGCACGCTTACGGAAAGTGAACTCGCTTTTGCTAACACTTTGTTCCAGTCTAGGAAGTTCCATGGAAGCTACATTTTCGACGTGGGATGTAGTTTTGAAGGAGCTGTGTCGACACAGGATAACATTTCTGACCTCACTAAGCGGCGAGTTAGCGCGTGCCCTTGTCGATGAGGATAGTAATACTTCGGAGGGAGACCCCTACAGAGAGGCTATATATTTATGGCTGGTCCACATCTTTAACTCGAGTGCGTGGGCTGCAGCAAGAAGGCTGTACCTCTCTACCTGTCACGTTGATGCAGCCTGTCACGATGCTTCCGGCTATTGGGCTCGCCGTCTCAGATCTTCAATGGACCAACATTCGCATAAATTGGATACAGACGCAACCAAGGAAGCCAATAGCAATGGTACCTCCGAGTTAGGCACGGGTAGTGGGGCAGCCACACTAGGGAAGCAGGACGGATCCGTCGAGGAAATCGTAGATATGGATGCGGACTTGGACTCGAATTTGCTGCGGAGTTACGGGTGGGATGTAAAGGGAAGCTGGAAGTATAAACCCATAGGTGTTGTTTAGAAAACATATGTACCCATAGATAAGGAACTTGTAATACTCTATGCTTATGAGCCTAAACTAAGACAAGTACATCCAGTGTCAAGGACAGCAGTCTAACAAAGCGAGTGGTTGGCATATTCGATTGGCCGCTTCTACAAAGAATTTCAATCTTCGTAGGTGAAAAAAAAAAAAAAAAAAAAAAAAAAAAAAAATCATACGCTCTCATCACACTACACTGGATTAGAAAATAATGAACAGAGACAATTAACAATTGCATTTCGATCTCTGTTACGTTATGTACATACATGTACATGTACAAACGAAAAACCCTCCTTGGCGGGGTTGGTTTTCTCCAGCAAGGAATAACCGCGGAAGGGCTCGGCTCAACGTCATCCTTTCTTCATTTCAAGAGCATTCAAAGCATCCACTTCGTATATTATGCTAGCTCTTATAGCACATGCTTAGAAATTACAATCAACACTCCTGCATCATCATCCTGGATGGGATAGAAATTACCGATAACTCATGATCGTAAGCAGAGCTTTCAATCGGTTGATAACTCCTGGTACATCAGTATTCAAGCGCAAAATGCATATCGAATCCATTCCCATGTGTAAGTCTATCTCTTGCCACTGATAAGTGAAAGCAGCTAATGTATATATAAAAATCAACAGGGACGGGGTCGGGCAATAACTATGCCTACCTAATATCCGATGAAGCATCAAAGGATGCAATGGTCGTGGACCCAGCACATCCTCCGGAGTAGGTGATGATATCTTTGTTTTATGAAAGGAGCTAACCGACTTATCTGACACCCAATACTCCGTTTACAGAGTCATTCCTGTTCTCAAATCCCATATCGACAGCGGCAAAATTAATCTCAAAGCAATCATAAATACTCACCAGTCAGTACCCTAAAATTCTTCTCACGGCCTGGATGTAAACATCCACCAAAACTGATTCTCTCTCCAGTCACCATGACCATTCCGGTGGCAACCAGGGGATTGTAAGTTCCTCCAACTTAATGAGATGACATGTTTTTGTATATATTTCCTTGTCATATCACTTACTCTTTCATATGGATCTAGCTCAAACAATTCGGCAAGCTCCCCGTCATTGGAGGCAGTGATTGCCAATCCGTCTCAAAGACTCCCAAGCACGGGGAGACCTTCAACATCGGAGAACGCATTAAAGTGACTGCTCTGCATACGCCATGCCATACCCAGGATAGCATCTGCTATTTTGCAGAAGATGGTGACCAGCGGGTTGTATTTACAGGAGATACTCTTTTCATTGGAGGTATGTGTCAGCCATGACAGCCCAATAACATCTTTTGGTTGCGAATAGAGAACAAAACAGATATGTCATGTTAAACCACCAAGCTGATACCGAGTGAGTTTTCTGTAAACTAATATAACAATACCTCTAATAGGATGTGGCCGATTCTTCGAGGGAACTGCTAAGCAGATGCATGATGCCCTAAATAATATTCTTGCTAAGCTGCCAGATGATACCAAGGTTTATGTAGGTTCATCCCATTGTTTTTGTATCGAAAAGTAAATTATATGAAGAGAAGGATGCCAGTGCCGTACTTTAACCCACTTTATAACTGACTCCGCTCAATTACAACAGCCCGGCCACGAATATACAAAGTCAAACGTGGCATTTTGTATCGAAGTATCTCAATCGGAACCAATCAAGCGGCTACAGTGGTTTGCAGAGAAATATCGGGAAACCCAAGGCAAATTCACCATTGGCGACGAGAAGGTACAGACTCTTCTCTTTCTATTTTGACTTTTTTTATTCCTTCTAGGCCTCGCTAGCGGTCACCACCTATGCGGCGTGGGTTCCGTCTGTGGAAACCAGAAAGTCCCAAGGCAAAACTGGCTAATTGCATCTTCTTACTTGACAGTTACATAATGTGTTCATGAGGGTCAACGTAAGCCATCCCCATCCATAACATTCCTCGATACACTTTATGGGGAAAGTGCCTGCCTGTCGATGCTTGCGTGACTAACTCTCTCTCAGGATCCAGAAATCCAAAAGGCTACGGGCAAAACTGATCCGGTTGATGTGATGCATGCGCTGCGTGAGATGAAAAACAACTTGCCATCAAAGCCGGCAGTTCAAAAAATGTAGCTGATGGCCGTGGTGCTGACAGGAGTCTTCTCGACAAATTATTCACTTATTTCGCATTCCCTGTAGTTGCGTACATCCGTATGTATTGAAATGCTGAATACGTCTCTTATGCTGGACTAGGTCATCCATGCTTTTCTGAGCCGCTTCGTACATATTTTGTGCAATTGAATTAAGCTTTAAACTGCTTCGGGCTTCGTGTTAGCATACTCTCATCGTGACGTCAAGCAGAGCAAGTTAAGATAGTAATAGTATGTAATTCAAGAAAACAGGAAAATAGGAATCACAAATGGAGATATTTATTAAATGAGTCGATTAGATTTGCCGTGATTGCCCCAAGGTCACAGAACAATATATGTAATAAAAATGGATCATAAGGAAAATCGAGAAACAAAATATTTCAAAAGCTCATCACAAAAGTCGTTATCATGTCTCAAAACTTCGCGCCTATCAGCAAGATTTGCGCACACCTACATGCCTACCATGCCTACGCCTCAGATCCGACCCGGTTCGTCGAGGCCAATCACTACTGCACAATGGTAAATGAGGGTAAGCTAAGGAACGTGAAGTCCTGCATCTACGGTGTCTAAAAAAATAACGTATGGGCTCTAGACATGAGACAATGTATCATCTATGATTCTCCTGATACCGGAGCCCGCCTCATCGGCATCGAGTATTTGATTTCACCAAAGCTTTATGAAAGGCTGCCGGAGCATGAACAGGTACTCTGGCACTCGCATGTTTATGAGATAAAGAGTGGGATGTTGGTCATGCCTCCGCCGCCAGAGTGTAAGTCCGTTTAATTCAATAGCGCACCATCATCGCCTGTTGTAACTCTCCTTCGACTCTAGGGGATAGTGAGCAATTGATCGCCCAGTGTCATGACAAGGGGCTAACCCGAAGGTTTCACTCGCCGCACGAATTGTTTAGGTACGGACCGGACAAAGTTGAACGAGCTAGAAAAAGAGGAGCTATCGCAGCTTGTCACATTTTATGGGAAGGTATACCATCTGTGGCAGGTCGATAGGGGCGACGAATTACCAATGGGAGTGCCAGAGCTTATGGGCAGTATAACTTCCGACGAGGCGTTGAACAAGGTGCTTCCCGGTGGGAAAGTGAAATTGAGGGAAGACCACAAGTCGAAATTTGGGGTGGATCTCGATGAAAACGCGGAGAAAAGGAAAGAATTCGGTAAAGGGTTTGAGATTCATCCAAGTACGTTGGCTCTTCATCACTCTCTTTTTGAGCTCATATTGCTTGCTGTTAAAATCGGTATTGACTGCTTTCTTGCGTCTAGATGCGGATTCGATGTGGAAGAAACAAGGCCGTTAATGCTACGAGCAAATAGCAGTACGGCGGAGTAGGGTGTTCTTTGTTGACCCCATCCACAGACCCAGATGTAATCATAGTTCAAGGTTGCTGAGAAAGATGGCCACTCAACTTATGGCTGTTTGGAACTGGAAATGAAAAATAAAATTGAATAAAATTATGAGAAAGTATATATATTATTATATAAAAGAAATGTCTCCCACCCGCACCTGCTCAGCTTCTCACCATCCATACTGAAATGGATCAGAAGTCAAGACAGATGCTCGGGGATATCCCAGCCATTTTATGGCATGTCATCGAGACGTATAATTATAATATTGCTTCACCGTCCACACTTGCTCGTCCTAGGTTGGAAACGGCAAGCTCTAGCATTTATAGAAGCGTACAAATATCACAGCGGAGATAATTGTCTCAAGCGGCTAAAGTTCGTTGACGGGGGTATTGGGGATATAACGCCTTTGGAGGAGGCAGTCAATATTTGATACTGAGTGAAAACCGGCTCCTCATTCAACAGCAATTGATAAGCAGCTGAAAGGTAGAGGAGAGGAGTGCTCTGACAAAATTGTCAGCGATGGCGGAGAATGGGGGTTGAATTGATGTCATTGCGCCTGATAAATGTGAACCAGGATTCCCATAATAGATTTCTACGAAACAAAAAGGCGACATTAATGTGCAATCAGCTTAGATTTGCTGGCTGTTTTTCATGGGAACTGAGTGTTGTGAAGAGAAGAGGAAGCAAGCAAAAACAAGAGCAAGAAAAATCTCCATTAAATGTGATTTTAAAAGTGCGGAAAAGGGAAAATATTTATCCGAAAGTTCCCACGTGATATAATTTCGGAGCTCAACTTTCCCGGCCTCAATCGATCGACCCATTCCAGCTCGTTAGGATGCGAGAAATCCACCAAAATACGCCCCAATGAATGGCCGCATACTGACCACCCTCAAGCAACGGACGGGGCCTACCGTCCTGGGTGCGGTGGCCATCACCGGTGGCTGGAAACTCTTCAATGAGCACTGCTATTCATACCAGGCCTGCTCCGGCCCCTCCATGTACCCGACCATAAATTTTCGGGGCGAATGGCTTCTCGTTTCCAAGCTCCACAAGCACGGGAAAGGGGCTGAAGTTGGGGATCTTGTCATGTTCAAGAATCCTCTTTTTCGAGGGCGGACGGCGACCAAGCGGGTGCTGGGCATGCCGGGTGACTTTGTGCTGAAGAATGCGCCGGCATCCGGGGATGATGCGACTGGCGATGAGGATGCGGAGATGATACGGGTTAGAAACTATTCCTTTCTTTTTCTTTCTTTTCTTTCTTTCATTTTTACCAGACTTCCACTATTTGATCTTTACTGACTCGTTGATGTAATTATAGGTCCCCGAAGGGCATGTCTGGGTCATTGGCGATAATTTGCCCTGGTCGAGGGACTCGAGATTTCACGGACCACTCCCGTTGGGGTTGGTGATGGGTAAAGTCATTGCAAAGGGGAAAGGCAATTCCTTTCCTAGGTGGGTACGGAATACATTGGAACCTGCCAAGTTTTCGGATGATTGAGATACAAGCACATGCATAGAACTGGAGTTTCTTCGGATTTATTAGGACATGCACTCCAACCTGGGGAATTGAGATGGCATTAAGGCTGGCTTTGCTTTTCATGTTTTGTATGTAAACAATAAAAAAACTGAGTGTGCTATAGAGCTCTAATATACAATATATTGTAACAATTGCTATAAAACCTAACCGAACAGATACAAAAAGCAACAAAAGAGGCTATCTAAATGAGGCGGGATTCCTTCTCTTATATGGTAGAGGCTCAATTCTCTTTCTCCGGAACTCAATCTCTGCACCCGGAATACCAAACTCGTTCATTACAGATTCTGTATTTTCATCCCATTTGCTTCTGAAAAGATGAACCCCAATTGGTTTGAGCTGGTGTCGAGTCTGAAGGCCTCGAAGGCGGAAGTCGTCTCGTTGCACTTTCTCTGCCACTTGTTTCAAATCCAAGGCAGCTTGATCCTTTTGCTCCAGAATAATTACAGAGAGCCGATGATATGGGCTTCCCTTCTGGGCGAACGGGGGAAGCCAAGGGAGGATGACTTGGTTGTCTGTTGACAGCTTGTCCAAGGAAATTCTGGGCTCAGTAGGTGAAATAGGCACGTTAACGGCCAGGAAATGGCAACGGAAACCGAAAGTATCGTTTTCGAGGTTAGGAACATCCGAGTCCACAAGGGCAATGGTCAACAGCTTCTCGCCTCGCTCAAAGCTCTGGACACTTAGTTTGGCTGGCAGCGAGCTGACTCGGGAATCTACGAATTCACCAGGCGGTATTGATCGTCTACCGAAAGCCAATTTCACCTCGACAATGGGATCTAGGTGAGGAAGAACATCAGGAACCACCTTCATCTGGGTTATACGCTGAACGATGATCTTCCGTTTATACTCCCTCCATTTTTGATCGGCTAGGTATCGATATATCGGCCGATTCATGTCACCTGGTTATTCCACATTAGACTCTGTTGTAAAAGCATAAGCTTACGAGCACTCAAAACATACCGAGTCCATCCTCAAATCGTTTCTTAATCACAGGGTCATTGATATCCGCCAGGATTTTCAAGTGCTCCAAGTGCTTCTCCATGCTCCTCAGGCGATTACTTTTCTGAAGCTCTCCTCCCACAGTCGTAGGATCGGCCGCACGTAGTCTCGCTATTCTAGCACGTTCTGTCTCTATTTGCTTGAGCTTTTCCTCCCTATCCTCCAACAAGACCTTGCGGGCCTCCTGGAAACATTGATATGGCAGCAGCTCGAAGGGGATATTAGGCGAGTCTTGGAGGGCCGCTCGACGTCGACGGGATCCAATTGGGTGATTGCCAGCTCGGACAAGCCTTCGCTCCAACCGAGGACTCGTTACCAGTGCCGGATCTGGAGCTCTGTAGAAGGGTTCGCTTCGAGGAGTTTCTGATTGAGCCTCATCTTTTGTGGTGGGTGTAGATGAGAAGGCGCGGGTAGGCGAAAATTGGGTTACGAGCAGGGTCTTGTTGTATGTGTGCCGTAGGCATTGGAACAATGGCCTTGAGGCTAGTTCGCAATGCGCCATTATGGGACTCTTCGTGGCGCTGAGCGTGGTGGTTACGATGGAGATGGAAGTGGTTGTTGTTGGCTGTTGCGATGAGGGTTTGGCGACCAAACTTTTTTCTAATGTGCACTAGCGCCAAATCGGGCCAGATCCAAAATCTTCAAAAAAGACTTATATACCTCCATGCCCGGTTCTTTCGCATTCAATCATTCACGCAATCCCTCAACGACGATTCTACTATTTCAGCTGCGTGGGATACCATTCTATAATGTCTGGAAGCAAGTCGCTGGGAACGTTGAGGTGGCTCACGCGCAGCTACAATGGGTTCGCCAGCAGCTTCGTAGCGCCAACTGTACGATAAAAAAACTCGAAGAGCGCTTCATATTTCTCTTACTCAGGCTAATTCAATGAGCAGCAGTGCGTCCCCAAAAATACATCACGGTCTATGACTACAGAAACGGAGATTCCAAGCGTTTCTCCCTTGACTGCGTTCGCAGATGCGCATGTTGCCGGCCAACCTCCGAATCCCGATGACATTCCAAAACCTGTATGGAATCCCGCGCCTGCGGTTGCGACCCTTTACGACTTCCCGACTATGGAACCCCTTAAATTTCTTGAATACAGCCATAAGCACCTTCTTCTACCATTGCGGCGGGACATATTACATCGAGCGGTTGTGTACGAGGGCGACAAGACTCGACAGGGGACGGCCAGTACAAAGTGGAGAGACGACATCCGCGGTAGTGGACGGAAAATCCGACCACAGAAGGGCACCGGAAGAGCGCGACTGGGAGATAAAAAGTCACCAATGTTGAGAGGTGGTGGGGTTGCCCATGGTCCCCATCCTCGGGACTTCTCAACGGGCTTGCCCAAGAAAGTCTACGACCTGGCATGGCGGACAGCTCTGAGTTACCGGTATCGACGAGGGCAGCTTATTATCGTTAATGATAATATTACTTTTCCACGAGAAGTCAGCCCATACTGGCTCACCGATGTTTTCGAGAAAAACCAATGGGGCAAGGGGTTTGGACGGTCGTTGATGATTACAGAAGTGAAGAAGGAAAGACTGTTTAGGGCTGTGGCACAAATTGGACAGCATGCGCGAGTATTGGACCGAGAAGACGTGGATGTGAAAGACCTCCTTGAAACGGGGCGGTTAATCGTTGAGAAAACGGCACTGGATAGAATGTTATTCCGTCATTCTAGTGACCTGAGGTCTAAGCCTGCACGGGCATGATGATATACTGGAGATTAAACATATCTGATTGTAAGATAGTTCGGCGACTGGGTGTCTTTTCTACTATTTTATTGTGGCTTTGCGTTACTTTTTATATTTAGTCGTAAGAAATGGTCAGGATACTTAGCCTTAGATTCGCTCCCCAGAGAGTACGCTTTAAAGCCTTCTTCCACCTCCAAATGTGTATTTTAAGTGAATTCGTAATGATACCTTTGACATCATCCACTTATTTAGCTGAATGAATCCAGCAACATTACATAGATGCTGTTGTAATCGCTGGCCGAGAAAGACCCCCGTCGCCGATGTCAACCGAAGCGGAGAATGGTGCTGCATCAGCCGCCGAGCCGGAGCAATTTTTCCAGCATCCAATGCCGACAACGATCGTTGCCGCAACCACCGAACCTATTTCTTGCTGAGCAGTTAATTAATTACCTAGGCACACAACGATCCCACGGCAATTCGTTGTGCATGTGCATCCCTATAATATCTTATTAAATTGCCCTGCAACAATCGATCGCCGTTGATGTTCCTTCGACCTCATTGCCCGCGGTCCTCCACACCGTTAAGTTGGTTCTCTCCCCGTCCCGCAGCCAGGATGCCTTTGAGAGCCAAATTGGCGGCCCCGGCATGGTCTGGATTGTCAAAGGTATGGTCTGGATTGTCTTGTGTATACATACAATGTTCGTTTGTGTAGCTACTAATCCTCCGTGGTTGTCAACACAGATGTCTACTGCCGCAGAGATACCCAGAGAACTTCCTGGTGACGAACCAGATGATGTCCTATTCAGCAGTCTTTTCGGGGTGCGCAACATTGAGCTCAATCGACCTAAGAAACTGAACGCTTTGAATGGCTCGATGGCAAGAAAGATTACACCCAGGCTAAAGGTATGCGACGAGCTCCTCTATTCTACGAACCCAAACTTTTCCGGAACCGGCTGAATAACTGGACAATGCACGTTAGGAATGGGAAAAATCCGAACTCGCGAACATTATCATCATCTCCGGTGCCGGATCGAAAGCATTCTGTGCTGGCGGCGATGTTGCAGCTCTTGCTGAACAATGCGCTGAAGGACCAGAAGGCCAGAAGAAGGCCACTGAATACTTTTCCCTCGAATATAAACTTGATCACCTCATTGCGACATACAGCAAGCCATACATTTCCATCATGGATGGATTCACTATGGGCGGCGGCGTCGGACTCAGTGTACATGCGCCCTTCCGGATTGCGACTGAACGAACTGTTTTCGCCATGCCCGAAACTACAATTGGATTTTTCCCAGATGTCGGTGGATCGTTCTTCTTACCTCGCCTGGACGGTGAACTAGGAACCTACCTAGCTCTGACATCTGAAAGACTAACTGGAGTGCAAACCCTCTACGCCGGCGTGGCCACCCACTATCTCCATTCAAGCATTCTTGCCAACCTAACTGGACGTCTATCTGAACTAGTCTTTAAGGACACTGCTAGCCTAGGGGAACGCCTCGACCTTGTCAACAGCACCATTTCCGAGTTTTCCACGGGCCTGCCTTCACAGGAGGAGGAGCCAATTTTCCCATCAAGTAGCATCCGCGAATCCATTGACCAGTGCTTCTCCGCAGATACCATGGAGGAAATTATCAGCAGACTTCAAAACGAACAGGTCAATAAGGAATGGGCTGAGAAGACTCTGAAAACACTTGCCTCCCGCTCCCCAACCTCTCTAAAAGTAACCCTCCGCCAACTCCGCATCGGCCGCACATGGTCCATAGCGGAAACCTTCCAGCGTGAAGAGAAAATCGCCGCAAAATTCATGGCTCATCCAGACTTCGTCGAAGGCGTCACCGCTCGCCTGGTCAACAAGCCACCAACCCAGCCGGCCTGGAAACCTGCCAAACTGGAGGAGGTCACCGATGAGGCCGTCCATAAGTTCTTCCGCATCGAGGCTGGCGACATAAGAATGCCACTCCTAAACCCTGATGCGGACTATATGGAATACCCACATCAGCGGTTCGCCCTGCCAAGTGAGAAGGAGATTCTCGAGTTTGCACTCAAGCACGAAAGATCAGATAAGGCTGTGGACGAATTTGTAAGCCTGCGGGGACATAAGGATGGGGTGCGGGAGAAGTATTTGGAGGTGGTGAAGAGAAAGCTTGGTGGAGCGTAGTACGCAGCATTGGATGGTGGTTGGTCTGTGTGACAGGGTAAGGGCCATTGACATTAATTGAGCACTTGTACGCTACTTATTTTGTTTTCTTGCGCCGTTTTGTTTCCGTTTCTCGCAATAGGGTTGTGTGTAATTTACATATATTTATCTTCCAAACAATTTCGTCAGTTAGATAGACATGATATACAAAAGACGACAATATAAAAATCTACAGGACATAGGAAAAGGAACGTGGCCTCTCAATACCAAACACATTTAGCTACTAAGCTACTTGTGGAGAACACTACAGTGGTGATATCTTAAAACATAGGGGCAAAAAGAGATAGACACGAATGGCAAACATCAAAACCCACCACGAGGTATCGCACTCAGCGGACAGGCTCGGATGCCCTCAGAAAGATAATGCCGTGCACACCCACGTCTCCCCAGATTTGCTCACGGTAACGAAAAAAGGGACCTTGATGCCGCAACACACCCTACAGCCCTTGCGTTCCTACCAGCTCCCTTCCTCTACTCCTCCCAACAATCGTCCTATGAATCTAAACCAATGCACCAACCTCCCCCATTCCCTCCCACTCCACGGGACCAACATCTCGCTTCTGCCCCTTAAATCCATTCAGAGGGAGCGTCACAACGTCGCGTCGTCGCCTGGCGGTAGCAATGGCCTGCGCGCATTCAGCGCCCACATCCGCACCCGCGGCCACAGCACCACCGGTGGAGGCAGCGTTCTGAGCGGCACTGACGCCGGCAGCACCGGCGATACCGACAGCTTGCACTGCAGCATCTTGGGTGCGGTCAGCTTGCTGAACATCTTGGCCCTGACCATTTTGACCATTGGCCAGTTGAGCATCCTGAGCGGCTTGGCTTTGTTGGAGAGGCTGTCCATCAGCATCTGGTTCTGAGCCTGTCCTTGTACCTGTCCAGTGATCACTGCATCCGGCACAGCAGCGGACTCAGCTACCATTGGCATATAATTGGTTAGATATCCTGGTAAATTTCCAAACGATCCAGTCTAGAGCTTTCGTGGGTGATTAGACGGATTCGACATACCTTTCTGCTCCTGGCATTTAGCGGTGCTGGCAGCATCGACACAGGTATTGAATTGCGCATTACATGCATCCTGCTGGGTAGTAGGCGCCAAGTTTTGGAATGATGCTCCATTGAGCCCTAGCGGTTCAGTAGCCCCGTTACCCTGAAAGGTATCCAGGTTATCCCCCTCTCGGGTGGCCAAGTAATCACGAGCGTAGAGAGTCCTACCGGAGGTGACCGCTGCAAGAAGTTGGAGGGCGAGGCGAAGGTTTTTTCATGATTTCTGGATTCATCCTTTGCCCTCTGTTGTATAACGGTAAAATGAATGTTGTGGTTGAAGTGGCCAGCCACTTCCAAGAAGTAGAAATATTGAAGTTAAAAGAAGACAAGAGTCTCAAATCGGTGGCCTAGTTAAATGTGCAGTCAGAAAAAAGAAACATTGAAAATATGAGCGCTGAAGAGAATGAGAGAAAGGAAACGAAAAAAGATGCAGGAAGATATAAGTTAGAGATTAGGAGGACCATCCATGCCACGTCCGACATGATTTGATTTCCCATTTTATGTGCATTTTCCAGAATGGAGAATTTAATCAGGATGGCTGACGGCAGATCTATCAATTGATAGAAGGGATCGCATGGCCGTTGCGCTTGTTCTGGTCATCGTTTCGCCGATGTAGAATGTTTGTTTCTGAACACCAGTGTGATCTGCTCAGGAGGCGCAATAAATAGATGGAATTGAAAAGAAAGATCTCTGCTTATTTATATTGCAAGTCCTATCGTGACATTTGATGTCACACCACCCAAGATAGGCTTTGCCCTCTGCAATATTAACGATATGGAAATTTGGGAGTTTGGTTGAAGCCGAGCAGTTTATCTTTGCCCAGTTTTTATTGTATTTAAATATTGCTCTGCGCAACGATCCAAGCCCTAACCCCAACCAACTATTTAACTATTTAACCATCAGCTCTGTACACCACAGCACAACACCAGCCTGCCCTTGATCCCCCCGGTTTCAACACAGAATTGAAAGATGTGCAGTTCTGTTGCATAGTTTCCGTTCTTATCGCAGAGCCGGTTTTCCTGTTCTTCGCCGTGAGACACACGTCGTTTGAGCCCTTCGACAGGAACGCTCTCTATAGCCATGAGTTTCCTGAACCCAACATACATTATATAGTATGGCCTGCCTTGGTAATGAGATGAACTAAAATGAAAATAGACGAGAGCTCTGAGACGAAGACCATTTTTGAAGACGCGTCACTCATAATATCGGAGCGTTCTTATGCAGATTGAGTCTTTCTTTTCAAACATGTTCAACGTTGAGCCAGCATCCTACTTAGTGGAATTCAATGACCGTCCATATATTTGCCTCCCCTATGCCTGGACGTCTCTACTGATCTTCTCGCGAGCGCTTGACGAGTTATCAGGCGCGGTCACAGCTACGACGCAGGACTTTACCAACCCTTGTTCTATCCAACCCTTGTTCTATTATCCACTACGAGCCCCAGCCCAGCAGACTTTGCATACCAAGGCTAACAGTAGTTAATTGGTGGCAGAGTTACGTGCGTGTCGTTCGTGCATGCAGGTCGAAACAGTTCATCATGAATGAGGGGAACAGTGGCGCGCCAAATTCTAACCAATATATACACCCAACGTGTTCGTCGGACTAAGGCCTTATGGGGGGATATCGATATCCAGAATATATATATATATATATAGATGCTGCTTATTTCAAGCAGAAGCCTGTCGAATGTCCTTACTGTATTCCGCGTACTTCAGCCTTGCATCATATAAAAAGCACCACAATGGCTGGAAAACGTAAAAAGCCTCCTAGGAAAAAGAGTGCATCGTCTTCCACCGAAATATCTCGTCGGTATCCCAACAAACGCGAACGTCTCCTCCGTCGCTTCTATGAACCTCTCGTTCTTTTACATACCCTAGGCTCCACTAGAGGCATTCATACAAAACCTGAGCCTTCGTTGCCTCTAGACAGTTCCAGTGTAAGAGACTGCAGGCGGGGTTTCTTGAACGAACTGGCATACGTCTGCGATTATGATAAGGGTGGTGACACGGTCACTGCTATCGGCTTGGAGTCAACCCCGCAAGGTTCTACGTTCTGGGTTGCCTCAAATACATCGCCGGCTGCAAAGGTCATTCCTTTTCTCAAAGTCCTCTTGCAAACACTGGAACGCATTGCAAATGTGAATGCCCCAAGCCAAGGGGATAAGGAAGATATCGCTAAATTATGCATTTATTTTGGTTCCAAGCGGATTAAGAAGTATCGATCAATATTCTCTCGAGAGTTGGAGGGATGCACGAAATATATAGAAACGAACAAGGAAACCTGTATGTTTCAAAAGGGCTCTTGGTGCTAAATCTCTTCGGTATAATCTAACACATAACAGTGGGCGGCCTCGATCTGTGGCTACGACGATTTAGCAACTCCGATCCCAACAATCTAGTACCTCTATGCCAACTCGCCTTTGAGAAGCGAAAGTCACAAGAGATGAATCGTCTGAAAGAGTTGAGTGCGGAACCCCTTTACAAAACTAGTAAAGACGCAATCCATCACAAGTTCAGCCGACTCCGCCACTACATCGGACGCCTTGGTCATCACATTCGAGCAGCCAACTCTCTCGTTTCAACCGCACCTAATCTCAGACACATACTTGACGGATTCAGCGTTCGTGCCATCACTACTCCGGCTCGCGCAGAATGGCTCCCGCCAATCGACGAAGCCGCCGTCCGCGAAAAGACTCTCCTGGACAAAGTGCTTGTCCGCATGCTTCCCGCTAAATCTCCGCAGCTGGAATTCTACCAGCAGCAACTGCGAAAGATGGACGAAACGACCCAGATATCCTACCGATTCCTAATCCCTTACACGGACCCAACCATCCGCCCGCGAGTCCATGCAGAGATCCAAGTACTGGAGCATTTTCACGAAAAGGGCCTGCAGTTCGAAGACTCTGATCGATACATCGCATGCAGCAAGCCCGCCTGTTACTGCTGCAAGTTATATTTCCGACACCACCCAGGTAGCTTCGAAGAGCCTGCATCCCACTGCAAGATCTACCTGAACTGGCGTCCTCCCGATGTTAATACCAGGATCGACGCTAGTGCTGCAAATGGTGAAGAAGACAAGGACGGCCAAATCCGCCAGCGGAATATTTTGAACGCTATGATTCAGGATATACGGAGGGATGCACTGCACCAGATCGCTGAGAAGCAAAAGCCATCTAACTGGCATCCAGACTCGTGCACTGGGATTACATCCACGGCGGCGAGGCTTGAGCAGTCCACAGTAGTAGGAAGTGAGTGGGGTGGAGAGATTGGAGTAAATGATGGCGGCTTGAGTAATTTTTTTTTTTTTTTTTTTTTTTTTTTTTTTTTTTGGCCTCTTTTTTTTTTTATCTTCGTCCACTTTGGGGAATATGGTAGCGCTGACTATTTTTCTGATATTTCAGGCCTTGAACACGGCGGCTCCCGGGCAAATGTTGCATCGTCAGCTACGATACAGAAGATACCAGAATCGGTGAGAGAAAGTGATCATTTGTGGATAGGGGCAGAAGGAGGGCTAGGTACAGAATAAACATACATATAAACCTGCAAATGATATTCCCTACTATTACTGACAATAACGGTATGATATCGACTGGCAATAGAAATCGATCAAATCCCACCTCCAATCGCAGCCACTATTATCCCCAACACCGTCGAAAGCCAAGATCAGTTCTTCAGGCGTTCCAGCTGTTCCACAACTTCTAGGCCCTGGAGTGCGGGCAGCATAAACTCGCCATTGGGCTCTTTCCTCGAGCCTTCTAACTCGGATGATGAAGAGGATATCGACGATGATGGAGGTGTCCGGCTACATGACTACTAATTTGTTGGACTTGTTGGTGGCGAAGGATGAATGACAGTGACGCGTTTCTTCTCTCTCTCTCTCTCTCTCTCTCTCTCTTATTTTATTTTATTTATTTTTGGAACTTTTGGAAAGGCGTATATCTTTCATTCATCCTCCATTCCATTACCTCTTGTTAATGATAGTTATTATGTATCTTTCTTTCACCTTTTAATAAATATTATGAAATGGACGAGGCTTTTCTTTCTTTCTTGCTTATTTTGTGTTATTGACGTACAGCACACCCATTTATCTCTCTCTCTCTCTCGTCTCTCGTCTCTCGTCTTTTCCTTCTTTCTTCTTCTTCCTTTGATTTTTGATTTTTATATTTTTTTTGTTCATTTAATAAATCAATTAGATACTCTGGACAGTCCCATGCCATGCTACGTATTTTGAGGTATGGTCCCTGGCGTGATAAGTGATGAGTTATGAAGAAGATAAGTGCTCCTGGGGTTAAGTAATTATTTTTAAAAAGGGGCAAAGTTTGGAGGCAGCTAGAGCAAATACAGAAGCAAATCAATGAAATTTTTACATGCAAATCCTGTAGCTCCATCTGGTCTGAATCTAAAGATCTTACCGGTCTGGGTTCAGTTGCTTCTATCACCAAGACATGAAATAATCTCGGGGAGCAAAGGGCGCTGAAACGTAACAATGCCATATTCGGCGAACACAGCTTGGCCAACGAGCACAATGTTGAGACATCAGTTCTCTAGTGCTAATGGCTATATAATGCAATCTAATGCAGCAGCGATCCAACCTTCGTAAGTGCAGAAGATAATATAAGAATACTCATGTTTCTCCTTTTTTCGCCCAAAGCGCACTTAAAACCCGACTAAAACAATGCAACCGAGAATAGAATCTTAACAAAATACAATTAATGAGAAAAAAAAAACTAACCAACAGAACCAACTAACGAAAAAGGTCAACTAAAAACCCTCCATCCATGACAACTGCACATAAATGTCCTTCCAGTGATCAATGATCATTTTCACTAGACCTTCATAACAGATTCCGGGGTCTTGCAGAATAAAGTTTTCATCAGGAATTAATGGAGCCGAACTCGGGTCCACAAGAACAAAACCAAAGATCCCATCCAACGACTCAGAATCTGGAAGAGTAAAGAAGCTGTTGTTATTATAATCGGGCGCGTTGCGGACCTTAGCGTTTTCGTCAGCTGTGAAAGCAAGGAGGCCGAAGATAGCACATATAAAGTCCAATTGCATATCGGTCGTTAAGGCAGCCAGGGCAAGTGCTATTAACCGGATTTTCGCAGCCTTGGGAAGTGGAAGATCGGGGCGATACTCCCTTCGGTGCGGATCTTTAATCACTGAGAAGGTTTTGAATTCATGTTGTTGAATTTGTCGTAACACTTTGCCTAAGTACACAGATCCCAGAATGCCACCAGGTATACCACATAACAAGTGTTTGAACACTGTGGAAACATCGTGTATAAATCTCATATTTCTTCCAGAGGGCTTATCAAGTGGTGGTACCAACGCATTTGGTTGTCTGACGGCTCTCGTAGTTTTGTCAATTGTATCTTTTCTCATTGCGGCAGACAGCACCTGGTGGGCATATTCACTGTACAGCGAACGAACGACATCATTATCATCATGTTTCTGATGCAGGTCATAAATGCCGATGCCTGTGATTAAAATATTGCTTTAGTTTGATTTTTATTTTTTTTGTGAACTAATGAAATATCACATACCATTTTCCAAAAGGTAGCCCATTGTTGAAGCGAAACATGTCGGCAATGCTAGCTTACGGGGACCGTACCCCTCGGGCAAATCCAGATAACTCAGTCCTCCGAGGCGGGCCAAATCCTCCAATCCTTTACCGTTCAAATCACCGATATGGTATTGTCGAGGTAAGTTGGCAAAGGTTTGGATACGACGCAGTGTTCTCCTATTACTGTTTCTGCAGTTCAGGCCCAAGTTCGACTTGACGCTCCGAATACGACCAAGAAAGGAATCGGAACGTTTGGGCAAGCTGTCTCCTTCCGCTGATAGAATATATGGTTAGCATAAGTGCTCAGCTGATTAAATTCTAATCTCTCTCACCTAGATTTGTAGCTTCATCTTGGGATTTGGAGGGTAGTACAATCTCCAATACTTCAACGGAGGTATGGAGACGGTTCGAGGCTGTGGAACGAAGGGTGTCCCTCTGTGGAACAGCTGTGCCGGATACTATTCTGTTGGATATTATATCTGATGAGCGCCTAGGTACTCTCCTAGTGTCTGGGCGATGCGGTTCGCTACTTGAGCAAGTACTCGGGCCACGTTCTACCAAAGCAAGCGATCCACTAGGTTTTAACACGTTTTCCGAACCAGACATGTCGGGCCGCCTCCCTATGGCATGTCTATCTGAAAATGGGCTATCATTCTCGGATGGAATCCTGAAGTCTACGGTTGCAATCGGGCTCTGGCAATATCTCGATGGGTTACGCTGGACAGTCGCGCAGGATACATCCGACAACATCGTCTCGTTGCTAAGTTGCCTTGTTGACTCGTTAGGTTTATTTTCCTGGTTATATTCAAGACAAACATCCTTGCCCTTGGATAGACCCGCAGTGCTTTTGTGATTCTCATCTTCAATCTCGCTCGACAGGCTGCTTGCTGGTAAAATCTCATCTTCATGATCATTCGAAGATTGACATTTACGGATGGGCGAACCCTGACTGCGACCACCCGATTTTTCGATCTGTAGGTTCTCGAAAGCCGACCTTGACGGTGTACTGGCCTTCTTAACTGGTTCGACGGGGTGTCCACTGTCCAGAACAGCTTGGTGCTCGGGAGCCTGGACCAAAGCTTGAGCCTGTCGACTCTCGCCTATCTGTTGATTCGATGCGTTACTAACTAGGTTATCCGTTGCGTTTAGATCTTCCTGACTCGGTTCAATGACTGTGACGAAAGTACTTGTTTGCGAATGTTTTGGATCACTGATAGTAGGCTCTGTTCGTATTGGTGAAGTAGTGGAGTTCGATCGCTTATGTTTCGAACGTCTGCGAGAAAACCAACGCAAAGCTTTTGAGAAGCCCATTTTTCAATTTTGGATGCTCTTTTGTAGTATCGAAAAACAATCGGTCGACGAGGCTGACAAGACCTGAAATGGAGACCTGTAAGGATGCAAAAGAACTGGATACGGTTGATAGAAAAATATATCGACAGCAATGCAAACAAACTTATGCCGCAGGACCAGGGAAAGAACGACCCATGCTGAGGAAGGAACGGCTCTCCCCGCGGGAACCGCCGTTTGATGAAGGGACGCAATATATGGACAATAGAGGCGTGCCTGGGCGGATTTCGGGAGTTGATCGCTTGATAGCAGTGGATGATGGGAACTGCGGGGAAAATACACAGATTGTGTAAAAAACCATACCGATCATCTCTCTGTAAAGGAAATGCAAAGAAAAAGGAAATGACAGAACCCATACAACATGAAGTAAAATAGAGATGCTAGATTCAGAAGTGTGGCATCATATACCTGCTATGATCAATCATAAACCAAATAATTAAACAATGGGGGGAAGAAAAGTAACTGGGGGAAGAAGAAATCTGAGACAGGAAAGATGAAGCACCGGCTCTTTTCCAACATTAAAAGCCAATGCTTGCTTCCAATGGAAAAGAAAACGAAAGAAAGGAAATGAACACCGTTAACTGGGTGTCTGCCAATAACATCCATACCTGACCCGTTAGGTAACGTACCTTGCACGTTCGTCAGGTAAATGCCAATTACCAGATCTAGACGATGCGTGGGTTTATTTTTGCCGCTCCAAACTCCGTTCCAAAAGAAGAGAAGGAAAATGAGAAAAGGAAAAGAGGAAACCAGCAGAGGAGCAAAGGCAAATGACTCCGGGACCCGATGCATATCTGAAGGGATCTGATCCTTTTACTAATTCAAGTGTTTCTCCAATCATGGCTCGTCTGGCTCGCCCTCTAGAAGGAGATAGCGTAGAATGTCGCTCAATGCGAGAACACCTTTGAGGCGGAAATGGTCATCCACAACAACCAAACGATGAACCCGTGACCGACTGATTGTAGCAAGTATGGTGTCAAGGCCATCATCAGGCGAACACGTATAGATTCCGGGAAAACCCTAAGGACAAAAGAAAGTAAGTTGCTGGTTCAGGAGGAATATGAGCAGCAGTGAGGACCTACAACCGGGCGCTTTTTCAAAGCTTCGCCTACTCCAAGGTTAAGGTCATCATATACCCCTCCTTTTATCAATGTGATGACATCGACGGCTTCGAAAACGTTATATACTACGCCTGCCAAACAAAAAAACAAAACATAAGTCAATGCATTTTAGAATATAGAAGATGAGTATATATGTTGGGACTCTCACCTTCTGAGTTAATGATGGGAACGCTGGATATGCTGCGCTCCACCAACTTGTGGATGACATGAATGACAGGTGTGTCCATGGTAGCAGTTACAATGTCCTTGTAAGTCCCGACATTTATTTCTCTCAAGGGTTTCCGCAACTTTTGCGCTGCTAGAGGAACGTTTATAGCTACAAACTTTAGAATGCGGTACTGCGTGATTACGCTAACTACCAAGGGTCTTTCGGTCTGAGAATCGTACGACACTAAAGGTATCCTACGTGCTCTGGAGGAGAGCATTCGCCGGCATGCCTCATAAAGCGGCCGTTCAGGGTCAATTGAGACAGTTTCTGGTGGAGCCACACCAAGGGCTCTTTCAACTTCTATTACGACCAGTTAGTATATGCAAAAAGATGGAATGGAGGCTAGTAATGAAGTAAAACGAAGTACCACGAAGACTGTTGAGGCGGAACTGGTCTATTTTTGCCAATGCGGCTGGGTGCTGGAAGTAGTACTGAATAACATTGATATAATCCGACGTGGTGAGTAAGCCGGCAAAAGTTGAGGTGGTAGAGTCCCATAGCGGAGCAGAAACAATTCCTGTAGAAGTTTCGCCGGTTATCATTAGCTGGCATATTCCACGACGACCCCCCTGAAAAGCGGTGCGACCCTCTGCAGTACAGCTTACCGTTCTGGGTCAAAATGTTGAGACTCTCCTTCACTGAGAGGGCGGTGTCAAAAATAACGAGACGGAAACTAAGAGGTAAAATGTCATAGCTGGTATGGTCTTTGAGGAGGTTTCGGACTTCGCGCTGCCATAACAGCAAGGAATCATGTTAGCCATAAGTCCAAAAGGACGGAAGTATAAATTCATATTCTTTGTCTCCTCTTCTCTATTAACTTCCTTGAGCCGAATTAGGCAACAAGTGCAAAATCCTATCCACGTTCACTTATCGATCGGTGGTTTTGAATTTCCCCCACTCCCGCTAGGGATTGGGGCAGATCCGACCCCGCATTAGTCCCAAAAGTGAGGGAGGGGCGGGAAGCGAGAGTCGCAGAGCAAATTAAAAAGCTTAAACCAACAACACGAGGAAGAAAATCACGGATATTCTTACCAGCGCTAATCTTTCATCGCGATCGACAGCTCGTTCTGGTTGAGCGGGAGTCATGGGGCGGGATAGACCCCGGGGCCGGAGATAGGAAGATGGCTGCACAAAGCCAGCCTCGTGACCACTTCGAAGGCCCGTCCCTGCCAACGTACTAGCGGAGGGAGCAATGCTGGCAGGCCTCGGCGAAGCTGTATGTGGTCGGTCTAGGGCATCATCGTTCATCTTGCTGGTGTGAGGACGGAACAGGTCTGCTCTGTTGGTGACAGCGGCTGCATGTAGAGGGGAGAACAGGAACCCCGTAGCTGGCTTGGTTCACTCCAGAAACGGCTGCTGCAATCGTCGTAGTGGGATTGGGCGTTTGCAGGTAGAACCCAACAAACCAATGCGAAGTGAGCGATTGAGTTGGGCCAAGGTGGGTATGGAAGTCGAGCGGTCATGTAGCTGCAAAACTGCCCTTCAACTATGATCAAGATAGTTGGTATGGGAGAGGAAGTAGATGTACCGATACGACACAGAGCTGCTGGTACAGCTGTTAAACTCGCGCAATCCAGATATATAATTCGGGGGGAGCTGGAGCTATAGCACGGACATTAAGCAGGGAGAGTCAACTTAACTGGTAAATGGTAAAGTTAGTCGACAGTTAAAGGGAGTCCAAGTTGTACGGACGAGTTTGGTCGTGGTTGTGATAGATGGGATGCTGCTGAATCACGGACCATTAGATGTTCCGACCCCGCCAAACAAGGTTCGATAAGGATAAGGATAATGGAAGGTTTGTTTTTTTTTTATCAGGGAGGCGGGTTAGTAGAGATGGAGATAGCTGGGGAATCTCCTACGATTCCGCCATATTATATATAATCCTCAATGATATTCTGCTATCTGAGTTGGAATACAAATGGGTATTTGGACTGACCCACTCTCACCACTCTGGACAGGTCACAGCAAGAATGACATTAATGCTCACAAAAGGCATAGGTTGGTCTATAAAATGCCCATGAATTAACTACTAATATTAAAATATTGCCTAGGTATGCCCAGAATCTAACAACCATCACGCTTCTCTAAAAAAGGGAAAAAAAAGAAAAAAGCATATAATATCTATTCACCAAAAGGAGCCCCTCGTAGAACCATAGGGGCTGGACCTCATCAACCAATCCATCTATCTCCGCAAAAAGCAATTGGGAATAAAACTGGTATGGAAAATTAACGAAAGAGAGGGAGAAAAAAAAAGAAAAGAAAAGAAAAGAAACAAAACGTCAAAAGCGCCCGAAATATAACACGCTAGTGGTATTAAAAATGCTAGTGGCGAATAATAAAGAGGCGAAGCTGAATCTATGCTGGGGTGATAGTGTCGACGGATTGGTCGTTGTTGGTTTGCGGGAGATTAACTTCCAAACGCTCCATTTTTTCCTCGATCGTTGCAATTGGCGCCCGGCTCCCATTGAGGCCTTTATCGGATCCACCCTTTAGATAGCTTTCGTGCTCTCCAATAACTTTACCGCCTTGGACCCATCTCTCATGGTACTCCTTTCGTCGTTGTTCACACAGCTTGTTCAAGGCTGGCCAGTACGTGGAGTGGTCGTACTCGAATTCCACTTCGCCGTTTAGGCTCTTGAGCAGCTGTGTAGGTGGAACGTGTTTGCGGAGGTCCTCGTTAAACTTGAGTTTCGTTCTCGTCAGAGGGTCAATAAAGGGAGTAATAAGCTTGAAGAATCCGTGAATCAAGAAAGGTACTGTTTAAGAGTTAGCTAGTGTGCTCACGAATTGGCCCCTCATGCGCGCGGTTGAAGAGCTTACTGTTGACAACGAGCGCCCGACCAAGGCGTTCTGGATAGTGGTTTTGAAGAATGCTCAACACCTGTCTCCCCTGACCAATTGTCGCATTCTGCCCTGATCGTGTGTCACTGAAATTCACCAGCAATGCTAGTGATTCCTGGTCCGGTCCCATTAGATCGATAACGCGCTCCACCATAAAAACAAGGTGCTGCACTTGTCGTTCGCTGTACGCCGTGTTCTGTCTGGCTGGATTCAGATACAAGCATGGTCGAGCGTTCACATCGTATCCGAGAATGACTTGCTTGCCTGTTTCGTTCTCAACCGACATATAATCCGGTGTAAGTTTGGCAAGACCATATTCACGACGCCAGGTAAGAGTCCCCCTGAGACGATTGGTGGCAGCGGCCAAGTCCCACTTGGTAGCCCGAAGGTATCGAAGCAGACACTCCCGTGTCATGAACATGCGGTCGTCGTCTGTAATAGGCTCGGTGGGAGCATTCTTCGCAGTCGTAGTTGGGATTGTTGTCCATTCAGAAACGACCGTAAGAAGCTGCTCGTACTTCGATTGTTGATCAGAAGTCAATTCGGCGGGAGATTCTGGCTTGCAGGACTCCAGGGGCGATGTAAACGGTGTTTTTATGACATCGCCTGCAGTTGTAGCTGGGGATTGGAGATTTTCATCTTTTGGAGGACTTTCTGAATCCTGTGACTCTGGCTTGTTGGACCCGTCCTCCGGAGTCGACCCTTGTTTTATTTCATCCTTCGTGGCAGCTGCAACAGGCGTTTCCGCCACTGGCGTTAGAGCACCGTTTGTTTCTGTGGCCATCTCTGTAAGAATTGACAAGTGAGCAACAAAACAGGGGACAAAAACCCACATCAACAAAGGTTGCTTCACGCCAGAAGGACAGAAATGCGGCTGATATCCACTTGGCTACACGAGTACTTTTGATTGGATAATCTGATCTCTAGGCGGTGGATGAATTAGCCAATTAGGAGCTGTAATGAGTTGGCAGTTTGGCAGAATAATGCAAAGGCCTTAAAAACGCGTGACAAACGCGTCTCCCCATTGAGGAAATTCAAGACGTCGAGGCTTCCCTGTTGCGGTTGGACGTTTGACCGCCGTGGTATGTATATAGCAGAAGACTTAAACGACGAATTTGAGATCGACGTGGAAGAACAGAATAAACAATGGAGGAAATAAAAAGCGAGCTCAATGATGCATTCTCTGCGTCTTGCCCTTCCGGAGTTCCCCAAGATGTCGCGGCGGAACTGCGATCGATTATGCGGCTTCACTCAATGTCTGCCCAAGATTTATCGTACAAGTGGGATGCATACTGCTTGAAGATGGGAGCAGACGAGACAATACTGAATTTGGATACTGTTAGAGGCCTGAAGAGAGATGTCCAAGATGCTTTGGAGCGCGAGAGCCGGGGGAAGAGCCATATGCGTGGAGCTGATAAAAGAAATGCTATTTCAGCAACTCCTCGAGCTGCTGCTAATACTCGGGATGTTTTTGGGATGTAGGTTGCAGAAGATACTTTTACATACTTACTCAATTGACTGGTAGACGAAAGACTAATATCTCCAAGGCTCGATGATTTCACCTCATCACCACAAGACAGAACTACGAATGGTGCGAGTGCCAGCGCTGTGAAGAGGAAAGCTGCTTTTGAAAATTCGACGGCATCAAAGATGGGTAGGGTAGAAATGCGCACTGGATCTCTCGTCGACTCCAAAACTCCAACGCGGCCATCGAATGGCGACCTTGGACGAATACAGTAAATATCCAATTTCCCTAAATTTTCTGAAGAATTGAGAGGTCATCTAATTGATGGACAGATCAACACCTTTCTCTGAACGACAAAATAGTGGACAAGTATTGGAGACGATCAATAGCCATCTTTCACAGCCACAGCCTCCTATAGCTCCGTACCCAATCGAACGTATAAAGCCCACCGCGAACACCGATATGAAGAAATTTGCTTATAAACCGATGTCCATGCATTTAAACGAGGCATCTGAAGTGCTAGATAACATGATAGATGAATTTACGGATATCATTCAAAAACATCATGGCTTGGACGATACCGTCTTTGGCAGTGCAGCAAATCAAAGTACCAAGGAGATTATTGCAGTGGGAAGAATTGCTTCTGACAGCTTGGAGGGAAAACTGAATACCGCATCCTTGGTCTTGGAAACTTCGAGACGTACTGGTGCGGGTCTACGAGTTCCCTTGAAGGTGGACTCATTGCCTTCGGTTCAGTTTTTCCCCGGCCAAATTGTTGCCCTTCGAGGAATAAATGCTTCTCGAGAGTATTTCACAGTATTCGAAGTCCTTTCCACACCTCTGCTACCGCCAGCCGCATCTCCACCCGCAGTAATACAATCGATAAATGACCGACTTGGGGACAACGATGCAGAACGCGCGTTAAATATACTCATAGCTTCAGGACCTTTCACGGCGGATGATAATCTTGATTTTGAACCCCTTAGAGCATTATGCCTCAAGGCGGGCGATGAGTATGCTGATGCTTTGATTCTAATGGGACCGTTCTTGGATCTGGAACACCCCCTTATCGCATCTGGTGATTTTGACCTACCAGATGTAAAGGGGCTTGACCCAGAAAATGCGACCCTATCAACATTATTTCGATGCTATATAACCCCACTCCTAAAGCAACTTGTGTCTACAGTGCCGAGCATATGCATTTTCCTCATTCCTTCAGTTCGCGATGCAGTCAGCAAACACGTCTCCTTTCCACAGGAAAGGCTGCCCAAAAAGGACCTCGACCTATCCCAGACGAAGCAGGTTCGAACGGTTCCAAACCCAGTAACTCTGTCGCTTAACGAAAACGTGTTTGGAATGTGCTCTCATGATGTTCTGTTTGAGCTAAGACAAGAGGAAGTGGTAGGAGGCAAACCTTCAGAGGGTGGGTTGTTAACCAGGTTATCACGATATTTGATCGAACAACGCCATTTCTTGCCTGTTTTCCCCACGTCTGCAAGAGAAAACCTTCCAAAGTCTGGGGTCGAAGGTGGCCTCGCCACTGGCGCGATGCTCGATATTAATTATTTGAAATTGGGCGAGTGGTGGAATGCGCGACCAGATGTGCTCATTACGCCTAGTATATTACCTCCATTTGTCAAGGTTAGTCCCTGGAAATTTTGCATTGCAAACTGATTTCTCTCGATACCATTGTGTAACTTTTGCTCACTCATGTGCCAACTGTTTAGGTAGTCGAGGGTGTCCTTGTCATTAATCCTGGCACACTGTCAAAACGAAAAGCAGCTGGATCATATGCCCAAATGACTTTGCATCCGAGGACGTTCACTGAAGAAGAAATGAATGTGAAACAAGTTGGACACAATGTCTATGAACGGGCAAGAGTGGATGTGATTAGGATCTAAGAAAATTTCGGAAGTCTATAATAACGAATGGGTGTCATGGATTACTATTTTGGCGAGACCGGCGTTAGGGATAAGGGTTCATGCTTCCAAATGGGTTAATTCATCACATAAATGCAATTGCTCCAGGAATCTAAATATTCCGCATCAAACAATTGGGTATCGTAAGCGCATAGAAGCTCCTCTTGACAAGAGCGTAACAATAAAAACAACCCTTTCCCCCATCCAAGGCTCCCGTCCACCCATGAACTCCAGAGATCAACAATGCGAAATAAAAACCAAACGCCTATAAAGTGAGAACCAGAACATCCACCCCATCACAAAAAACATTCAGGAATCGCGTAAGTCTACCTTCTCATCCATCACCTTAGACACATAACCCTCCTCGCCCCACTGCCACCAACACCGACACCACCGACACCACTAACAACCAATCCACCTCTCCTAATTCCCCCAGAGCCAGCGCCGCCCACCCCACCACCAGCGCCCACAATAATTCCAGCGCCCCTACTCCTTTCCGCCAACCTAGCCCCGCGCATGAGCTCCTCCAGCGCCAAATCCCTCCACACAACCTCCCGCCGCGAATCCATGGCGCGCGTAATACCAAACACGGCATGTTGGTCGGGTACAACGTCGTCCTCATCCTCAGGGTTCACAGGCTGGTGTTGCGGGGCCACATAGATGTCTTCGACGGGGAGGAAAGAGTTGATGGTGGCCGGGGTTGTTGAGGAAGGGTTTGTGGACGGATTGTTGATGATGGTTGATGCTGTATTTGTTGCCGGGTTGGAGGAGGAGGCGCCGGCCCCTGCACCTGTGTTGCTGGGGAAGATTGAGGTGTAGGGGCGGTTGAAGTCCTCGAACAGGTCGGCGAGGCGTGGGTGGTGGAAGTGGATGTGGTTTGGGGAGGAGTCTTTGGACTGGTTTTGGATCATTGGGTGTTAAAAAACGGTTTGTTTGGGCCATGTTCTTGATATCTGTGACATACCATCTTGACTGATTCAACCATTTACTTTTAAGAGTGCAAGTCATTAGCTATTGTAAGTCTGTCAATTGGAGATTATTTCTGTTGGCCAAGCAGTTGTGATGAGCTGATAAGGTAAGAGTCACGTGAATATAAAGCTCAGCTACTTGCGGCCTCTCTCAGTTTGAATGTGAAATGACTGAAAATATGATTAAATTCCAAGTTGAATTTCAAATATCATATTTAGCAAAGAGTGACTAAAGCTGAAAAAATATTGAATAATATAATCAGATTATCAAATACTGGCAGCAGTGGCAGCTGCAGCTGCTGCATGATGATGAGATTATTACAGTGACGGATTATTATTATATCCATTACCCGGCATACAAGAGGTTTTCAATTAGATGAATACAATATTTACAAGGCCTAACAGCAGCGCCGAATCGTGGCATCTATGCCTATATAGGAAGGCCGTGCATACTAGACTTGGCGCTGCAGGATCCCTCTACTAATTGTGCCTCACGGCCAGACAAGGGGATATAGATTCTTTGTAGCCAGCCAGACCAATAGATTCTTCAATTATCCTACAGAAGGACGTGAATAAATTAGTCATATTTGAGCTGAAAGTAATGTAAGAAGAAAAGAAAAGAATTAAAGATCATAGGAAAAGAAAAATGGTAGAGTAAGAAAGAAAAATCCTGCTGTTCCATTGTAATGCCCCTGATATCACAAGCCCCTGCTTTTATATTAATTCCATGCTTATATTTTTCGCCTAACCTCGCAACAACACAGTTTTCATTTTTGTGGGGCGCTTAGGCGTACCCTTCCTTTGTCTATCCCATGACATGTACTATAAAAATTGAAAATTAAAGAATAATGTGTGGAGGAACGAAAATACACTTGAAGAGATAAGATGGAAACAAAAAGAAAGGAAAAATAGAGGGCAAATGACATGGAGAAATCCGAAACCCCCAAGAAAAGGATAGGGGAAGAAAGTAAAAGCAAGGGAGGAGGGAACTGAAAAGGAAGAAACAATGAAACGTACAAGCACGATCGAATTTAGGAGTTTGTGCTCATCCTATGCACGATCGGCACGGCACTAGGTGGTAAACTGCCCATCTCCGTAATGACCATATCGATATACTCAGCTGGTGTGACGTCATACATGATATTCAGCAGTTGTAAGCCTGGTTTCTCTTTCCAATGTTGGAGAGGGTTGTTCGGATCAGTGACAGTATCGGCCATTGACTCTGCGTTTTGGTTTGTCGCAGCGCCAGACTTGGCAGTTTTTGTCGGGAGTGGTGGAGATGGATGTGTTATCTGGTGTGAAGGTTCGCTTGCGGCCAATTCGTCCGCATCGGCCATTTCGTTTAGAACAATGCTGTCAAGGGCTACTTTGTCGGTGAACTTGACCGTCTCGCAACAGACAATCACGGGAATGTTGGTGCCGCCTGCACGTTCCTTTGCAGACATTGCAACGAGGGCAGTGCCTACGCGACTGAAAAGGCGGCCGTTGCTAGTCATGGAGTGGGCGCCTAGGAAAACTTTCGTAGCTTCCTTTACCGCGTGGCTAATGGCATGTACGAGTGAATATTGTACTTGTAATCCCGCATTGGCAAGTGTGCGGGCAAGTTTCTTGCCTTCGAAAAGGGGACGGGAATCGATGATCGAGACGCGGAACTTCTTGCCCTGGCCGTGAGCTGTAAGAAGGGTCTGTTGAACAATGTTGCTCCCACCGTAGCAGAGGATAACATCACCGTCGTTAACCTTCTGAGCCGCACTGTTTGCGATCACCTGGTCCGCAACCGTTATCTTCTCACGGATAAATCCGTCGATATAGTCACAAAGGGACTCCTTGGCTTCACTCTCAGGACAGGATGGGTCCACAGCTGAGATTGCGAGTTTTATAGCACGAATCGCATTGCCTTGACTTATGGAGAGTGGTCGACAGGACGAGAGATATGAGATTTGGTGGGAGAGATGTGTCATCAAGTGGCGTGCTAGCGATGTTCCAATGGGTGTACTATAAGATTCGATCACCTAAAACCAATGATGTTGGGTTAGCAAGTGTCTCTGATTGCAATCGCCTGTATAGAAAACATGTAACGGCTTCAACAAGGGGGGGGCCATAACATACCCTTTTAAAACACAGCAACATAGCCACACACCTCGCACTACTCCCACAAATCACATAATCCCTCATCTGTAACCCCAATGCCAATATGGCCGGATGAATCTCCTTTCCCGCCCCTGCAATCGTACCTCTTCGCTTCTGCAACGACAAATGGCTAAACACCGCAACCGTCTTACCGACACCCATGCCCTCCTCCTCTCTCTTCTTCCTCCTCGTCAACTCCGCAGTATTAATATGTGTAATCGAGCCATGTCGCCCGCCACCACCAGCACCACCTCCACCACCTGATTGTTTCTGTCCTTTCCCGCCCAAACCACTCACCTCAGGATTTTTTTGCGCCTGCGACCCAGGAACTCCTTTCTTCGACAGTGGCTGGTTAATTTGCTGTTTCGCGCTGCCAATGCCACTGCCACTAACCGCACCAGATGCTTCCTCGCGTTCTGCTTTCTCTTTCGCTCGCCTTGCAGCCTTCTCCGCCTTTGCCTTCTTTTTTAGCTCCGCGCCGGAGAGCTTCGGGGTTGAATCAGCCAGCGGATTTGTGTTATCTTGTTTCGACACGGCAGGAGTAGTACCAGTAGTACAGGTAGCGGTGGTTGCCGGTGCCGCAGTTGCAACCTGCGGGGCTCCATTCACTTTCGCGCTTTTTGTTGTGGTGGTGATGGTGGGAGCTAGAACTTCAGAACCCGGTCGATTAGGTTGACTTGGCGCTTTAGGAGTAGTATTCTGCAGTGAAGTGTCTGCCTCTTTGGCAGAATTTGGTGGAGGGCCCATAATCGTAGAGATTGCTGCAGTTGGTTGTGCGGGTGGGGGGAGTTGCGGGAGAGGAAGAGAGTTGTTGGAGGTTTTTTTGGCCACTGATTGAGTCATGGATGTGCTTGGTGTCGATCGCTGCGGGCGGCGGCTTATTTTGTTCCGCACCCATCGTCGACAACGCGAGTACCACATTTTGAATGCTGAAATTTACACCTCAACACGGTATGCCGGTGATATATTGCAGGTAGTTCAAGAGGAAAAAAGTGCGATATGGCATGTTTATTTAGGTATGAACTCTTTGTCATTCTATTTCTTTCACTCATCACACAGCCTCTGTTTCACCCAGTTCCATGCCCAACCAACAGCCATCTCCACTCATATTCAGGAACACATGTACTGATGACATGCGGGCCACATATAAATAACTGTGAAGCAGCCCACTGGCTATGTGTGAATGTGTCACTAACAGCTTCATTCCCTAGTGACTCATCTCTCATTTTTTTCTTCATTGCTCATCTCACTAATAACATATAAACTAGTATGCAAGGAAAAAGCAGGTCAATAAGAAACAGGCAAACAAAGGATCCCCCACTCCTGATGAGAATATAGCAAACGAGAAAGAGAATAAAATTAAACAAAAAGAGGGGGGAAATTGCACAGAGAAAATGTAGAAAAAGACTGTCAGCCCGTTCGCTTTCTAGTGACTCCTGCCAGTACCCTATCCTACAGAGAACCGAAAAAAAAAGGGGGGGGGGAAGAAAAATGCGCCACGAAGTCCGACAAAAATTGGAACCAAAAGGAATGAACAGCAGACACAAAAAAGGTGGTCCATCATTAATTTAATTGAACATCCCCGAGAACCTGCCTCTCTTCAACATTCGCAGCTGGCGAAATATGTCGCTTGATCCCAAATCGCTCATGATCATCCGCTACTTTCCTTCTGAAAAAGTTGAGATCAAGCAGGAGCTCTTCCATGCGCGCCTGCATCTCCATGGCTTCCAGTTCACTAGCATCGGCAAAGCTGGCGTCATCATCACCGTCCTCCCAAACCAAATCAGGTTCTGGAGTCGGTGTGCCATTTTCCTGCTCGTCTTCATCCATAATCCGTACACCGTCCACGATCTCCTGTTTCTCATGAACAGAGAACAAATCGCTTTCTCTCTTCCGTTTGACTACCTCAACAGGTGGGATTGGGTTTTTAAGACTCTCCAAGGCAAGTTTCAAGTGGCGGCGCAGAGCATCGTTCTCTGTCTGTAACTGCCGGATTTTGCATTCGCTGACCATCTTGGTCTCTTCCATCAAGCGCTGCAACTTGACGACTTGGCCTTGATACTCTTCCAGTTTCTCATTCTTCATCTCGGTTTCTCGTTTGCTGATAGCCTGCTGGTTCACACTAATCTGAAGCTCGCGGATAATTTCAGCCATTTCCGCAATCTGTGCATCGCGTTCAGCAGCTGAAACGTGGTCCTGGTTGACGACGGCGCGGGTGCGGATGTGCTTCGCTTGGTCTGCATAGCGCAGGGTGGAAAGAGTTTCCTCGTAATCTGATGGGGCTATGCATGCAATCATGGCCGTTTTCGAATTTCCCCCCAAGCTGTCCTTCAATAACCAAGTCAGGATAGAGTCACGGTATGGGACCACCTCTTTATTCTTGCGCAGCCGACCTGGTTTATTGTCTGCTAATGCGGCAATGACACGGCCAAGGGTAGTAAGAGATTTGTTAATATTAGAACCTTCCCTTAGTCTTTGTCCTGTTGCCTCTGTTGCTTTAGCTCGTTCTGAACCAGCAAGGTCCACAAGCCTAATACGCGCTGTTCGTTCAGTGGTTTCATCCGTCGATAAGTCGTGATGAATCTGCTTCAGCATGATTGTGAAAACGGCGTGAGACCGTGAACTAGTGTCGTTCATTTTCGTGCTAGCGGTAGTACGAGAAGCATCTCCTTTGCGCATGAGCCGCATAATCTCTGAATAGCTTCGTACTGGCACATCTGTCAGATCTTTTACATACGGGCCATCTGTTGGCGACTCTCTGATTTTCAAGTAGTACGGTGTGTCTGTGCGTGGTACTAGTAAATCTCGAACGTGCTCGTTATACACCTCAAAATATGAGACGCGGACATTGTAGCTAATATCAGGCGATTCTGAACTCTCGATACGTTGGAAAAGGTCCTCGCATGTCCGTGGAATCAAACCAGGTTGCTCTTCTGTACCCATCATCGTGTAACTTTTACCCGACCCCGTTTGGCCGTATGCGAAAATACATGTGTGATATCCCTCGAAATTGTGGTCCAGGAACTCCTCGCCGAGGCAATTATACACGTCCTCTTGCGTGGCATAGTGCTCATCATTCTTATCATGGGACCAAAAGGAATTATCGAAAGTGAAAGTTCTGTCTTCAAGGACTTTCGCTCTGCTCTGTATCCTGGCATTCACTGGATCTTGTTGACCAGAACTGGGGCGAGCCATGAGGGTGGTCGATTGAGTATCCGGGTTCATCGATATAAGACATTCCGCCCCTCGTTTTATTTCTATTGGCCAAATTTGCCCAAAATTTCGTTAGAACAAGGAGAGAGGAACAACGTAGTGGGACAGAAAATGGACCCTGACAAAACACGCGCTCAGAAAACTAACCTCTAGGTAAAAACCCTCTAACCCTCACTACAACCCTTACATTCCCCCCTCCCCCTCCCCCTCCCCCAACCCCATTAACCGGCGTCCCCGCCCGGCTCGTCGGAACCACAACACTTTCCCTCGCTCTCAACGACGGACTCGAAGCTGTCGATCGGAGCGCTGCAGATGATGCCATAGACAAGGGTCCTCCATTTGGCGCGATATTGGGAGCCGCACTAGAGTAAACGGACAGCGGGGCTGACGGGGCTTGCGACGCGTGGGAGACGATCATGCCATCACCGTTTATCGAGACCATTGAGGCTCCGGAGCCCAGATGTGATGCTGATGATAATGATGGCGGGTCTCCAAGGCCATTGTAGAAGCGCGGATCCAGCGCCATATTCCTGTTGTTTCTCAATATATACACGATCTGGCTGAGGAGGTCGTGGCGACGGGATTGGTGGTTTAAGTACATGTATGAAAAGGGGAGGGAAACAAAGTATGTAAATGTGTTGGAAGGGGGTTGTGAAGAGAATAAATGAGCCGGGGAAATAGAAAGACAAGAAATGGGATTTTGATAAACTTTTTATCTCATCGTTTTTCTTTTTTCGTCTTCTCTCATGGGCATAAGTATTGAACGTTCATCACGGTACCTTTGTTTCTGAATTTCTGCGTCGTGCCCTTTCTCCAGCTTTGTCTCCGCTGTTATTGCTTTGTGTCGTATTGTGCTGTGTTGTGTTTACCCTTCCTCGAGCGTCGTGTATATGTTGCTTGTTATTCTGGAAATATCAAGTGTATTTCATATCTTAGTGTATAAAGTACGTAATGTTTTATCCCGTCTCTTTTTTCGTAAACAAGCAGTTATTATAATCGGGAACTTTGATATATGGGCAGGAGTGCGGCAGGGTATGGGTAGGTTTGGTGGTTTCGGCCGGGGAAGGTCTGATGATGATGGCCTGGAGCGGCAAAATAACAGTCAGTTTCACCTGCGGTATATATTCACCATGTTAGCAAGCTGTTTGATTTTAATAAGTAAACATATACTTGTATAATAAATGTGGGCCGCCCTGGAGTTTGCCGGGTTTCAAATATCTGCCCAGGTCATGGTCGCATGCATCCACATGACCCGATGTGGGAGCGCATTCCATACCTCAATCGCAAAACACGTTCGTTAACCATGGACAAAAGGTACATGCAAAATATGTAAATAACGTCTGATCATCAAATTCGTATATCTATGATTTCTCCAGCGCTTCTTGCGGGTTGGGCTTCACATTCAGAACAGATCTAGATTCTGCTGTTGACGCTGGCAGTTGCTATGGTGACGGCCGCCGGTACGATAACGATCACGTGATTACAGGAGTCGCGTGACGCCGGATTCCTGACACAAACCTTGGAACTAATCCTGATCATAATATAGGGTTCGGTACACTGAGTCGGGCCTCTTTCTTCAGTCAGGGATATTGATCTCATATCCCTTCACCGCCTTTCCACTATTTTTTCCAAAATGTTTGCTATACTGTGTGCTATGTTGTTCGAAAATGGGTTGTTTTGTGAAATCATCTGCCAACACGTTGAATGCACTTGATTCTGACAAACTAACATTCTTTAACATAGAGACCTAGTACATTTTCCTGCCAAATATATCTCCTTGCTCTCTGAGTGGTAGGATATCTCGGTTCTTTCCTGAAAGCAACAATATAACTAGAGGTTATCCATACCTACCTACATAACTTGGGAAAACACACATCCGACGTGTTGACATAGGGGGCTGAAGATGCCGCCCAATAGCGGTCGAATACGCGTGCAAGCCTGGACTAATTTTGCATCGTACTTGCTACTCAGTACAGCATTTGTGCATCCCAGCTGAGCTGACGGGGTAAGGATGAATCGATCCGCTGTAATTAGATTAGTCCGTTCGTTCCTCCTTGCTGATTCAATGTTATCCAGAACTGGGATTGATATGCCCAAATTCCAAACAGGGCGGCAGCGGCAGCGTTAAATGTCGGTGCGCTAATATAAGACGATACCACCATCATGACGTCCCTCCCCAAGTGGCAGCCGGAAAGCTTGGTTCGTAAAAATGGGATGACGGAAGATACGAGCCTATCCACGTTCCGATCTCGTGAGGAAACAGGAACGAGGAAACAGAGCCTTCTTTTGAAAGTGAGGCAACAAGCCGAATGGACGAAAATCTCGCGGTTATTAAGTATTGTCCAGGCCTGTGTCGTCTGCGCCACCACACATCTGGATTATGGCAGTGTTTGCAGGGGTTCATGTTCTGTGGAATTTGATTTTGACATGCGTTGTGTTCGTTCGAAGACAATTAGCGTACGGGGAAAGGCTGTGTGTGACCCCTTGGGTCCCTTAGACAGGGCTTTGTCTTTGTGATGACAATCAAGTTACAGCAAAATGTGGCGATACTACCAAGGGCTTAAATTCCTGTATATTTGGAATAATTCAGTCCGTGATTTGTGTACTATCACGAACGGCTCAGTCACGCATAAATATCTGGGTTTTTTTTTTTGTTCCAAACATCAATTCTTCGAAAAGAAGAATAGAGGAATTTAGAAAGGCTTGCCCCACCAGTCATAATTGGTTCCATCGATGCCAGCATGCCATTTGCGAGCCACACTCCGGCCTGGTAGGTTATAAATTAATATATGGCATGGAACACTAACTTCCTACTAAAGCAGGTAATCATGATTCTGCATGATAGATTTATTGTTTAAGCCGCTAGAACAACCCACTGAACTTTGGCTAAAATCCACTAGAGTTGGCGATTACTTCGACTCAGGAGGACGACTACTGGGTGAGACCAATCACTTACGTACAAGCTGCCCAATTTTCACCCCAAAGTGTCTCTTTTAAACATAACGACGCACGAACCTTCGACAGCGAGCTCACAGAGCGCACCAACCCACCCATCGTCCAGATGTGACAGGATATCCAAACATCCTCCGTGTTCTAGAAACTATTAGAAACCTGCTGCAGTGGACATTGGCTTGCCGATCCGAACCCCCACTCCATCTATTGTTCAGCCTTGCGCACCACGAAACCACCGAAAGAGAAAATCCCGAGTTTGGTAGGGTTTCGGTGAGAGATCACTATCTAAATTTGAGGCGGAAGGCGAGTGTTTTGAATGCCAAAAGTAGGTAGCGCAGCCTGGCGCACTCTGTGTCCAAGGGTTTATTCATTAGAAGCAAAAGTCTAGTGAGGCTCAATTCCCATTCACCGGTCTCCCTTTGTTTCATTTTTTTCTCTCCCGCTGTGATCTCCTTGCTCCTAGTTGTTTTACAGTGTATTCTTCAGTGCATGCAGAGATTTACAATTTCTCGTATGTTTCTCTACACTGCACGCCACCGGTTCATGCATATATATGCTCTACCCTCACCGAGAAGCCGGAAAAGAGGGTATTTTAGCGGGACCTTGGTGGGAAGCCTTCTAATCCTCAAACCCGTGATGGATCTAGATGAGCGGCTTTCTGACCGAAATAGCCATCCATCCTCATAACGTGTTATTCTGATTGTCATCCTCCGGGCATTGTCATATGATAACAACCAAAGCATGAGGCGGTATTGTTCTCTACTAAGAGTCCAACTCGTGATGGCTCTTAGCTCTCTAGCACGTCAAATCAGTGGAGGCACGGCGCGTTTTTAGGTTTAGTTGAGTTGCCAGCGGAGATGCCGGTTTCCTTCCGCTGTAGCTCGTATGCAATAATAATAACAGGGTTTATTATCAACTTCATGCCACTGCCAGTTGTCAAAGAATAGGAGATTTATCAGGTCGTTCAACAATCAGGTGCCTGTTGTGGATGATAATGGTAGGACAAGGGCAAAGGCCCCTGAGCCGTGCTGGTGGCGTTATAGGCAGATCAGCTTGATGATTTTAAGGTGACACAGGAGGAGTGAAAGGACCTCAATATCACACCGAAAAACCCACTTCTCATTCAGGCTTTTGGCGGCATCCGCGTCCTTAACTTCAACAAATGGCACCAACAACCGTAACAGTTCCTATGAAGAAATATATATAATTTCAGTCCATTATTCTATTTTCCATATTCCTTTCACTAACGCAAAGAAAAATACAGTGGGTTAGATAGTTATATTAATAGTGTGATACAACGTATATGCTTTTATAGATGAAGCCATCGCTTAGTGGGGCGGGAGCGGGTGGAGCCGCTTGTGGGTTAGTGCGGCTCTTCCAACATCTTGTATCAACCTCCGACAACAAACAACCACAAGCTGGATCGACGGTGACAACCCCCAACGATTGATGGATTTCGCAAAGTGAGCACCGCAGAAATTCTATTGGGGTTTAATGGGAGTTTCTGTCTTGGAGAAAACAATTACGATGTGAATTATGTACTGTATGACTTCTATTCTCGTTCCCAAGAGGTATCTACAGTCTAAAGGGAGGGCACCGCCACCGCGGGAGGTGCATTCCAGTGTGGCTTGTTCAGACAATGCGGGGTTACTTCTGATTCCTGAAGTCTGGGGGCGAAGACAAGGGTCGGCTACTTGCGAGCGTTTGAGCAATGGCTAAAGTAACTAGTCGCAAGGCTATTTCTGATTCCAGGCCGGTGTGCGCCAACTGAGTGCAAGCGCAGACCCTCAGGATAACCTAAGCAACACGCTCTGAGAAAGATACGAACATTCAGCTGACAATCTTGTGTTATTTGACTGCCAAGGGACTTTGATATTGCAGGGGAGTCCAGTTAACTATCTCCATAGGTCGGCTCCGGATAGGCGTGTTTTAACTCCATTTTCACAAAGCTTCTCATATCACTAGAGGAATAATCGACCGGACGGGAATGGAGGGGGAATATCTGCCGTCCCTCCTTGGATTTCCAAACCCCAAACCCTCTTCGGCCACTCTGAACGCTAGTAGGGCGTCCTCTTTGCATGACCTGCCTCCATTCCTGCAGCTACCCAGCCAATCGTGGCAGAGTTGCTATTTGTTCACACTTCTTGTCTCTTTTCTCGTTCGGCGTCAGATTCAGCAGCGGGGCGCTGGGCTTGGCGCACGCCGACAAAATTCTGCGCCCCGCAAGGCAGCCGCCGTTTATCTTCGACGAGTTTAGGTAGTCTTGTTCAGGCAGACTTGATCAGAAATGCTGAAACCCCTGCTCGGATTGATATGACCCCTACCGACAGTGAATGGCTTTGTTTGAGGTCAAAGAGAGTTCTCCTGACAGTACAAAAACGAGTGAAGCCCGCAACATTCCCACTTCCAATCTTACTTCAGTTTCAATTTTGACCTTTAAGAACCCTCTTTCGGACGTACAGCATAGTAGCGCATCACTTCTTGACTTCACGGAATTCGTTCGATCGTTTAGGAGTATATTTATATCGTCGCCCTCCTACATACCCGGATTTAAAGGTGTGATGGCCTTTCACCAACACTTCGATAATTGAACATGTCTGATTCCGCATCATTCTCTCTTAGATCATCGATGCCAGAATCCTACAGAATTTGATCATTACAGTGCTCGATCTAAGCACGCCATAAGTACCTCAAAGACGTTTCTAATCTGTTACGCAGAATCTATGAGTGCCATCACTGCTGTGGGAGCCAAGTATATTTCTCTTCTGGTATATTTATGATCACGGCCACCAGTTCCACCGCAGCATATACTACCACGCTCTTTTCCCCAAGACCAAACGGGGTATTCTCACACCAAGCCTGCTAGCACTAACCAGCCGTTAAGAGTTACAGATCCAAGCCTGGCGTCAATATATCCAATGTACACAGACGAGAAACTCGTTAGCATGACTTACCTTTTTAATAATCACAATCTGGGCCCAGATTCTTCCGGCAGAACGCAAGAAGCTCTCATCGGGGCCTCTATCCCCAACGCTCGTGAAGATTTACCTGCCATCCCCAGGATATTAGAAGGATGGATTCTACGCCGGGCAGACTCCTCAAAGGTATCACCATGGAAAAACGTTACTCGAGAACGTATGCCTCTTACCCAAGACGAGTTGGAAAAGCGGACAGCGGACCTGAGAAACGAGAACGTACAGGAAAAGTACGAAGCTCTAGGGAGTGGAAAGCAGAACCAAATTAAAAATTTGATGATTGATCGGCAGAACTGCGATGGAGATAGACGATTTTCTTGGAATTGTGTTTACATCTACCTTGATAAAAAAGCTGTCAATGTTCGCGCCTTCGTCATAGAGTACGTTACCGTATCCCTCACTGTGATTCTTCTGAGACAAGTACGCCAGGGCATCGTGTTACCTTCCCCTGGCGATCCTCGTCCCCCGGTTGCAGCGAATAAAAAGAAAAAAGAAATAAAATCCCCACTGCCAGGCTCGCATGGTCAGCCATTACCCGAGACTACAGTTGAACAACCACTTCACCAACGTCCTGGTGGAGTGGTTGCTGGTGGACAGCAGCAGAATGCGGCTATTAATCACACCAACCTACCAATGGGCATGGAGACTCCCCTTGTTGGAAACCAACAGGATCAATTCGCCCAAAGTGCCCAATATGCTCACCCCGCCCAACTCGCTCAACCTATTCATCCTGGTCATCCTGCTCATTCTCCTCCCTATTATGCTCATCCGACTCAACCTGCTCAACCTGCTCAACCTGCTCAACCTGCTCAACCTGCTCAACCTGCTCAACCTGCTCAACCTGCTCAACCTGCTCAACCTGCTCAACCTGCTCAACCTGCTCAACTTGCTCAACCTGCTCATCCTGCTCATTCTACTCATCCTCCTCATCCCACTCATCCCACTCATCCCACTCAACATACTCATCCTACTCAACATATTCAGCATGCTCAAGCTCACCATCATACTCAACCCGGTCAATACACCCACTATGTCCAGCGTTCTAGGCACGGCCAACAAGCGCCCCCCATTGATATCCAAGTAATTAATGGTGGACCAACTTATGAAACTAACATTTTAGCCCCACCGCCGCCACATCCACCTCTCCAGTCTCCAAACAAGGAGCCACAGCAACAACCATCAATGCCACAAGCACAGCGTCTCCCAAACTTTACTCCAGGGCGTCCGAAACAACATCGAACAAAGCCTAGCTTACCTAAAATCTTAAATACGGGCAAGGCTCCGCGACGTAAAGCCTCGGGACATGGAGATTTTCGAGACGGGGACAGCAGCATTGATGAAAATGAGTCCGTACTTTTTGATGAGTTCGAAGATGCGAGCTCAGCAACTACCGATGATGCATTATTCGCCGATAAGCACAATAACCACGATAAGTACATGCCTCTAAGGGAAGCCGATGGACGACTGCACCGCTGTTACTCCAGAGGCCGCGCCCCCGAAATCTTCTATCGGTCTCAGCGCCGCCCTGAGAGCAGGCACTTACGGTTTAGCGAGCATCTTCTAACCGAACCGCGTAATTGGGACGGAGAGGTGGATATCTACCCAGAAAATAGCACGGACAAACGAAGGAATCGTCGTTCAGCAATAGTGTCATATCCGGTGGTTCCACCCCTAACACAGCTCACAAACCAGCGAGGTCATCCCGGGGCTCCTCTTTCTCCGCGTCAAACACAGACACTTTCTTCTCCAGTGAGGTACAACAATGCCAATGTCCAGGACGACATTAGGAGTGATAGCGACTGGGAACGCACGCAACGCGAACGCGAACGGTCCTTGGGTGACTACGTACACGATAGGCGTCAAAAGGACAGCCAACGTCGACGCTGGGGTCAGGGAGTTCAAGTGCACGCAACCCCAACCCTACCCACACCCCCAGCCAAGGGCGGTGCCGATTATTACCCCCCTGGACCGCCGCGAGAGGATTGTTTCGACAACTATGCACAGATGGCGGAACCTAAACAAATGAGAGAAGTTCGTATGCCATACCATCAACAACAAGACACCTACGAGGTTAATGATGCGTTGAACGATTGGGTCCCTTTTCGTCACGAGAGAATGAATCAAGCTCCAATGGGTTTTGGCCAAATGAACGGTGAGCGGATGGTCACCCATTATCAACCTCACATGGAACCACCCCGACCAGATGATTATCCGACGTATGGCCGCTGAAATTGACCACTGTTGCGATACATTCTACTATTGTTGTCATTGTCCTTTTATATCCCTTTCCTGGACATGGTAACTGCTTTTGCTGACAGCGCTTTTGGCATATATGGGATTTGGAAACGGCAGGTTAGGTTTGGAATAAAAAGGTACCGGGTAAGGATTTGGGAATTTGGTTTGGAAACTAGAATTGGATATGTCCCTCGTGTGTTATTGTTATGGCTGCATGCTTCCCCTGGATTCGGTTAATGTGCAAAAAGGCACATGTTTGTAATGGTTATTAGTATTGATATATTCTCTTTATTCACTTTTTCTGGTTGTTAGTGAAAAGGATATCAACAACCACACACCCCTGAAAACCCCAGCTTCAACAGTTGCTGATGTTTAATTTACTATTCTCGTGATTGTAATATTTCTTCTCCACTACCTTTTTGGTTATTTTTCTATACTTTCTTTATTTCTTTCATACTTATTTTGACTCTTCACGGATGCCTCTATTGGTGAGATTTCGACCCAAAATATGTATGCATTCTGACTCTCTTTCCTTGTACTTTTATCCTATTCTTCACTTGTTTTAGTTATAGTTTAGCCTGCTATCTAATTTATGTATGTTAAACAGTCTTATTCCATCTCAACTTGGCACTGATCAGTACGGAGTAGTTATTCCTCTGTTAACCACGGCGATAGTTAATAGTCCCCCTTCCATGGCGGGGCAGGTGCCAAGACAGCTTTACTATTATGTCATTCCCGATCCTCCTGCCCCGCCGTTTTCAGCCGCCGCATCCATCTTCCTGTTTCCTCCTTTCTACTTTATCTTTTCCCATCGTTAGTTTTTCAACCTCAACTATTGCTCACATTTCTCCGTTATTATTGCTCTTGCTCCACACTTTGCTCCTCTTAAGGTGCGTTGCTTTCATTCCGGTCCACAGTTCTAGGCCGCTTCAATGGTTTCCACTCAATTGCGGTTAATCATATCCTGGATGCTATTCCCGCAACTCTACTTTACGATCATCACGAACCAATTTAGAATCAAAATTCCTCTACCATATAGCTAACCTTATCATTTATTCTTGTCAGGACTTAACAATTTCCAATCAGTCACCATGGCTCGCAAATTCTTCGTCGGCGGTAACTTCAAGATGTATGTCCACTCCAGAATCAAAGTCGTCCATACCCCTCAACTCCCAAACAATGTCTCCCAATTCCTCTCAAATGACAACAACAAGCTAACAAAGTGCTATTATCTTCCAATCCTTCCAGGAATGGCACAGCCCAGTCGATAACCCAGATCATCTCCAACCTCAACTCTGCCAAACTCGATCCTAATGCCGAAGTCGTCATTGCTCCTCCTGCCATCTACCTGGTCCTCGCACGCGAGCTTGCGAGCGGGCAGATTTCTGTCTCTGCACAGAACGTGTTTGATAAGCCCAACGGAGCCTTCACTGGGGAGTTGAGCGTGGAACAGCTGAAAGATGGAAAAATCGACTGGACCCTGGTTGGACACAGTGAGCGAAGGGTTATCCTGAGGGAGGACGATGATGTATGTTTTGAATTCTTCTTAGCAAATGTTTCATCCAACCAAGGGCTTTAAAACGTTCTTCTCCATAACTAGAGGGGGTAGTTTAACTTTTTATTGCACTGTAGTGCTTGAAACTATTCTTCGAACTACTGCTACTACTATCTTTCGCTAATTCCATGAGTATTTAGTTCGTTGCTCGCAAGACAAAATCTGCCCTTGATGGCGGCCTCCGCGTGATTCTCTGCATTGGAGAGTCTCTCGAGGTACTTAATTGCCCCTCGCTCTGATATTTCGATTTTGAGGACGAAAAGCGAAATTGAAATTTTAAGCCATTGCACATGATGTAGGGGTTCCATGTTAAAGCGGGAACTGACGTCAGAATTCTCCATATGTAGGAACGCGAAGCCGGCAAGACCCTTGATGTCGTGACACGGCAATTGAACGCCGTCGCCGACAAGCTTTCTCCTCAAGACTGGACGAAGGTCGTCATTGCTTATGAACCCATCTGGTACTGAATCCCCTCTACGCCCACCAGAAAATGCCCCTTACCCAGCTATGCATGCCCATCCGAGGAATCTCTACATTTGTAAACAGGGCAACCATACTAATGGTTCTCATTTCCTTGTTTCTGCAGGGCCATCGGAACGGGCAAGGTTGCCACCACGGAACAGGCACAGGAAGTCCATGCCTCGATCCGCAAGTGGCTGGGTGAGAAGATCTCCCCCTCAGCCGCTGAGAATACCCGTGTGATCTACGGAGGCAGTGTTACGGAGAAAAACTGCCGCGATCTCGCTCAGCAACCCGATGTTGACGGGTTCTTGGTTGGCGGAGCAAGTTTGAAGCCGGCTTGTACGTTCTTAACATTATTATTTTCTACTAACTGCACCTGACATTCACCTTCTTTCCCGACGTCCACCTTCAAACATATTCTGTATTTACTAACAAATGAGTCACAGTCGTCGATATCATCAACGCCCGCCTATAAAACGTTTCGAAACCGTACGCATATAACCTCCGGTAAATTTGTGTCGGTCGGATGCCCCTTACTTCCGCTTAACACTAATCTGTACAGAACTTTGCCGTACGAACTGATAAATGTGGCATCTGGATTCTACAAATCCCTCAAATCGTCTTGGGAAACTCACATAAAATACACATTATTATATATAAAGTCATAATTTAAACAATCAGATCTACGTTTCTCTGTATCTAATTTCGGGCGAAACCTACTTGGGAGTGTATCCATTCTGACGTGGGCAGTTTGAAAAATGTTCATAAGACCCAAAACATGGACAGAAGGTAGTATGGGGAGGGATCCCGCATAATGAGGGGCCTCAAGAGGCCATGAACTGTATAGTACCTTGGATGGGGAAGGACTAACTGCTCAATAACTTTACTAAGTAAGGTTAAATGTGGAGAGTTGTCATTGTCCAAGCAAGCATCCCATTCGTGATAATTATGACCGGACACGGGAAACACATCTAGAGGCTACATATAACCCACCAACCAATCACCCGTCTCATTTCAACTGGGATCGATTCCATTTGCAAGGTTGACGAAGTGCGGAACAACCTCTACATAGTATATATACCTGTATCGTTGTTGATGACAGCTGGGATGGTGCCCATATGGGGTCCGTCCCGTATACGGCGTAAGGACGCCGGTGGGCAGTCCTTCTGTAGGGGCTCCTTTGTGTGAAAAATATCGAGATGAGTCATTCGATGATGATGTGCGTCGTAAGACTTTTGAGATTGTGTGGAATGAAGGCAAGGTGGATGTTTTTCCTGGGTCTTACTGCGTTGAGGTACTGTGCACTGTACGTAGGCAGACCGTTCGCTATTGACAGGCTGTGTTTCTTTTTCCCTTTTCCCCCTTCCTCCTTCGATTTTCTTTGGCACGGCTTTCTAGGTAATATAGGACAGGACAGGACATGGTCCTTTTAGTTTCAAGCTACAGCGCCCGCACACAGCCTTAGGGATGGAGAAGTGGCGGATTTGGGCGAGCTATTTATGTAAAACAGACCCTGTCCACCTAAGGAGGAGAGAGAAGGGCATTCTCTACACGGACGCTCTTGTCACCAATAGCGCGTCCGTCTGTGTTGGATGAGCTCTGTATGTGAAGCACAAATAAATATGCCGAGGACCTAAGCACCTGGAATAGCAGGATGCTTGGGTAGAGATTCATCTGCTATTTAGGCTGCAAACCTAACCGGCCCGGAATGATTCAGCAGTACGGTCAGCAGGGGGAGGAGAAATAGATAGATATAGGTAGTGGAAGGGGAAATAGAATAGGATAACTATTATAACTATATAAGATATATAATAAGATATAATAAGATATAAGATATATAGCAGGTGTTTGGGAGCCCGTAGATGCGTGCGTAACCTAATATAGCTATTGATGATAAACGGATGTTAGATACCTATGATAGATATTAACCGTGCCAAGCGCACTCACTCTCTCTAGTGGTAGTAAGTTGCGCTTGGCACGGTTACAGCGTAAGGTGCGGCTTCCTGCGCCGGGCTGCGATTGGTGGCTTCCCAGCGCAGACATCGATCGTCTCCTCAACAACATCCCCGGGCCAAGTCCAACCCCAAGACATCACATCACCACCAAACTTCTGGCGATCCACCATCTTCTTCTCGCATGACAGAGACAGACCCTGTTCTCTCCATGCCCCAATCACAAGACTAGCTCTTCCACCCACTACCCTCTGAGTTAATCCCAACTCTATCCCCATCCAACCCCATCCCCGTCCGTCCTCCACCATCTAATATCTCTTCCACTCATGCTACTAGCTCTTCCCTACCCCAATCACGCGCCTTGCCTGTTTCTGCTCCCCCACAACGTCCTCTTCATTCCCGCTGGCGCTTAACCAGTCGATCTCCCTCTCTCAACGACGCTGCAGTCCAAGGTCTCCTGAGGTCTTCCCAGGTGTGGCGCCCCCGCAGGCTCAATATCAACGAACCCAGCCGCTCCTCTCTCGTCCCATCACCCCTCCGCGCCCTCTCCAATCCCGACGCAGTGATATCATCGAAACGAACGTAATATTTTATTAAAAATAGAACTCCTACTGCTGCTGCAGCTCGCCTCGCCAGCTCCAAGCTTCTCCTCTTCCCGTCTAGTTAGCTACGGAGGATCTCTCTGGTCCCTTGGGGACTGGTCCATCCCGCGCCAGAGATGGGGAATGCTTGCCTGGCCTGCCTGACAGGTACCTTCTCCAAGATCGATAGATGGTGCCGTATATCTTATTTACTGGCTCCCATCAAAGGTCGATCTAGGGACGGTCTCTACGAACCCATCCTAGCAGATAACGAACGCGAGGCCGTCGCTGATCTCCTCCAGTACCTCGAGAACGTACGTTTTGGCCCCCTCCGTTCCTTCCTTCCCTTTCCCTCCCCTTTCCTCCATCGCTCTCTTACAGCACTAGCTGCTTTACCATACTAACTACTTCGTCTTCTCAGCGAAATGAAACCGATTTCTTCAGCGGAGAACCACTTAGTGCTCTTAGCACCCTTGTATACTCAGATAATGTTGACCTCCAACGAAGCGCCAGCTTGACCTTCGCGGAGATAACGGAAAGAGGTTCGTCTCTTGCCGGGAAGAGCTATGAGGCTGATGCTCCCTGCTCTATGTACTGATTCAGAACCTGTGTGGTTTAGATGTCCGGGAAGTAAATAGAGAAACTCTCGAACCTATCCTATTCCTCCTCCAGAGTCCCGATATCGAAGTACAGCGAGCGGCTAGTGCAGCTCTGGGGAACCTCGCTGTCAATAGTACGTCTACTCATATAATACCTCCCTCCACCCTGAAAAGCTCTTAACTGCTCACCTACAATGCAGCTGAAAACAAGGTCAATATCGTCCTGCTTGGGGGACTGGCACCTTTAATAAGACAAATGATGTCACCCAATGTCGAAGTACAATGCAATGCCGTCGGTTGCATCACCAACCTAGCCACCCACGAAGATAATAAAGCGAAAATTGCGCGATCGGGCGCCCTTGGCCCCTTGACAAGACTGGCAAAATCAAAAGACATGCGTGTGCAACGAAATGCCACTGGAGCCCTTCTAAACATGACCCATTCTGGTATGCCATTTCTCATTGGTACAAGAATACAAATATGGCCCAAACAATTGCATAATAACATCTTTTTCTGTTTTTCTTGATGATAGATGAAAATCGACAGCAGCTCGTCATCGCCGGCGCGATACACGTTTTAGTGCAACTACTCTCTTCATCCGATGTCGATGTTCAGTACTACTGTACAACAGCGCTGAGCAATATTGCAGTGGATTCGGACAACAGAAAGAAGCTCGCGCAAACAGAATCCCGCCTTGTTCAATCCCTCGTTCAGCTCATGGACTCCTCCACACCTAAAGTACAATGCCAAGCTGCCCTTGCCCTGAGAAATCTTGCCTCCGATGAGAAATATCAACTCGAGATCGTCCGTGCTCGGGGCCTTGCACCGTTACTCAGACTACTACAGTCGTCATACCTCCCGCTTATCCTCTCAGCGGTTGCATGCATCCGAAATATTTCTATACACCCTCATAACGAATCTCCAATTATTGATGCCGGATTCTTAAAACCACTCGTGGATCTACTGGGCTCGATAGACAACGAGGAAATTCAATGCCATGCCATATCCACATTACGGAACTTAGCAGCCAGTTCAGATCGTAACAAGGAGCTTGTCCTGCAAGCAGGTGCCGTACAGAAATGCAAGGAGCTTGTCTTGAAAGTACCCTTGAGCGTGCAGTCTGAGATGACCGCCGCAATTGCAGTTCTTGCCCTTAGTGACGAGCTGAAGTCGCACCTGCTAAAGCTAGGCGTTTTCGATGTTTTGATACCCCTGACGGATTCGGAAAGCATAGAAGTTCAAGGAAATAGCGCGGCTGCCTTGGGAAACTTGTCGTCTAAGGGTATGTATACCGCACTTATCCCCCGGTTTGCCCTTACAATTGAGAAAATATGAAGCAAAAAACTAAAATCAAACTAGTTGGCGACTATTCTATATTCGTGAGAGATTGGTCAGAGCCGAACGGCGGCATTCACGGATACCTAAGCCGGTTCCTAGCCAGCGGTGACCCAACTTTCCAGCACATCGCAATCTGGACTCTGCTCCAGCTTCTCGAGTCCGAAGACAAGCAGCTGCACGGCTATATTGCCCGCTCAGAAGATATTGTTGACATGGTTAAGACGATTGCTGATAAGAATGTGGAATCTGACGATGAAGAAGCTGCTGAGGATGACGAGGGCGAGGTTGTTGCTTTGGCGCGGCGGTCTCTGGAGTTGATTGGCCATGGTCGTAAGCAACTACTAGTTGATGGTTGATCACTGACTGTCTGTTTTGTTTAGTTTCATTTGGTGGTGTGCTAGCAGTTGGTATTTTGTGGTATTGTTTTATTGTTGGCATCGCCGTATATCGTTTCCCGAGTAGTTTTTATACCGCCCGATAATCATCTTTTCCATCTCGCGAGGAGTTCCACGGGGGCATATTGCTTGTGTTTGGTGCTTTTTGTTTGCCGTTCCTTTTTTGTCTTCTATTGTTGTATGGGGATAAATCATCCCTGTCAGTTTTCCCGTGTTTGTGTTTTCTGTTTCCCTGTTTCCATACTTTTCCTCTCCTCTTTTCTGCTATGTGTGATCAAGAGAACAGCCAGCATTGGCATCCATGAGAGGCACTGTCTTAAATGTTTTTATTCTTGCTTGTCAGCCTTCGCTGATCAGCTTTCTTTTCTTTCCATTTTCCTATTTCTTCCTTGTCCTACGCTTTTACCCATATTCCCTTTGGTATATCACTTTCTTCTTCTTTTTGTTTTTTTCCTCGTTTCTGTTCATTTTACTATCCTTTGTTCCCCTTCTGTTGATGATAATGGTGAATTAGTACTAGGCTGTGAAAGGGTTTCCAGGAGGCAGGGGAATGATGAGCCCTAGCTGTTGTTGCGATGGATGAGGTAGCATAAGCATATTTCCTACGCTCCATACATCCATATGTAAATTTTCTATCAGAGAATGAGGTATATTACTTGGTCGGAAAGGGGGAAAGAGAGATGAGGAGAGCGATTGTTAGTGGTTCGAAAGAAGGGCATCTGATGAAGAAGATGTGATTGCGATGAAAAGGGTAAGAGAATCCATATTGTTATTATCATTGGAATAGCTATTTGCATATATATTTATATTCGACATCGCGGAGAAAGTGATTCCTGTTCTTTGATATTTTGATGCTGTCAAAGATACAGATTAGGGAAATAAGAATACTCAGCCATCATTTTACATTATTCTTTTTGCAATTTCCCTTCCTTGTTTTATTTTTATTTTTATTTCTTTTTCTCCATGTAACTTCGCTGTTATTTTGCTGCCTATGTAGCTACATAGGTAGTTATTGGCTTACATGCCTTGTTTTCTTCTGTAATCAAGCAGTTTTCAACTGGTTGGTTGCTCTACACAGTACGGAGTAGACACATATCTAAATGCTTGTTTTACAATAATCTGTACACATGTATTCTTTTTTGTGAAATGATTGCTATGATTAGTTTAATTGATCATGCTGGTACACAATCTACAAGTATACATGACAGTGTTGTTTATATTTTTTTAACAAGTTTTGTTTTTATATCCTGTGAAATTAACTGACTGTACTTCATAATTGAGGCTGCTTGATTATTGAGGGTTGATTCATGTCTTAAATAAGTTGTGAGAGGTATGAGTGGCATCAATAACTATGTTTTCTTACAACTGTGGTTTTATTCTTCAGATTTGGGTAACTGAGGGCGGTTCACTAACTTATGAAAGGGGATAAATAAATGAAACTGATCATTCTATCTTTTCTATTCAAGTTCATTTCCAAGAGAGGCTTTGTACTCCGTAGTTACAGGTGGCTGAGGTGATTGCTGTGGCAACACCGCCAGATGTTTCGCCCTATTAAATAATATCAAAATCGCCTTGATGACAATCTAAAATTTAACCTTCACCTCAAGCTTGTGAGAACGTCCACTGGAGCTTTTACCCAACTGCCCATATCCCTACCTTAAGAAAAGCCTCCCGTCAACTGGCAAAGGGGTTGCATCCCACTCATCACACCCGATCATTCGCACCCACCCGCTGCGGACTTCAGCCTACCTACCGATTGTCCCCCTTCACTGTGAACAAACATTTAGATCCACAACCTACCCTACCCTACCCACATACCTAAAGTGCAAGAAAGCAATTTAGATGGTGATCTCCCTCCCGTCAATCGCTGTCCCCGGCCAGCGATTGGGCCCTGCCTCATCGTTCATTCCAGGCCCGGGAACTCACATCCAGGATGCCTTCGTCTGCGCCTCGATTGCCGGCCCCGTCGTTTTACAGAAGGGGGGGGAGGAAGAGGAGTCGAGACAGCAATTGCAGAAACAACAAGCACAACAACAGCAACAACAAAGGACACTTGTGATGGTCGCGCGCTCGTTTGCGCAGACGCTTGAAGGGGGGGCCTATGGAGCTATGACTGGTAATAATAGTAATAATAGTAGTAAGAGTGGGAGCAGTATAAGCCGCACGCCGCAGGCACAAAAACCTCCAGTAAATACCTCCCCACTTCCAACACCAACAACAAAAAGACCCATAAAACACAAATACAACACCCTCCCCGCCGTCGGCTCCATCGTCCTCGCCCGCGTCACCCGCGTCCAAAAGCGCCAAGCAACCCTCTCCATCCTCGTCGTCCTCGACGATAACCCCTCCTCCCCCTACCCCACAACTACCGCCGTCAACGACCTCCCCGCCTCCCTCCTCTCCACCACAAATGCCGACCCCCTCAATGCCGATGACCTCCGCTTCCAAGCACTAATCCGCAAGGAAGACGTGCGCGCCGTCGAGAAGGACCGCGTCGTGATGGACGAGATGTTCCGCGTCGGCGACATTGTGCGGGCCGTGGTGATTTCGCTAGGCGATCAGAGCTTCTATTACTGCTCGACGGCGAGGAATGAGTTGGGCGTTGTGATGGGGCGGAGTGAGGAGGGGAATGTGCTTGTGCCGGTTAGTTGGAGGGAGATGGTTGATGGGAAGAGTGGGAGGAGGGAGGCGAGGAAGGTCGCGAGGCCGTATTAAAAGGCGGACTTATTTTCTTTATTTTTTTATATTATATTTATCGGGGTTTTGGGTGGTGGTTGGGCTATTGGTTGGGCGATGGAGGTTGGAGTAGTTAAGTTATCCTCCCGCTTGGGTTTACACTATAATCTCGTTTCTTTTTTCTCTTTATGATGAACGCAGGTGAATGGACGGGTGGAAAGACTTTGTTGTCTGGCACAAGACGGTGGGCTTTTAGAATACCATGGCATGATAGGCAAGAATCAACTACTGGGTGCTGCAGTATATCTACAAATAATACAAATACTCGTAACTTTGTGCTGAGGAGAAACATAGCACGGAAAGCCTAATGAACAGACATGCCAGACACCAATTTTAAAAAAAAGGGATCAAGGACCCATAAGACATAATTCCAGAAGAGGAGGAATTTTCTCTTCATATTTCTCTCTCTCTCCCTCTCTCTCTCTTTTTTTTTTTTTTTGCTTTTATTGTTTTATTTTCTATTTATCTTTTTTCCCAAAGCCTTTAATATGCAACAACTTTTAAAAACGCAGAATCCAAAATCAAACTACAACCATAAAACTCCAGCCAAGGTAACCAACCCACTATGATAAACCCAACGCAATCACTCCAGTCCTACGTTCCATACTCTACTAACCCCCAGACCGACCCCACTCACCTCTTCAACGTCTTCTGCTTCTCTGCATCCTTCACCAATTTCTTCCCCTTGACAACCAACCCCTTCCTACTCCTCACCCGATCCATATACCTCTTCGCCACATTCTCGCGATCCGCCAACTCGCCCAGATCTTCCAGTTCTTCCTCAGTCGCCGGCACCCAGAACGGATCCTCGTCTAGCATTTCGAAACCGGCGAAGATAAGCTGCGGCGAGGCGGCGCCGGAGGTGCGCTTGCGGATCTCGTCGGAAAAGCCGAAGGATTCAGCGACGGGGAGGAGGGAGAGGATGGTGAAGAAGGGGGTGCCTTCTTTCATTGTTTCCGAGAGGATGCGGCCTCGTCGTCGGGTTATGACGCCGTAGACGCGGCCCAGCACTTCGGCTGTTTGGGGTAAGGGGGGGGGGCTTTGGTTAGTTTTTATGGGGGGTTTGTTTGGAGAAAGGGGATCTAATAATTGGTCTGTGCGAAGGAATGGATGATAGATTGATGATTCAATTCCTAACTTACTGGATGCTTGGATCTCGCAACTATACATAGCTAAGAGTAGTCGGGGGCTCCAATCGAGGAAACCTTGCCAGACTGCGTCTCGCGTGGATTTTATCACTTCACCGGTAAGACGGCCCAGCTCTTCCTCTCCAGTCTTAGTGACGGAAACGTCCTCGATCAAGACCGCAATGCCCTGGATAGGCTCGCTGCAGAGAGGGCCCTGGGCAGTGGAGAGTTGGAATGCATAGGAGATTTTGTCGGAAAATAGGCCCATGCTTCGTCGCTGGTGATCTGCTGAGGTTTGTGAGCCTGTTTCTATTGCTGCTTGATCTTGGGGGCTTTCGTTTGCGTTGTCAAGGAGTCTAGAAATTTGGGGAAAAGGTTAGCCTGTGTTGTATATGATGGACGACTATGTTACAATTTGCACTCACAGTTTGTCACATGAGCCTGTTGATGTGGAGTCGACGAGGATATTGGGACCTATCCGTCTCGGGCCAAACTCGACGATTCTATTCACGACATCCTTCCAGGCATCTTTCTCGTCTTTGGATTGATCGAAAGCACTCTGTAGCTCTCTCTTGAATTCTTCAAGTGAAAGAATCTTCGAAGCAACCGTCTCACCACTACCGATATCACCTTCGTCATCTATGTCGCTGTGCTCGTTGTTTGCTTGCATGGTCTCATGAGCTCCTGTCCTTCTTTCTGCGTAGAATCGTTTGATCGTAGCTGCATGTTTGGTTAAGAACTCGGTGACTCCCGCAGGTAGCGGCAGAATTCTTAACTGGATAGTTAGTTGCTTTGATGCTGAAACATTGAGAACTGTCCCTCGGGGCAGGTCGGGGTTCTTCGGAGGTGACATCTCTGGCGCATTTATTATAGTTTCGCGATATGGCACTATTGCTTCTCCGGCTTGGATTTCGCATTTGGCAAACCGCTCCCGTAAATCTTTAAGGCATCGCTCGAGATGAAGTTCCCCAGCAGTGAGAATAACGTGCTCTCCACTTGGAAGAACTTCGTACACCGCACAAGGATCGCTCTTTTCCAGCAGCTTCAGGCCATTGATCATCTTATTCAAATCTGAGGGGTTGACAGGTTCGAGAGCAACGCGAACAATAGGAGGACTGGACAACGTTACTCCTGCTAGGTTCACGGCTCCCTCGAGCTGACTGCACAGCGTTCCAGTTTTGAGGACATGGCCTTCCATACCAGCGATACCAAAGACAACACCGGCAGGAACACTCTGCAAGCTTTCTAGGTTTCGTCCCATAAACAAGTAAAGCGCTTTTACTTCCACCTTTTGTGGCGTAGGTGATGCATGGGGGTGTGATGGAGAGAATTTGGGGGGTATGACATAGATAGAATCTCCAACTGAAAGCCTGCCGGAATAGAGGCGTGCAAAGCCAATGAGGTGCTCTGGATCTTCCTTCTCTTCAACTGTAGTCGGACCACTATCTTCCACGCTCGCATTCTCGAGAGCGGATGTTGCGTGGGCGAAGCTATCTGTGTCTTGGCCTTCATTGCTCTGGGCCTGTAATCTTGCTATCTCCTCTCGTTTCTTTTGTGCCAGCTCCCGCGCTTCCTCTGCACTTAACATATCTCCAGGTCGCCGCGTATTTTGGGGAAGTTCACTTTCAGGTATTGAAACCATTTTGCTGACGTATGCCACAACAGGGTCATCTTTTCCTGCTTTAAAGTTTACCATCGCGTCGCGAATATTGGGACTAATTGCCTCAGAACCCGGGGAGTCCTCAATCATGCTTGGAAGCCTAGCTGCTTGAGCGACTGGGGGACTGGGAAGGTATTCGACCACAGACACCAGAACTGCTATAGATAGGGGAAGCCACGACGCAAATACGGCCATGAGGATGTTCCTTGGATCCCGTGAGCGCAACACATGCGCAGGTAGACTAATTCCGAGTGATTTGGTTATTTTTTCCAGAAGTGCAGGATCACTGGCAAACATCCGTTAGTTCATACGAGTTACTGAATGGGAGGCACATCTTTCTTACCCTTTTTCTTGCCCACCACCTGTCGTCGCATTGTAAACTGCCCATATAGTTTCCAGAACCAGTTGAACAAACAAAGGCTTCAAATGTCGCCCCTTTAGATGTTTTTGCCCAATGACTCGTTTGCTTTTCGGGTCAAGATAGAAATCGCCCCACAGTACTTTTTCCAAAAGGGATCTTTTAAATCCAAGCTTTTTCTCATACAGGCCAGCAAATTGCCGTATGGTGAACGCCCACCCGTCGGTTGCGCTGCAGAAAATGACATTGTTTTTTTCTGGGGCAAAATAAAGATCCTCATCACCACGCTCTTCGAATTGACCTTCAGTTGAATCGGCTTGCGAGGCTGTATCAGCCATGTCATCCGCCCGTTGTATCGTCCGGCCATTCTCCTTGCTAGTAGCTGCGTTTACTCGTTCTTCCATTCTCTCCCGCCACTGCAAGTCTTCCTCCATACGTTCTCCTTGGTAGAAGCTTCCAATGACAGCATTTACTTGCTCAAGCACTTTGCTGAGGTGTAAGTATGCTTCCCCGGGGGTCATTTTCAATTCTGTAACCAGTCGATCTAGCTTGTTGATAACCAGGATCGGCTTCAGATGCTCAACCCATGTGTGTCGCAGCACAGTAACGGTCTGACTGCAAACACCCTCAACAGCATCTACTAAAACAAGTGCACCGTCACATAGCCGAGAAGCCGTGGAAACCTCGCTACTGAAGTCGATATGGCCAGGAGAGTCAATTAAATTGATCAAGTATTCTTTCTGTTCGGGATCTGCGTCTTTGGAAGCCCTTCTCAGCATAGAAAAATAAAGTGATATTGCAGACGACTCCATCGTGATTCCTCGTATCTGCTCATCTGGGCGGGAGTCCAGATAACGGATTTTCCCCGCCATCTTCGGCGAAATGATGCCATTTGTAGCAATCAGACTGTCCGTCAAGGACGTCTTTCCGTGGTCCTATACAGTGAACATATCTCAATAGCTGATCCTCAAATTACGAGGACTTTTAGTTCACTTACGACATGTGCAAGGATGCATATCTGCCAGAAATGTCAGCCCGTGTCCAAATACGGTGATTTGACCATGTTTAGGTAGAACTTAAAAAAGATAAAAAGGAGGGGTGTTTGTTTGGTAGCGGGGAGGGGGGTAGGCATGCATTTCTAACGTCTTCCGCCTTCTGTTGAAGGCGGACAAGATCTTCCAAATTAACTACAGGCATCGTGACATCTGGTCACCCCAGACATACAATGGGGTATTTGTTAGAGGCTAATGCAGAGGATTGGTAGGAGTTGCAAGCAAAAATGGTAGTACCTAAGTACCCGCACCCTGCTCAGGCTGGAAGGGTTTCCGCACGTTCAAGAACTAATATTCGCTCTTCTCAGTCTTATAGATCCAATATCATATGTCAACTCAAATAAAGCAGATTGAGGCAGCAACCGCTTTCTCTTTTGCTGAAAGTCATTCCTGGATAAGTTGTGTAGCTACGATGAGCCTTTTATATGCGGATTAGTCATTTTGCGTCGGCGGTGCCACCATGCGCTATGGAGCCGCGTGGTCCACCGTAGTGTTGTGATGTTGCGGTAGAAGTATGAACGGGGTCTGGTAGAATAGAATAACGAAGCTAATTAAATTTCAATTTCATGTGCTTTATATGTCTAAAACTACCTAAAAGGGTTCAGCATACAGGCAATCTGTACTGGTAAATACGATGTTAAACATATTTTGAATCTCAGTCAGTATGTTCAAATGATAGCTTAATCTTCTTTTTCAGCTTCGGTTTCCGTGATGCTGGAGGTTTTCGGGTGGCATCTTCAGTCGCATCCTCTCCAATTACTTTAGCTTGCTTTCGTTTCTTTGCGCCACCAATCTCCGCAAAATGTTGGTTTCGTTTGGCCTTGGGGCCTTGCCGTTCTCCTTGGTCAACGCCATCTCCTGTATCATTTGTTGACCTTGTTTTCTCATTCTCATTTCTATTATTTCCAGATCTTTCCCCTATTTTGTTGTCGCTGTCCCCTCTCACCAACACATCGTATTCCTCCTTGGAAATTATCTCGTTGCTTGCCTCGTCCACGTATGTAGGGGCGTCATCATCATCAGCATCCTTTTTTTTGGTAGGACGTGGGCTTGGTCTATCATTGCGAAAACCACTTCCATCACCGTATTGGCTTCTCAGCTTTCGAAGAAATGCAGGTTCGTTTTTCTCTATATATGCTTGTTAGAAGAAGGCCTAAGAATTGTCGACAGGGAGGTCGATGACAACCAGGGCAAAGCATACCATAAGTTAGGTTCTTTGCATTGAAACTCATTATAGGTAGATGTACATGAGGGTCAAAAGGATCCTTGAGACTTTTAAGTGTTTAGGCGTGCAAGGAGCGGAGCGTTGGAAGACCATTCATCTCTTCAGGTCCTCTTATCCTAGCGGGGAAGTAGTTTTCCGCGGTCAGGAGTATCAGGGAATAAAAATTGTATAGAGTGAACGTCATATGAGTCTTAGCAGTAATAGCGTAGGCTTCCTGGTTAAATAGTCAGGCATTTTGCGGTTGTTTTAGAAGATATTAGTACAGTACAGCCCTTGCGGTGGATAGCTCCTTATCTGATCGCCGGAGCGGAGCCACTTATGTTCCGGCTTCGCAGAAACGAAGAAACTCAACCAAACCAACGGCATTATTTACGTCGACAGCTCTCTGACGGCTTCCTCACGCTAATTCCCTGTCTGAACAAGCCAATTAACCATGCTGTGCGCAAGTGAGTCTACTGTTTAGCCTATTTAACTGTCTTGAACGCTTGCTAATTTCTCCCTTTAGTCTCCGGAGAAGCTCCCCAGGTGCCTGTGGTTTCGCGAAAGAGCGGTACGTAGCTCTGCTCATCGGTCGGCTTCAAACTGGAGCTAACATGCTAAAATTGACGCAGGTAATGTCTTCGAGAAGCGTCTCATCGAGGCATACATCTCGGAGAATGGCAAAGACCCTGTTACTGGAGAAGACCTTAGTGTCGAAGACCTACTAGAACTCAAATCAGCCCGCGTAGTTCGACCGCGCCCGCCTACCCTCACATCCATTCCATCCCTCCTAGGAGTCTTCCAAGAAGAATGGGATGCCCTCGCACTTGAAACATATACTCTAAAACAAACCCTGGCTCAGACGCGACAAGAGCTCAGTACCGCGCTATACCAACACGATGCAGCCGTCAGGGTCATCGCAAGACTAACAAAGGAAAGAGATGAGGCTCGTGACGCCTTGTCAAAAGTGACAGTCGGTGCAGGTCGCGCTCCGAGCAATGGCGATGCTATGCAAGTAGACAGCACTGGCTTGCCGCCAGCTGTTATTGCTAGGATAGATGCCACACAAGAACAGTATGTTTTCTTTTGCTTTATAACTTAGGCTGTGACCAGAGCCGGTATTAATGTAGCATAGATTATCGAAAACGCGCCGCAAGCGGACAGTTCCAGAAGAATGGGCTACTGGAGAAACGATACAAGAGTTCAAACCCACTGATTGCTCTGAGGCGCTTTATCCCGGCGGGAAGACCTTATCCCTCGATCCTTCGGGTAATCTCGCGTTGGTTGGGGGTGTTGATGGTGTAGCTGGTATATATTCGCTGGCTGAGAAGCGGATAGTATCATCTCTGAAAGTGGGGGGTGCTGTCACGGATGCTGTATGGATAGGGGCCAAGGCAGCTGTTGCGACTTCCGCGGGCTCAGTAAAAATATTTGAGAACGGGACGGAGGTTGCCACCTTCAATTCACATGCCGGGGAGGCTACTTCATTGGCAACACACGCTACGGGCGATATCATTGCGTCCGTGGGCGTGGATAAAAGCTATGTTCTCTACGATCTTACTTCCAATTCTGTCATTGCCCAAATTTACAGTGACGCCGGTACGTATTTACCCTGTTGAATTATATTTTACTATCTGCTAACGCTATCCTGTAGCCTTAAATTGTGTTAAGTTCCACCCTGATGGCCATCTTGTCGCTGCTGGTGGTGCTGACGGCCAAATTAAAATTTTCGACGTCAAAACCGGAACAAGCGCAGCTAATTTCAGTGCTGGCAGTCCGCTCAAAGCTCTGTTCTTCTCAGAGAATGGCACCTGGCTAGCATCCGTGACTGAAAACTCTACCACGGTTTCGATATGGGATTTGCGCAAGTCAGCGGAGATCAAGGTGCTAGAAACAGGAAACCGTGTCGATTCCATTAGCTGGGACTACACTGGACAATTTTTATTGACTGGCGGCCCGAACGGAGTGACAGTACAGCAATATACCAAAGCGTCCAAAAATTGGTCAGAGCCTCTGCGAAGCGCGGTACTCGCTGTTGCAGCAGAGTGGAGAAAATCGGCGCAGGGAATTGTGGCACTGAACGGCGACGGCGTTCTTACAGTGGTGGAAGCAAAGCCATGATAACAGGATCCTGTTTCTTCAGTCATTTGTATTCTAATATTCCATTTTCATTGTGTGAAAATGCTGGCGCCTAGGGTCTAGTCAATAAACACTCGTGAATTTCTAGGGTTCTTTATATAAATTCCAAGCAAGGTGTTCGCACCTTTTTCAATACGAGCAGATTTGACTAATGTAAGCCGCGATTCGATCGCTTAGTTATCCCATTGAGCCGCGGCCAGGGATCTCCATCCTGGTTACTTTTCTCCAGTTCTGTGGTTGCCACTGGTTGGGGGCGGCTGGTACATATCTTCGGCGAAAGCTCGACCAAGACATAGGCTGGGAACCGCTGAACGACCGCCGCCGCTGCAACCATCTGAACATCCACTTCTGACCTGGACAACCCTTCTTCCGACCCCTCACCCATTTCCAACCACCTCACGCTCAACCACACCCTTTTGCTACTCTCTCTCCTAGTCAAGTGTTTATCATGAATGGAGACCCGAGTATTCAACTTTTGACTGCCCGACAGTCGAGAAAAGTAAGCATCATCCTCCCTCGTCACTTCCGCTACCTTTATCCACTGCCCCTGCTAGCATTCACCACCACCGCTGGGATATCACCTTTAGCTAACTCTTTTGCTTTCATGATTGCTTCTAGCGACCGCACCATGAGATGATAAATTCGCATTCTGAAAGCCGGAGCACATCTCCATGGGATTACGCAGAGCCGTCTGGTTCGAATTCGAATCCTGGGTCCCGGGTCTTCTCCAGCCATCGACCAACACTTCCACCCCTACCACACCTGAGATTTCCAGGCGACGGCTACGATTTCAGAAGACCAGTCATGGCGACCGCATCAGCACCTAGTTCCTCTCCCCCTCCTCTCCCTCAACAAGATAACGTTATCGATTTGACAGAGGAGCCTGATCACGTTCTGTCAGACAGAGCCACTCAGACACCTCTACGACAAGCAGCCAGCAGGAATTCACGTCCACCTCGATTTGGAAGAAATATTATGGCAGATGTTGTTGATCTGGAGGAAGAGTCAACTACAAACGAGCCCCAACAGTATTCAAGCCCAGAAGTACAGTTCCTAGGCACTCAAATACGGCCGGCGGAAGAAACTCGTCAAAATGAGAATAGCCACCGAAATCGAGAAGCCCCTCCTACGTTAAGAGGCTCTAGTCTCGTGGACATGATTAGGAGAATTCGCGGAAGCGGGCCGCCTTCCTCATACTTGCAGCGGCAGCAAACAATCCGAGAAGAAATGAGCTTGAGGAGCCGCAACCTTGCACGTATTTTCCCTACCAACATTTCTCCGTTTTGGCTCGGGGAACGGCCCATTCAGGTTGAAGTGGAGGATGATTTCCCCATTGAATTGAATTACAGAACGGCCGGATTCGGGTCGGGCGAGACACGACGAACACCCGCGTATGTGGCTCCGTCAGCGCCGCCTCCAGGGTTTACAACGACTGTCGGGGAGGATGAGGTTGTGATTTGTCCCAACTGTGACCACGAACTAGGGACTGGTGATGATGCAGTGCAGAAGCAAATATGGGTGGCTAAGCCATGTGGACATGTACGATTGATTCTGCCCCTCTGTTTTCTCTTCAGCGGCCTCACGTTCGTTGCCTTTATCTAAACAGCATTCACTAACTATATTCATAGGTTTATTGTGGCCAATGTACGAAATACCGAGCGCGTTCGAGAAAGCGGGCAGACAGTGCCGACTCTCCGAAAACGAAACCATTTGCGAAATGTGTCGTACCCGACTGCGGCAAGATGGTTAGCCAACCACGTGCGATGTTTCAAATCTATCTCTAGCTCTGTTCTTCTTCTTTTTTCTTCTTCTCTTCCCCCCCCCCCCCCCTTGTTGCTATACCTTTCCCTTTGGTTTCTTTTTGTTACAAGCATAGCGAGGGTATGGAACTGCATAATGATTTGTACATATATACCATTTTATGGACTAGGGCACATTAGGATTTTAGAGAAATTGTTTTATTGTAGCTGCGGTGTTACATGCCCCTGATTTCTATGATTTGTTGAATCCCGTGCATTTTTACTTCTTTACGAAGTATTTTATTGTTACGACGCCTGAAGCGTAATACATAGAGTGATTAGTAGCTGATGTACCGCAGGAAAAGATGAACCGCTCGTCAACTGGAGGCTCTTCTAACCCTTTTAAAGCTTCTATTATACATATAAAGAAATACAAGACATTATTCCAGTCTATGTGACCCATCGAATCCAGAACAAAAGTAAATATACTTCCAAATCAAACAACGAAATAAAATGCAAAATGCACACATATATATAAAACAATAGCGATGCACAATCGCTCAGATCCTGACCTTATTGGTCTGTGAAATCGTTCATAAAGCCCATTTCCTTTTCAAACACCAGCGCGGCCGGCGTGGACTCACCACACCACCAAACATGACATATAGCGGTTCGTAATCCCACCGCGTCCCATCCCACATCATACCGTCTTGACATCGCCATGATAAGGACTCCAAATGCCTCTCACACTCTCATTCAAACTGGACACAGGCTTCCTGACTCTTCTCAACTTCTCTCCGCTAGCCTCCTTGAGCAGCAACGCCTTCGCTAGGATCTGTTCTTTCTCGAGGTTGCGGACGCACACGGCCTTTTCACGGCCATTGATGTAGTGACCTTTGATCACGGGGTGTTTCTTCGGTCGGGGGGATACGCGGATTTCTATCTGTGGGTTTGCGGCGGCGAAGGAGGGGAGGGTGTATTTGAGAAATGCACTAGGTGGGTGGAGGGGGGATTGTAAGCTCCGAACTCTCGAGGCTCCGAGTTTCTGCCTGAATGGTCTTTGTGTGTTCTCTCCTCTGTTTTTGCTTCTTTCGCTGGGGAAACTGGGGCGGAACTCACTTCATCCCTCTTGAGCTACCGGCCCAGTCGCAATAATGAAAGTCGAGCCGTTTGCATTGGAGGATAAAGGCGCCTACGCCATTCTGCGCCGTTGAATTTCATTAGTCTCGGAGAATTCTTCATGGTAGAGAGCGAAATAACACATACTCGGCTGGTAGCCACTGTTCGGATTCCTTGGATAGGCATTGCTGCGGTTGCTGTTTTCTATCGCACCATCCAAGCAATGATACTGTTGGTGGTTCGAATGTTCGACTTTGATGCCCAAGAGCGAAATAGACGCTGATTGGCTGGAGAGTACACAAGTGTTAGTCATCAGGCATTTCTTGAACTAGACCAGATATAGTAATAACCGCCCAGGCGCCCAGGCGCCCAGCCTAAATGCCTTATTCAGCACTTCGCCCAAGCAAAAGTCATTTCTGCAGCGGATTGGAGCAACCAGCAAATGTTGGCGCCTGTCTATTCTGAACACCACATCTCTCCGCGTGCTGAGTCGCTATCCTTAAGACCCATCAAATCCTGCTAGCGGATAAGGGGCGGGGAAGATACTGTCGCCCTAATCTCTGGAGAGACAGCGCTTCGTGTGCAGGAGCCATGACAGACAAGCTTCCGCCAAACCTCCTCGCGCTCTTCGCGCCTCGTCCTCCCTTGCGCTATATACCTCCTGCTGATCGCGCCCCAGATGACATAGAACCAAGCAAGATCGGTGGAGTGGCACAGTTCGTCGATGAGCTACAGAAATATGGCGAAGAGGTGCCCTACAATGCCACTGAGAGCTGGCTTCAGCGAAAGGCGAGGCTGAAAGAGGAGAAGAAAGCAAAGCTTGAGAAACATCTTACTGAGGGTCTTAAGGAGTGTATGTGTTCCAAACCTTTTAAACTATGAAATCCCCTTGGGTATAAAGTATAAGTATCTATTAGAGTCTTACTGACGCGCTTTTCTTTTTTTCGAACCTGACAGATAATCCCAATAATGACCCTCAAGTCCGAGGTGATGCTTTTAAGACGCTGTTCGTGTCGCGGCTTAGCTACGATGTGACAGAAGCTGATTTGGAACGGGAGTTTGGCCGTTTCGGTCCGATCGAACGGGTATGTGCTCATTCCACAAGCAAAGTACTCCCTGAAAGAAAATAGGGGTATAAGAGCTGACATATGCAAATACGTACCTCCTAGATTCGAATTGTCGTAGATACTCACAATCCAAAGAAGAACCCTAAGAAACCACACAGAGGCTATGCTTTTATCGTCTATGAGCGTGAGCAGGATATGAAGGGTACAGAATCCCAAGCACTGCAAAATCCCCTCCCCTTTCCCGTCCATCAAGTTTCCTAGTGGACTCTTTTTCTTTCTTTTTCCCCCCTTCAACAATCCCCGCTGGAGCAATGAGGCAAGGTAATCAGATCCATAACTAATGCTATCGGGAATTTACTTGGGTACGTGTAGCGGCCTACAAAGAGACAGATGGTATCCGTATCAAAGACCGCCGCGTATTAGTCGATGTTGAGCGCGGTCGTACGGTGAAAGGCTGGAAGCCACGCCGGTTTGGTGGTGGTCTAGGTGGGAGAGGATATACCAAATCCATGCCCGCCCGTCCAATGGGTCCAGGTGGCTTCGCGCCCTCCGGTCCAGGTGGGTTCCGCGGCGGTGGCTTTGGCGGGAGAGGTGGGTTCCGTGGTGGGTTCCGTGGTGACCGTGGATTTGGTGGACGAGGTGGTATTGGATACCAGGGCGGGCCAGGTGGCCGCAGCGCATTTGGCGCCTCTAATGGAGTTGGTGGCCAGGCACCGCCAAATGCGCCTTCAGGTCCAGGCGGGGGACGCAGTGGAGGCTATGGAGGTGGTGCAAATGGGCATGATGGCATGGGTGGGTATGGTGATTCTAGACGAGGTGGTGCCTATGATGATAGAGCAGGACATCGTGGAGGTGGTAGGCATGAACGAGAAGCTCGCGGTATAACTGGAAGCAATCGTGAGCCGGTAAGACCCCGTGATGGATTTGGGGACCGTGACCGTGACCGTGATCGTGACAGGGACCGGGACCGGGACCGGGGTGGAGACCGTGGTAGGGGGGGAGATAGGGACAGAGACCGTGATTACCGAGACAGAGACCGCGATCGCGATCGGGATAGAGATAGGTATGGGCGACGGGATGATGAGTATTCGCGAAAACGATATCACGAAGGCGACGCTTACGATGACCCCCGGAGCAAAAGGAGATACTGAACACCCTATCTTCTCATTCTACAACGACGGTTTGTTGGTGGGTATCTTCAGTTCTTCGATTTTCTCTTTGACCCAATTTCGTCCGTCCAGGGTAAGGTGGAGGTATTCGCGAAAACAACCATTTATCCGTTGGTCTGGTATTGTTATAAAATCTTCCACTATCCAAGATGACGACCACGCCGATTGCGATCCCTGCACGCCCGCAACTCTTTTCATAGAATATTTTATTTTCTCGCCATCAATCGATCCGTAGCCATACCCCCCCACTAGGTCATATTTTGTCGGCTCGATTGGATGGCTTTGTATGATTTCTTATATTTCTCCTTTTTTCCCCGTACCTAAGTGGCACCGGGCCTTTCCTTTTCCCGATTTCCTTTGTTTGTTTCGCTCCTTGTTGTATTTATTGGTGGGTAAGTATGTATTTTAGGAGAGCTGTTTGGGAATGAATACAGAAGAAAGAAAGAAACAAGGAATGAATGAGGGTGAAAGAGAAAGAAATGGTGCTACTAAAGGAAGTTCGAGGTAAGATCGGGTAAGGCTATTTGGCTAGTCCAAATATTCTTCGCATTGATCTTTCACAAGTTGTGCGAATAGCTCTGTTTGCTCATGGTTGTGCTTATATTCTTTTGTCTGTCTTGATATCTACGGTTTTTATTTTGCGTTGACTGGTACTCACATTGAACATTTCTCATGATAGGTAATTTGGGACTCATAGTAGAGCAAGAAGGCTGTCATCATGGTTTATTTTTATATAGGGAAATTCTTTTTCGCATCTTGAATTCTTCGCACTTCCCAAGAATGGCATCCCCAAAGTCAGTAATCCCATAGAAAGCAGGCGAGAGGAAATGCAAAGAAGTAAAAGTAAGATTAAGAAAGAACAAAAACGAAAATCACAAACGCCTTTACTCAAACTCCATGATCATGCCACTTCAGATTCCCATTTCTATCCTCCACAATATTAACAACCCCTCGACCCCCAGCCAGGAAAAAAAAATAAAATTCAACCCGTCAACCGTTAACCGTTAACCGTCAAGCTCAATCCGCCATATCCTGATCCTTCTCCAAAATAACAACAGACCCATCCTGCCGATTCCACTGTGCCTTCATCTCGACCCTAAACTCCGCAACCGCCACTCCAAAGATCTTCAACAACGTCGTCTGTCTCGAATCCAACGTATCCCCAGCCTTACACACCTGATACCCATCCCCATCCATCTCCAACACAACCTTACCCGCAATCAACCTCGTCGGCACACCTAGCTTGCGTAGCGTCGGCTCAATCGTGTGGCTGAGCGGCTCGTCCAGGTTGCTGGGCACCTCGCCCGCATGTGAATATACGATGCCGCTGGGGATTGTGAAGGAGCGGGGCGTGACGGTGCCGGCGCGCGCGAAGTCGGTGGGGTGGAATGAGTCGAAGAAATCGAGGACTGATTGGGGAGAGCGGGAGGTGAAGAGGAGGCCGACGGCGCCGGTTAGGTAGGGGGATAGTTTTTCGAGATTGGGGGCACAGGCGGTCTCGGGGGTGTTGCCGAGGGCGACGGCCATTACTTTTGTTTTTCCGAAGAAGAGGCTGGGGGGTTGTTAGATATACATGCACACATATATATTTGTCTTAGGTCGAGTAAGGGGATAGGATATTACTACATACCGGGAATCAGAAAACTCAGTCCTCACGTCTTTTAAATATGTATTCCGCATGTTATCCACCGAGAATAAGAAGATATGATCGTATTGAGTGACGGCCGTTTGAATATTAGCGAACAACCGTCTAGTCTGCTCCTTGTGAGACTTTTTGGCGACTTTGGACTCATGGACCAACCGCGCCCGCTTGGAGACAGGCATGATGTGCGAGTATGTGTTTTTGTGTGTGCGTATGCGTGTGCGTGTGCAGGTGTACTCGTGAAGCTGTCGCGCCTTGGCTTATGGGAAATCGAGAGACTGAAGAACCAGATGAACGGATATATATATATATATATTATTCCCTCTCCGCCTCTCTAGTAATTTTTTCTCTCGTCTGCTTTATATTTTATAGATTTTCCCTTTTTTTTTTTTTTTTTTTTTTGCCTGATATCAAAAATTAAACGTTCCGCCGTTGACGGAACAACGTTGATACGGGGCAGATAACGCTAGTCCTAACTAGGAAATAAGCTACAATTAGATAAGCGTTAGCCTGGCATCATCGCGATCTTTTGGCGCGGAGGAGCGAACGATGCGTTCAGGGAGTCAACGGAAAACGGAAAAGGGATGCAATAGATATTCTATATATTAGCAATTCCATTCCTACGTACATGCATGGCTCCTCGCGCGCCGATGAATAACCCATAGAGTTCGGTGCTGACCATCTCTCAATTCCCAACATGCGTGATTTCATGGACTACATCCAGCTTGCATTCTACGATGCTTCCAAGTGGAACCGCGACAATTCCTACTCACAGCTAACAACTACGGCGAATGGTATGTTGTCGCAGAAAGCTTCTCTGCCGTGATTCGTCTACCTGGTATCATATTCAGAATGAACAGTGCGCTTACATCATTTTTACAGCGCTCCTCGATTTCTCTACGCCTGAACGGCTGAAGGTGAATCTATCTTCACTTTCAACCCCCCACTTCGCGACGACGTATACCCTCGGCACGGTGGGATTAATAGATGGCTCTATATCCTATTTATTCACTACAATTCCACTTCACGATACCCCCAGCCGAAGCACTTTAATACCGCTCCGCAAACTTGTCCCAGGTTACCGACAGATCTACCCCCCTTCTCTTCCCCCTGCGTTCCCGGCAGCAGATGGGCGAGACGGAGATCTAGCTATCGGAGGCACCGAGGGGGACCTGAAGAAAAAAGCCACGTTACTACATGCGACACTGCATCTCCCGCCTCCGACTACGCTCACAGGATCATTCCTCCGCCGTTTATCGCCTACTACCCAACTCTCTCTTGCGTTTTGTTCAAGCCGGGCTCCCGCATCCAAGTCCGCACCCCAGGCAACGTTAGTTACTCAGATATTATATGATACTGGAAAATACAACTCAGAATTTCTGTTCAGTACGGACAATGCACTATTTGGGTTCAAGGGGCTTTGGAACTTCGGGCCGGATCCGAGGAAGCAGAACCAGAACGGAGGAGACCCCGCACGGGAGCCATGCCGGTCTTTACTCTCTCTCCTTTCAGCGGGCGGGGAGGTATATTATTCTCCCGTTTCTTCCGTCGTAGGTCTATCTACCGGTCTGCGATTTACTACTTTACCCGCCGCCACCGAAAACCCACATTCCACATTCCCTTACACTCTAACATTGACATTAACACCCCTAACCGGCTCCATGTCAACAACATATTCACTCCTCGCCTCCCCAAATCTCGCATTCAGCTCCCGCTTCGGCTTCAACGTCTATAGCTGGGAGAGCGAGATGGTAGCCGGCTGCGAATTATGGCGCCGGAGCAAAAAGCTACACACGTTGCAGAGAAACTCTTCTCCGCTTTTTGCTGTAGATGATTTGACCTGGGCGAGACGCAAGATGGGCTTACAGGACGCTGCAGTCTCCGTACATTCCGAGCGTGATGATCTTCCAGGCATCCAGCGCTACGACCACGACATGCACCATCATACCCAGCGTCCCCACGCTTCCGATTCGGTAATTAAGGTCCGGGTCGACCAGTCCTGGAATATCCGTGCATTGTGGGAAGGCCGGGTTAAGGAGCTAGTTGTGAGTGCTGGTATTGCGCTGGGACCGAAGTCGCGGTCGTCGCTGTCATATGCGTCTTCACTTGCTGCGAGCGGGCCCGGTGCTGCTGGTGGGCTGAGCTCGTATGGATGGAAGAGTGTTGGTGTGTCAGTGTTATACTCGTCGTGAATGATGGGGAGATATGTAGTGCTGTCACACGTGGCTTTTTTGACGGCCTATTGGGTAGGTGTTTAATTGGCCCCAGGGTGTGGTCATGCCAGGGTTCATTTCAGATGTCTCAGCATTGTGGGTTTTGGCTGCTCGTTTTTGTATATAATTGCTATATATCCCATGTATTTCACATAATTTTGGCGCCTCGAGAAAATGAGCCACATTGGAAGATACCTTTCTCTGATTAACAAATCCACGAGCCACCACCAGCTTTCGCAAGCATGTTGCGTTTGCCACTCTTATACAGATGACATCTTGATTCGAAGCTATAGGCAAAATGGACTTGGCAGGGCGTGTGAGTGGGGAGATCCCTTCCTTGTATCAATTCTCCCTCACTGAGCTGTTTGACATCCTGGTGTTAAGATGCTTAGAAGTGGAACGAATATGAAGATGATATTCCATTATTCCAGATATCTGCAAACGTGGTATATTTTCTACCGCGGATTGTACATGTACTGTATCTAGGTATCTAGGTATGATACATCGACATGGGGTTTGGTACCAAGAGTTCAATCGGTTTCTCTCGTCAGTATGACGTTTTGAGTTTAGCATCTCACTGGCTAACTCTCCGCACAGCTTATGAACGCTAGGATGAATGAGGCGCTAATAAAATTGCCTTTAGCCAGGGTCTGTGCAGGTCAGTTGATATTTTCAATCCTTTTGATTAAACCTGGTTGTCTGAATGACAGTAATTGACAGCATTGACAGGCCCCAGCGACATGCCCTGGTAGTGTGCAGCTAGGTTTAGCGGCTTGGTAGTATTTAGCTATTTATTATTGAGCAGCGGTTGAAGCAAGCAACTCTAGGGCTCCCCTTCGGCTTGAACTGGCCAAATAGTGGGGAATTCTTGCGGTTTCCCACGCTCGATAAGGAGGAGCCTTGCTCCCTGGGATTTGCGATTTGGTGGAGCAGAAGTGGTAGCACCCGTTAATATCACACCACTAATAATAACAATCAGTCAAACTCGGGATTATTTAAAGAACAGGAAGGGGTTTTCAATTTTCAGATCCTTCATACATTTCTCCATCGTAGACCGCCGACCAGCAGAGATTTATATGGTAAAATATGTATCTGCATCACTCACACATGGGGTCAACCAGACCGGTTATTTAGACCATGTTCAACGTCAAGCGGCTCCCGAGGGCGCGAGAAAGGGCGAAAAATTGCAGACAGACAGACACAAAAATACGAGCGGTCATATTAAATAAAAAATAAATTCACTACCGCCATTGTAGGCCCCAACTCCCTAAGTGCGAGTCCTTGTACAGTACATACATAGTTACATGTATTTATGTGCACGCATTGGCTGGATATGCAGTTTTGCCCTCTGGTGCTGGATAGAAAAGCCAAATATTTATTTTAGTTACATCGAAATGTCCTCAACTCTACTCAACTTCGTCCATTCAACACCTTCTAGCGTCTCCCACCAGCCTCCTCAACCCTCGCCAGCTGGATAGCGACAATCCTCAGCTGGTTTCTTCCGTGTGGCGTCGTCCTCTTTGCTTGTGTTTTCATTTTCCACCTTGTTTCGTCGTCGGCTTGAACCCCGAATTGTGCCTTCTCCCCGCTCTATTTCATTAAATAAATACCCGCCAATAGTTACAGTCCGCCTCACGAGGATCTATTTGTCCGCCCTTTGTACTGTATGTACATGTACATCGCCTGAACTCCAGCAACAGCAACAACAGCAGCGGGAATCGTCTATTGCAGCCTGCTCGAGTTCGAGTTCATGTCTATGTCCTCTCCCTCCGCCACTACTACCACGGTCCCCTCCGAGTCCTCGTCCTCGCGCCCCAGTCGTCTACGCCGCTTGAGCAACCTCAGGGCGTACGCTCATTCCAGCGGCCACCGTTCATATCGAAATAGCCTGACCCGGGCTGTTGGCTTGTCATCGCACTCTGCTGCTCCCTCAGCCTCGTCTACTGCAGACGCTGCACCGACTACTGACACTGCTACTGCTATTTCTACAACTACTAACCGTCTAGCTACTACGACCACTACTACTACAGCTTCTCCCACCGAATCAGCACTTATCCGCCACCCATGTCCCGAGACTGATGCTTCAAGGCTCTCTACGACCCCTTCCGCACAAAGTGAGAGCTCGTCCAGCTCAGACCTTCACTCCCACGCTCCCTCTTCATCTGCTTCTTCACATTCTACCCCGTCCAACGACCCGGAGTCGTCAGAGCTGCAGCTAGTATCCGGCATGGTACGACATCGGAATATGCCACGCATAGATCTGCTCGGAGCCAACCAGGACCTGTCGCAGCACTCGTCACCAACGCCTTCAAGTGCTCGGAATAATCTCAGTGAGACCCGTCCTAAAAGCTCGGCTGATACAGCTCAGAACACCTCGCCAGGGAATATGGGGTCTCCCAGTAGACGGGCAGACACTACTCCCCAGCCTTCCCCAGATGTCGGTTCGAAATCGGATCCCCCAAAGCCTACGATACGTTTCTATGCCTATCAGGATCCCCATCAGAATTCAAGGCCATCATTACCTTTCACAACCACCTCCCGGACATTGCCAGATGATTCCTCCGTGATTCGAGTGGGCCGGTATTCAGAGCGGGATGGCATTCCCGTTCACAATCCGACGGAACCATCCGATGCACCCGTTGGCTTTAAATCCAAAGTTGTGAGCAGGAGACACTGCGAGTTTTCCTTCGTTAATGGACAATGGCATATTCGAGATGTAGGGAGCTCGTCAGGGACTTTCCTGAACCACATGCGGCTGAGCCAACCCAACATGGCGTCCAGGCTGTATGCCATTAGAGATGGCGATATTCTGCAGCTAGGAATTGACTTTAGGGGCGGGGAGGAAATGATCTTTAGATGCGTACGGATGCGGATCGAATGCAATCGGTCATGGCAGAAACAGGCAAATGAGTTTAAGTACGTTTATTTATTTGTATTTTCTGTTCCTAGTCCATGCAATTGGCACCGGTAATTTTTCGGGATGTGGGGTAATTTCATACTAACAAGCGGGTTACCAACAGTAAAAATACAGCGGCTCTAATCAATAACCTGGGGAAGGGGAAAAATGCAGCAGATTATGCGGGTAGCAGGGAATGCTCAATCTGTCTTGGTTCAGTGTTGGTCCGTTCCCCCTCCTCTCCCCGCATCGAGCTAAACGCCATTTGTTGCTTCAAACTAACGTGGTAATAATACAGCGTCCATATCAATGTCTTTTTATGGCTGCTTGTGCCCACGTCTGGCACTACAAGTGCATACGCCGCCTCATCCACTCGCCTGAATACCCCATGTTCCAATGCCCAAACTGTCGTGCATACACAGATCTCAGTGCAGAAGTAGACGATTCGAACGACCCTTTTGAAGACGAGGCCCATCCGGAACCTCCCAAATCCCGAGACCAGCCTGCACAAGACTATCCCAACAGTGATAACAACAATAACAATAGCACAAACCCAGCCGCCCGCAATTCGACAGGGGAGAGGACCCCTTCCTCCGCCCCGAATGGCCAGCATAGACCGTCAACTGCAGACCAGGACCGCCTAGCTGGTGCAGTCGACATGATGAACCTTGACGAGGCCCCTATAGCCACCCCCCGAGCCGAAAACGGTACTACGAGGCGAGTGAGCTCGAACGCAAACGCAACCGCGAACGGAAACGTAAACGGAGATTCTGACATGGCGATGACAAATGGAATAAGCGAGCAGGCGACTAACGGAATTGGTGAGACTTTATCGCGGAGTTCTAACATCGATATACCGCAATGCTTACGGCTTGTGGGTGGTCGTCGAGGACTGCAGCCCCAGGGGGATGGTGGTGGTGGTGGTGGTGGTGGAGGTGGAAATGATGTGTTCGAAGATACCCCATTAACGCCGCGGAATGATTTTGGACCCTTAGCATTTGACGGCCGTGCTGGCCGGTTGTAGCATTCTACGATGGTTTGGTTTCCTTTGTTTGCTTTTGATGGCGTTCCTGCTGCTTTATTTCTCCCCCCTTCATACCTTGCGTCATGTTATTTCCCCTTTGGTTCCGCTTTACGTGCTTCATTTATATGCTAGTCGCCTGGGTTCAGGTATTGAACAACTTTTTCTTACGTTTCTTATGCGCTCGTAACTCTCACCGCATCACCTACCTGAATGAACGATTAATCTGGTTGGTCTAGCTCTTATAAAGCATGGTTCAACCCTCCCATCTCCATCCACCCCATCATCCCCAAGTAACATAGCTTCTTTGGCTACATGGTACTCTGCTCTTCATCCCTCCTCTCTTCTCAAAACCCAAACATCGAGAACATCAACACAACAACACAGAAGTCCTCTGGGATAAGGCTAGCCTGACAATGGTGGCGTGATCCTATTTTATATGCCTTTCTTATCTCTTTTCTTTATGTCTCTCCTCGTAGTTTGCTCTTTCCTTTCCGTTCATATTTTTTTTTTTTTTCCTTTTTTTTTTTTTTCTTGTTCATCACTATTAGGAACCTGTTGGGAGCACAGGAGTGGAGGAGGGAAGGAGTACTGCAAACTGGGAAGTTTTTGATGTGTAGGACTTCATTTTTCACCCTTTTCACCCTTTTTCCTTCTTCACTTTCGCTACATAAATATATAACCTCGTCTCCACGCGCCGGCACCTTCATTATATCTTTCCCTTCTACAATGTTTTCTTGGAATTTGCATTGGACTTGGGATTTTTGTTGGTTTGTGTGTGGGTGTCTCGTTTCGCAACATGGTCATTTATTGCCCTCTCTTTATTCTGTTTTATTTTTATTTTTATTTTTATTTTTATTTTTATTTTTATTTTTATTTTTATTTTTATTTTTTTTATTTATTTATTTCCCATTTGCTTGTTTCAATTTCTCTTTTCATATTAGACCTAGTGGAGGGAGGAATCTGCTAATGTTTAATGACCATTTCCTATACTGGCAGGGTGAATAGCGGTGAAGTTAATAACCAACAGCCAATCCCCACACGATACGTTAGCTATTTCACAGCAAAGGAAGAGGAAACACATTACACAAAACTTGTGCATATTTTAGTTCTTCTGCTGATCCCCAATCCCCCTCTTCCCTTCCCATGCTCCCTTCCCCGCATCATACTTGCCAGGCTTTAAAACCCCCTCGTTGGTTCTAAAACAACGGCGGAAAAATACATCTCATCCTTCCTTCTTGCCCTGCCCAATGTAAATTCCAACTTTTCTCAGCTTACTTTTTGCTAATAATTTGCATTCGCTCATTACAGAGTACATATCCCTCTCGCCATCACACCACCTGCACCGATAAGATAAGCTCCCGCAGGCCCACCTGGAACCAAATATGACCCCTTATTAAGCTTAAAATCTTACCCGTAACTTTAAAATCCCACCCAACAACCCCCTGAAGCTTGGAAGCAACCCAATACCACCAACGGCAAAATATAAAAAAAGAAAAACGCACGCGACCCGCCACCCAATTTCTATCTTTTCTCTTTGTCCTCCTTTCCTCAGGTCATATCCCCCCTGACTACGCAGTATGCGTTTTACTGAGCCGCCACCACCGCAAAGCCCTGTTAAAAATGGCAACGGTGGTGGCAGAATGCGCCATCACCTGCGAAGAGGGACGTTTCCGTTTCGAAAGTCACGCCGTTCGAAGCCACGGAGGTATGATATCATTTTTTACTCCATGTTTTGCGATGTCTACATGTATAGCGTATATGTAGGAGAATAGTATACAGACCATCCTCCGGGCGGGCTTTGGTCAATTGTGAAATGAGGAGGAGTGTTTATAAAACTACTCCGACTTCGAGAAACGCGTCGCGCTTCGTGAAAATTACTATTTAACTGAAAATTTACTGAGATTGAGACTGGTTTAACAGATGGCCTCTGGTCCTCCGCTTTATAAAAGGCGCCGTACACGGCGCGATCCTCATCCCCGTCATCCTACACGCGCTCTTCACCGCCTTAGTCGTCTATCTGGATAAATACGTTCACACTCGTCTTGGCCTACCCGCGACAATCGTAAGCCTAAAATTCCACCTCAAAACCTTCCCCACGGGCCGAAAGATGTGAATGCTAATAGAAAACTCTTTAAGATCCCCTCCCTCTCCATAGTCGTCGGTCTCATCCTCGTCTTCCGCAACCAAACCTCCTACAACCGCTTCTGGGACGGCCGCAACAGCCTCTCCGCCATAAACACTTCCGTCCGCAACCTGACCCGCTCAATCCTCACGCACGCCTACAACAGCCAAGCGGGACCTCTTACCCTCGCTGAGAAAAATGATGTTGAACGTACCATCCGAGTCCTCATGGCGATTCCATTCGCTGTGAAGAATTACCTACGCGCCGAATGGGGCGCGGCCTGGGCGCCGAATCCTAAAATGGGTGGTGCGACTGATGGTGGCGGCGGGAGCGCGAGCCTCAGCCATGCTGTGGAGAGTAGCATGATACTGCGACACCCGGATAGGAATGGTAATGTCAATCGTACCCGCGCGGGCGGGGACGGGGACGGGGTCGGCGTTGCTGATGGCGACAACGGCGACGATAGTGAGGATGGCGTGCGAGTGTTTAACCCCGAATACGACAGCCTCTTGCCCATGGGCATGCAAGCCCACGAAGACGAAGGCCTGGGTCTACCCCTCCAACTAACCTTTTTCGTCGACGGCTTCATAAAGCGTGGCTTGGAGCGCGGCTGGTTCTCAGCGCCGGGCGCTAGCAACCTGCAAGCCCAGCTCAACGCCCTGACGGACGCGTACGGGCGCATGGAGACCATCAAGCTAACGCCGATCCCCATCGCGCACCTCATCCATCAGAAACAGGTGCTGGCGCTCTTTGGTGCCGTGCTGCCGTTTGCCATGGTGGATGAGATGGGCTGGTGGGCTGTGCCGATCGTCTCGCTGGTTATTTTTACGCTGTATGGGATTGAGGGGATTGGATCGCAGCTGGAGGATCCGTTTGGGTATGATCGGAATGACATTAAGATGGATGCTATCGTAGAGGATGAGAGGGTGGAGATTGAGGCTATTTTGAATGAGTGGAAGAAGGTTACGGTTGTGAGGGGGGAGGATGGACTTGTAGGTGGTGGTGGTGATGCTGGAGGGTATGAGCCGATGGAAATGTTTATACGGATGCGAACGGCGACGCGAGAGCGCGATGAGGGAGTGAGGAATGGGATATGACGTTACTTCGTTACGTTTGTTGCTGATGGAATGATATATATGGACGACGACGTCCATGCATTATGTGAGCGGTGAGTGTTTAGACTGCATATATCCCCATTTTCATTTCATTTTGCGTTTGCTTTTGCTTTTGCTTCCACCTTTGTCTACGGGTGGATATCTTAACGGATGTTTTCTGCATATATTTCCCCACTGCCATCCCATTCTTGGTTGTTAAAAATCAATATTTCAATACAATCTATCGCTTTAAGGGAAATAAGCCAGGTATGGTGCGCATTAAGATAGAAGCGATAAGAATCGGGTCGGTTTTGTGAAAGCCGGAGGAAAGAAAAACAATAGGGGTCAAATAGCAATAAGCGCTCCTGTAACAGGTTTCCACCCGGCTCACTCCTTACTTTCCGGTGTTGGAGAAGTAAGCCTAAAACTACCCTCGCCAGGATACATGAACTCGTCGTTGTTGGGGCAAGCTAATCCTGCACCATCACCGTCATGCAGCATGTGTTCTCTCAATTGTTCAGGTTCTGAATCCAATCCAGAAGAAACCTCATATTCAGACACCTGGATCTCCATGTCCATCGGTGGCGGAGTGCCAGTCATTTCCTCCTTGGAGAGAGAGTTTCCGAGACGGAAACAAGTCAAACGAGAAAGAAAGTCTTGAGGCACACTCTTCTGTTCTCGATCTCCTCTCGGCCCCTGTTCCCGCTGACGATCCGCAACCGTATCCGCCTTCCTGGCACTCTCCGAAGCGTCAATAGCAGAAGAATCAGGAGGCGTGGTGGGTCGTTTCCGCGCTGGCGGCGGTTTATGCGTAGGAGACTCATTGGTAGCTTCGCTGTCGCTACTACCAAGTCTTGCACTCGATCTGCTTCTCCTCCTCCCTCCCGCGCGCGCTCCTAACCGCCTTCTCTCCTTTCCGGCCCCCTTTTCCCTTTCCTTTTCCCTCTCCTTTTCCCTCTCCCGTTCCCTATCCCTCCGAATCTTTTTGATCATCACCTCCTCATCCCCCGCACATCCCTCATCCCCTACGTCTTCCCTCGCCAACTCCACAGCAAGTTCCACCTCCTCATCATTCACCCACGATTCATCTTCCACCTGTACACCCGCCCTTTTAAGGATCTTCCTCGCCTGCGCCCGCATCCGTGCCCTTTTCAACATGATCCTATCCGCCACCTTCTGCAGTTTTTCCAGATCTCTCTGAAGCGAAAAGAGTGCGTCCACGATCCAGGTCGGTGACCAGCCATAGTACCTGCCCTCAAACGTACGGGGTCCGTATGTGCGCCAGAAACCATGTAGCGCCTGGATATTCCAGTGGTGCCGGGCTTGGTCGTGACCTAACTGCACGTGCCAGAGATGAGAGAGGAGTTTGTATTCCTGGTCTTTGTGGCGGAATTCGGGAATTAGGGGGGCAGGCAGGTGGATCGGGTCATCGGCCAGGGTAATGTCAGGGAGCTAAAGGGAGAAGGGGTAAGCATGTGTGCGTGTACACCTCTTGTCCATAAGTCGTGATGCCTCTATGATCAGATGGTGGCTTACATAGAATATAGGATATCTGTATGGATCGTAGTCATCGTCTGGCTCTGTGGGAGGCATTTTGAGCGAATATGGTTGGTTAAGCTATGTGTTTTGTAGAGGATAACGTTGTTGTATGGATGATGTGTTCCCGCTCTTGTTTTATAGTATGTTTATTGAAGATGTATCGTCGATTGAGATAGTGATAGCGACGTGGTAGTTGGCTGGTGCGTTGGGGATGTGATGTTCGCAGAAATAAACAAGGGGCCAGCAGTTAGGAATAGGAAGCGCCTGCTGTGTGTGTTCTATGCCCCAACAACCCGCGACGAATGCACTGGAAGTAGTAGGAACTGTCTTCACAGGAAACAATAACCATCTATCACTATACATTTTCGATCTTCTGAAAGAGAAACAGTCCCCAATCAGGAGTCTGAGAATATGAATTCTTTTTTCTAGCTTAAGAGGAGAAAACAGGCCACTCATGCCTGTTTCATCATGAGCTGTTAACATAATAAACATTATTACTCTGAGGGTCTTCCTCTGGGAGGAAATTTGATATCAATGTCCTGGTTAAGTAACTCCTCAGCATACAAGCGGAGCATGCATCTGTATAAAGATGACCGCCACAATATATACTAGTTTTCTGCTATGAAGAACCACAGATGGAACGGAAGGGCATGTAAGTTGTAGAAGAAAAGAAGAAACCCAAGCGCTCTAGCAGATAGCCTTCCTCAGGCACTTGGGGATGGGAGAAGGATATCAAATAGCCACGGTAGCTTAGATATAATAATATATC